AACGCGGACTACGCTGAACTTTTCCCACACTCTGCATATCTCGGCCCCATATATCAAGTTGCCAGAGTGCAAAAAGGCATAGACAATGATACAATTGTGTGCACATGTCTTTCTCACACACCACTGAGATATGATCGCGACAATTAATTAAATGGGGTAAATGACCAATGTTCTTCCGGATCGGACTCTTCCAAACGGAAGACGGAAGCTAAAACAGGGTAGCACAGACGCAAACTAATGGTTTTATAATATTATAAACGAAAGGTTTTATATTTATAATAAAAATTGTTACTGACGGCTTTGATTCCAATTAAACCATTAAAGTTCAATTCAATTCAAATGAAGTGTCATTAATAGTGCTTTCCGATGAGGTAACACTCTTCGCTCTAAATATCTTTCTTTTTTAATGTTTCCGGGAATTATTGTTTTGCACCAGGATGTTAATAACAGACTCCTAGTTGAATAGGGGGTTTTCAACCATTTATGAATGAAAAATACGTCTTATTATCGTCATCGTTTCTTACACACGTCATTGTGTTGCTTAATGACGATGCGCACGCCATCGACGGGAAATGAAGTTGAGAAAAACACTTATATTTTTCTTCCTTAACATTTCTTTGAAACAAATATCAAAAGGCCCAGCATGAGACATCTTTGTCGTGTTTCATATTTCTGTCAATTTTGTTGAAATTATTTTTTCACTTAGTAAAATAGGCAACCTTTAGCTACCACATCTTTTTAATAAATAACTACATAGCTAGTTATTTTGATATACATTATTTAAACAGAGTGATGTTCAATAAAACAACAGAATAACACAAAATAACGAGAAATAGAACAGATTACTAATTGGCGTTTAAATAAATGCGGTTCTGCAAATGGTCAAGAATCTAAAACAACATAACATACAACGGTAACTTGAATTGCTATTGCGATGGGCCTATGGGTTCCACTTTTAAATATTAGAGATTGCCGATGAAATGGCAACAAGAAGTATGTATACAGTATATGTCTTTAAAAAGGTCTGAGAATTGTAACGAAAAAAATACTCGTATACCTAAAATATTCAAGAGAATTTTCGAGGCATTATTTTACATTACACGGAATAACATTTTTGGAACGCTTCAATTTTATTCGATGTCATTGCGCTTAACGATCGTTACTCTATGAAATACGTTTATATGCGATATCACTAGCTTCTCTATTGCCGACATCGCAATCGTTTACAGCGCCGTAATTACGTACACGCCATATTTGTCGTCAAGAGAGCGGGCGTCATTGATTGTACTAAGATTATCGCCCGGTTTCTGAAACACTTATCATCGTAGAAGTTAACTAATCAGCTGTCAAATGGCTTTTCAAATGTCATTTGAGTTGCCAAAACTTTGAATTGATCATTCTGATCATTCTGGTGTTTCAGAAAGTGTTTCAGAAACCGGGCGTATTTCTCTTACGAGCCTGGGTTCATGAAGATAGTAGTTTCAAAACTCATATTGAATACGTTAAACAATCACAAAAATATCACATTGCTGCTCATTGGGTTATCATTAATTCTTGATTTTTTTTCAAATTTCCTCTTCTACAACACTACTAACGTATGGCGCCTTATTTAATCTAAGTCGATTCAGCAACTGTTAAATGGCCTACTATTAAATAAAAAAATAAAAAAAAAATCCTTAATTAAAAATAATACTATATATGAGGTTATAATCTTAATCGTTATCATATTTATGATGTGAATAAAACCGAACAAGAGTTAATAAGAAAAAACAATAATAAGCAACCTTATACTTATAAATTAAGACCGTGTGAAATCGACGCGCGAACGCTACAATAAAGCGACCAAAAACAATCCATCGTGCAGTGCTCAGATTATTATGGAAATTATTAATTTTTTCGTAATCATGAACGCATCGTATTCACATAAAGCGAACATAAAGCGGCGGCATTATTCAAATCTGTGCTAGGAACAATGGCGGATGGGTATAAAGTCGCGATAATTATCAGCCGAGCTCGACGGCGCGGAACGGTATGCGGCCGGGAAGACTCTGTTATTATCATGTGAAGACATTTTGAAGGCATTCCCACAGGCCACCGATTACCCGATTAACTCTGATTCACAAGTAGTTAATTAACCACTCTCCCCCCCTTCCCCCTCCGCCCTGTCCACAACAGAGCTTTAATTAATTAACCGTGATCCGAGCGAATTTCGTGTGTGTGGGAATTTCCAATGAATTACGATATTATTTTCTTGTATGACTCGGATCAATCCACTACGAGTAATTTGGGCGTCATTTGATAATTACAAGACAATTTATAAATATTGTGGACAAGAAATAAAACAGCTTCACTGAGTTATTGTATTTATAAACATTTTAAACAACTTAAAGTACAAAGTAAGTTTTAACGTATGATGTAAAAAAACAAAAGGCAAAGTAATCTGGTATATTTATATTATTAAAGTACTAGCTGACTCGGCAAACGTTGTTTTGCCATATAAATTATTTGTAGAGGAATCGGAACGCACGCATAAAGTGTTTGGCAGGTTATACAGACACAGTTGACAGGTACAATTTGTACGGGAAAATAAAATTGTTGCTATTTCTATTTTCCATGCAATTTTTCCATAATTTTTCATCGTTTAAACCTTCCCTGGACTGCCACAAATATTACAAAACCAAAATTAGCCAAATCGGTGCGGCCGTTTTCGAGTTTTAGCGAGACTAACGAACAGCAATCCATTTTTATATATAAGAAGATTTACACTGCCCTATTTTTACACACTCTCTATGCGCCGTAGGAAAGGGATTTCGGAATGAAAAAGTAAATTATCTGTTTAAATTCATTTTATTAAAATATTCACGTTTTAAAACGACTGCTTAGACCGAACTATTCATTGCTTTCTACAACAGTCGCTTAGACAATATTTTATCGAGCAGTCGACTCTTAAATATGACAATCTTCAAATACACGATTACCAAATGTAAAGTGGTAGAAATGCACGGGTAAACAGTTTTTTTGTTTTGTAAAAAAAAAACCTAAAATATCATTTACAACTCCGTGCAAATTGACAACTAGTTCGTTTATTACAATTCATGACAATTTTAATACTATGTTATCGTAATACTGCAACTACATATACCAATTCCCTAAAATTGTCACCTTGTTCAATGTTCTTTTTTATAGCAGATATAAAAATATCGATAAAATTTTTGTACTTATTATTTCACATCCGTATGGAATGTACGAAATCACACTCTCCGATAAATACACACCAAATCGGTTTACCAAATTATAAAATATCTAAGATCGTTTTAAATAAATAGAAATTTCAATCGAAAGTCTTCTCTAAAATATAACAAATGTACTATGAACTAAATCTAGCTACATCACTAGTTGTTCATTAAATCTCGGTAAATATACACATACGTACAGAAAGACGACAGTATTGCAAGCTCTAATTGGATAAAATATTCTACGACGAAGGTGAAGAAGCTAGTTGGGTGAACATAAAACCTTAATAACTGCGACCTGATTTTGATTTAAAAAAAAAACTATTTACAATTGCAAGTAGTGATAATGCGTACGTAAAACAGATTTGGTTTCCGTCGTTGAGACTCTCAAATACTTATACGAGAAGAAACTTACTAACGATCGCTTCGAATCAATTTATCTTAATTAATCTCCTTAACCAATGAACTTATTTACGTGACAACAAAATCGCATCAGTGGCGACAATATGTCATGGACTTTACATATATTTGGCCCCGTAGAATCGAATCTTAGAGCAAAGATCGTTCATGTGGATGAATCTCAATAATGGCCTCTCAACTTAACGTCTGAGGCTAGGAACCACTGCTCTATACAGACCTCGAGCTTATCACTAAACATTCCCAAAAAAACTGAGTCACACAACGTGTCAAAATAAAACATTGACACAATTAAAACGGTTTCAATGAGACATCTACGCGATTTTAAGCTTGCACTGTTTTGGCGATCGCGTTGAACTTGTCGCTTTGTAAATACTAAATGTATGACGGCGTCATCGCATTAAGTATATACATATAATTACGCCCTGGCCGTGCCAAAACAAGTGCCATTCATCATTAAATTATCCACTTCTATACATTCGTGAGCAACTTTCATTTTTAAAATACGTGAGTAAGAGTTCAGGATAAAATAAGAAACAATAATGTGAATGCATCTATTAATAAGCATTAACCGAAGGCTAATAATTCATATTATATAATGCACAAATTGATATTATTGCTTTTGTCTAACTTTAATTATCTTAGTATAGCGTTTTGGTGTCGTAATCTCTGTGAAAACTTAATTTATCATTAATTTTAGGCACAAAATGTCGTAATTCCACGAGACGCTAACGTTCGCTATGCGAACGTTCCAAACGCTAAGCGGTCGATTCACTTGCTTCCCCTTGCAATTATATTGTGACAATTTCTATCGACTATTTGTCGCAATATAATCCTGACGCCGATCAACAAACCTTTATTCTTCCAGCCATGAGCAAAAAAGGCCGTCTAAAAGATAGGCGGTTACATATTATTCCCATTTCAAAACCATTTTCATTCCATTTGACCTTTTGTTTTTCAAAATTCGAACATCACTATATCGAGTATTAAATTAGTTTTACACTCCATCACATATTTTATTTTATCAAAAATAAAAAAGAAGGAAATACAAAAGATCATTAGGTAATCGAATTTCGAACGCGTCACCGGAAATTAAATTCGCGGCACTGCAACGAACGGGGGCGCTCGAGTGCTAATCTAGTGACGCGCCCGCACTCCACAGCCGGACAGTCCTTCCGCCGTCACCGCAGTTCAGCTCTCACTTGCACTTACACTCGCGAAAGTCACTCGAGCGGTAGATAGCACGCGTGTTTGGGCGGGCCGGTCGCACGGTCGCAACACTAGTCTAGGGATGTGCTCGCACTCACCGGGGGGCCGTGCTTGTGGTGCCGGCCCGCGGGCCGCCGGCTATTGGAGGGCGGCGTCGGGCAGCCGGTGCGCGATGGCGTCGTGATGCCACGCCGTCGGCGGCTCGGGGCGCATCACGTCGTCGACGGGCGGGCACACGGGCCGCGGGCCCGGCTCCGGCGTGTACGTGAACGTCAGCCCGGTCGCGTATATTATGCCGTCGTTGCGCACCAGCGAGACGGGCACCTGGAAAGGCCCCGGCCGATAGTCAGTCGCGTTGCACCCGGAGGCTGTGACGTGGCGATGACGGCTGGCGACGGAACCCTCCAGTTGGCGTTGCCATTTACTTACAACCAGCGTTAAAACTATGGCACGTATTAAGATTACGCGCTAAAATAGTCGAGAAACTTCAATCTTTGTAACAACATACACATTATAACAAAGTACACAGACTTCTAAGGTATTTGAATAGACTTATCCGTATTTTTTACATGAAAAGGTGGCAAGCGCCCTGGCGGTTCACCTGATGATAAATGATAACCGCCACTTATGGACATTTGCAACACCCGTGTAAGGTTGCAAATGCGTTGCCACCTTTTAACAAAATGGACCCGGCTACCTCACTCGAACAGACGAAACAGAAGTACGACACTGCCACATTTCAAGAAAAAATTCTAACGGAACGGCGAAATCGACAGCCGGAAGCGAAACCGGCTAGCTGTACTGTATACAGGTGTAAGAAAAACAAATCTGGCATAACGAGAAAATTTGCCCGATGTACATTCGCGCACAAAAGTCGTACGTGTTGTATGGACAGTGCTCTGCATACCTGCGTGGGCTGCCGCACCCACAGCCATTGGCCCCTGAACTGCGATATGTCGGGCACCACGCAGAGCATCGACTCGGCGCAACGGTACATCGTCTCGGCTTCCACGTCGCCGAACCACACTTGCAGGGACGGCGTGAAGTTGTCGCCGGCCAGTTCTAGCATCGCCACGTCGCCGCCACCGTTTAAGTTGAGCGAGTGCACCAATGGCACGGGCGTCACCGGAGACCTGGCGATGGGTTCCTCGTTATTTCTCCGTTCATTTTGCTCCTCGTCACGATTGTACCAGATGCTAAATAGTGTTGTAAGCAGTAAGATGTTACTTGCTTTATTTTTTCTTTTTTCTGTGGCAATTCAAATGACGCTAAGTGACTACCGCCCATTGAATTTTGTTACACGCATAGGGTAGCAGATGCTTTGCCGCGTTTCAATAAAGTGGACTCGGCTACGCCACTCACCATACGAAACGCAGAAGTAAAAAACTTCCACTCTATTCAGTGAGGTCGTAGTACTTACTAGGGCGGACCTGCCCATTCGTGCAAGAGACTGCTGCGTGGTTCTACCACAGTTGACAGCTTATATTGTTAGCTTATAAGAAATTGCCGCCGAAACACTAGGCGCCGAGAAACGTGGAAAAACTCCCTGGTTATTTACTTAACTTAATTTTTATGACATAAGATAATATAAAATGTCGGGACTGTACTAAAACACAGAAACTAAAAGAGTCTCTGTTTTATTCATAATAAAACGCTTATCGAAGGTACAAACCTACAAAAGTTAAAACGTCTTTTAAACATATCAAACGTTCGATAAAAATCTTTATTCATAATCGTTTGATAAACCTCCGATAACTAAAATGTCTTTATTGAACATAATGTTGCAATTTCGTAGAAAAATAGTTAAATTTGAATGATAAAAGAATGTTGTCATGAGTTTTTATCTATAGATTGTATCTTGACTTGTGCCAAACATATTGATCGTGATTCGTGTCAACTTTCCTATTGTTATTTATTAGTAGTATTTGGCCTTAACAAAATAATTAAATTATTGTAATGTTAAAATGATCATGAATGCTAAAAAGGAAGAGCAGTGAAAATTGGATAGAGGAAGATACAGTAGGTGTTACAATTTTGTTATATTTGCAAGTGTAGAACTTCGCACTGTAATTATTATGCATGCATTATCTACTAAAATTTACTGTTTTTGCTTTCCAAGATTGTCTTTAAAGATTGATTTGATAAAGGAGTGAGTTCGCATTATCTAAAATCAACGAAATAACAACGACACGATCTCCAATACAACGAAGGTGGCGGCGTGGAATGATTTAAAAGACGTCATTACAAACGTCAGTAATCAGTTGACCAAAATATTCCATGTTTCGCACTAATATACGTTTATCGCAGGTTTATAGTAGGGTCCTGCTGCTTGTTTTAATATACGTTTATCGCAGAGTTATAGAACGTTTTAGCGTCATAGAACTATTATAAATAAGTCTTTTTGCCACTCTGTTTTTAGCCAGCTTTTAAACCTCCGATAACTTATTATGAATAAGACCGTCTATCTACACAAAGTGTACATTTCATATTCCGACGGAACCTCTCACCGAAGCAAGAACAAATATTAAAACGTTCTTATACCTCAATATGGATTATTTTATTTATGGTTTATGCGCAGATTTGTTTTTATTTTAAGAAAGACGCCCAATAAGTTTTAGGTGCCAAATGGCTTATAAAAAGAAAAAAATATGCATCTACATCTGTAAAATTTACTGAAGGTATTTTTATTAAAGCTCGGGCTCTAGTGACTTTCGCTTAGTAAGTAAACCAAACAAAAATCTTTACGGGTTTACTTTTTAGTTTTTAACTAGACCGTACTCAAAATGCAAGCGTACGCAAATAAAAGCAGCACTCAAGCAAGCAAATAAAGCATAGATTTAAGTCTTCGCAAAGACCACCAAACTTTACTTTTAAAATTGATGAGATTTCTGTGGTAGGAAGCAAAAATGTCCATTTAGTCTACTCAACGATGACAACAAAAGTAAACTACTCGTATTTAAATCAATGTACTTAATATTAATTATTTTTGATTTTCAAAAAGAATTAAAATTCAAAGTCTTTTTCAACAAGAATGTACGGCGACAGACCAAAAATATAAATACAAATAGTGAAGCAGATGAATGGTGATGATTCGAAACGTGAGATTTTTAATTTTGATACTTTAAATATCTTCGACAACTTTCTCCGTGTCGTAATTTCCTCAAAATTTATATTGCAGGTTTTGAATTGCCATTTCTGTTGTTTCGTCTTTTCGTACCGGCAGTGTGACACCAATTTTAACTTTATCTAGAACCGTAGGTTAGGATAGATCATAATTTATAATTTGTTTAACGTTAATCCTATCAGGCTTTTAAAAGTATTTTTGATATGAAAAACCATACGATTTTTTGTAAGTATTTTCTAATCACGAATCATTCAAGCCTACTTGTCTCTTAACAAGGCTATAATAATCATAATATAATGTTCTGGGTAAAATTGAAATGTCCTTCGACTTATTTGGTAACATCAACAAATCGAACTAAACCTTGGAAGCGTTAATTAATTAGTTTTAAAATATCTTTGTCTAATTTAATAAAAATATATCTAATTACAATTATCTAAAGCGTAATTTTATTGAAATTTTGTTTCCTTAAAAATATCGATCTAAATATGTTTAAAGAACATTTTCGTATTGACTTTGTGAGAGATGTTCCATGGATACCACTTACTCGTATAAACAAAGCGATAAGTAATAGTTATCGTAGAAACGGCAGTAGCCAGTGAGAGAAAAGATGTTATATGAATACTAATATTGTTAAGACAAAATTTGTGTGTTTGTATGCTTCTAATAGGTTTTATTTTTTGAATCGCTTCTAAAATTGTTATCTATACTTAAATTATAAAGCTGAAGAGTTTGTTTGTTTGAACGGGCCAATCTTTGTAATCAGTCGGATTCGAAATGTTTTTGCATTTGATAGCCTAATTCTTAGGGTATTTAACGTACAACCTACGGGGGCGAACCAGTAATGGTTTTCGCGGATGAAATTGCATGATGTCATTAGCTATTAGTAAATAATAAAAAAACCCATTTCAGTATTTGGAAAATCCGTCTATATATGAAGGAGTTATGCCCGAACATACATTACAAAGAAATCATATAAACATCCGAATTGATAACCTTCTTCTTTTAAAGGATGGTTAAAATTATCTCTTTAGGTTTTTTGTTATTCTTATAGGTTTTATCTTATTATCTTCTTTGTTATCTATACTTAAATTATAAAGCTGAAGAACCCATTTCAGTATTTGGAAAATCCGTCTATATATGAAGGAGTTATGCCCGAACATACATTACAAAGAAATCATATAAACATCCGAATTGATAACCTTCTTCTTTTAAAGGGTGGTTAAAAAGGTTTTTTTATTCTTATATATCTTATTATCTCTTTAGTAACACGTTGAATACTAATATTGTTAAGACAAAATTTGTGTGTTTGTATGCTTCTAATAGGTTTTATTTTTTGAATCGCTTCTAAAATTGTTATCTATACTTAAATTATAAAGCTGAAGAGTTTGTTTGTTTGAACGGGCAGATCTTTGTAATCAGTCGGATTCGAAATGTTTTTGCATTTGATAGCCTAATTCTTAGGGTAACGTACAACCTACGGGGGCGAACCAGTAATGGTTTTCGCGGATGAAATTGCATGTCATTAGCTATTAGTAAATAATAAAAAAACCCATTTCAGTATTTGGAAAATCCGTCTATATATGAAGGAGTTATGCCCGAACATACATTACAAAGAAATCATATAAACATCCGAATTGATAACCTTCTTCTTTTAAAGGGTGGTTAAAAAGGTTTTTTTATTCTTATATATCTTATTATCTCTTTAGTAACACACGTATTATACAGAAGTTCTTATTACGAAAAATGTATATTGTCGGTAGTCGGGTGTCTTATGTAGATTATAATAGATGAAAAACAATTACAATTGTTAATTGACATTGAATTATTAAGTATTTACATTTGGCAGATTGTGTTACGGGAATTTAAATTTAGATTGATGTAATAGTTTCTCGTATTTGCGCAATTACACATACAGTAGTAAGATTGAGCTACGAATGGAGTGGCCAACATGATTCAATATTTGCTGTTTGAGGGGAACATGGCTTAAAGTTTTTGAAAATCATAGGGGAAAGAGTATCAAACAAATTGGTAAAAAATAAAAAAAATGGTAAAAAATCGAGGTGCTACTACAATTCTGGAAAGAGGAAATTCATAACTTTCTGCAAATGAAATAACCGGTAAGTTTACGAACGTCGATCGATGTTAACAAGATATATGTTATGCAGATATATCTTCATTCTTATCCTTTAAGGGGATGAAAAATATCATTCGAATATGACAGCAAATTTCGCCGCAAAAAAAATGTTATAATAGCTCGGTCGGTAATCGGGCGGCCCCAAAACAGACGGCCGTGGTTCGTATCACGATCATTTACACATTTTTTTTTTTCTATACCAGATCATTTTCTTTATTTTTTATTTTTTTTATTTCCAAAATACATAATTTACCAAAAAAAAACCCTCCAGGTACTTATAATAAATGGATGAACCATATCGCAGTTCAACATGTTTTTAGAATAACTCTGTCACAGAGTCATGATATCTCAACTGCAGAGGCCTTTTATTGGGTTATCATGTTAATACTGGTATATTACTTTTTCGTTTTGTTACCTTTAAATGACGGGTTGCTCACAACTACCTCGTTTTTGGATTTATAGCTTCAGAGTATTGGTACTATTTTCAGATTATATAATATATTGTAGCCATAACATGATATTATCAAAATAGATGATAGAAAACGAACTTCCTACCACAGTAATGTTATTCATACTTGGATATTTCGGATCAGACTTGAGAATTAGAATAGAGAGTCTACCAAAGAAATGTATATTTTTCTCATACTTCTCAAATTCTTCGGTAGTCGAAGTACTTTCACAGATTTAAACGAATAAGGAGTCAATCAGTTCTTAGTTCGGAAATGATATAAAATATGATATTTAATATAAATTGAAAGGATTCTTACCGCGTTTTTGATTTTATTAACATTTATTATTATTCGTGCCTAAGAATTTGTTTTTTTTTTTTTTTCAAACAGACATCGTGTAAAATGAAATTAGTAACGCGAGCCGGTTTTGTTGCATAAATTAGTCTCAACTGCATCGGAGCGAAAGTGAAGATTGCCATGTCGCAGGCGTGAGAACGCATTTGATCTGTTCCCTACTAGTTCCTAAAGTATTTGACCTACTTCGGTAAATGAGGCGTCATTCGATGCAACATCGTAGTCCCCCCCCGTGCGTTATTCGAGTAATATCAAAACTTAATGGCTGGCTTTCATTCGTGTTCTTTTTTTAAAAATTATGTTTTGTTGTTTGACCGGTTTCAATATTACAGGTAGATTTTGTTACTATTTTACATTAGCTCCATAATACTTACGTTAACATTCTGTCTCCGGTATCCAAATCTATCTTTAGATCGAATATTGAAACCGGCCGTATATCCAGCTATTATTCAATTTACAATAAAGATAACGTTCTGGAGTATAAAAGAAAAATAAACAAAAACACTTTAGCCCTCAAAATTACCGTGATTCGAATAATCGATAATCGATAATCGTACAAGTCTCGGTTTCCGTTTCCGTTTGTGTCAGTTTACGCCGAAGATCCTGTTTCGTGGATAATTGTAAATATTTAGATCTTGGAAAAAAGCAATACGGTCTTCACAAGTGGGTAAAATACAAGTTAAATAAATTTTTATGTGGTATTGATAATTTACTTTCCAGACTTATGTTTTACATTATTTGGCAAAAAAATTTTCAAATTCTTTATCGTAACTTTGGCGTCTTTTAGTATCATGTAACAAAATGTTAATGGCATCTCAAAGTTAATACAAATAAATTACAAAAAATAAATAAATATAATGATTTAATGATTCACAAGTATCTTGAGATTTGATTTGCATTAAATTATTTTCTTTGAACAAAGCAAAAGTCCAGTTCTCGTACAAAATACAATACAAAATATAGTAGACCCAATAAATTGGGTCTACTATATCTTTGGTGACTAAGTATACAGCAAGATTCAAAAAATATACAAAATCCATACGCATATGTATATGTCATAAGAAGTACTTGCAAACATCCCTTTTATTCATTTAATATTGTTCCAGACAATCTTAGTTTATTTTCATTTCCTTCACTAGAGATAATTCTTTTGTTTGAAGAGATTATAATAATGTAATTTCATGTTTATTAAGCAAATAAATACTGCAATTCATTTTGAATTAGATACTAATGTCTTTGAATTTTGAAACTCACAAATACTTCTAAAACTGAATATATAACTTGAAAATTATATATTTCTTGTTATAAATATTCACATATAAGATTATTGATACCTAAATGTATAAATACCACACAATTTAATTTTCTTTGATAGATTTTTAACTCTAAGTAGTTTTTTGCCTAACAATATTTTGTTCGCAGTTTTTTAATTACTTTTGTTTTTAAATTTTAAACATGCTTGGAGCCTCATAATTAGATATACATTAATTCATGTTTCATATAATATTGTTTTTAATGCAATATCTACTGGCAGGCCTAATAAATAAATAAATAAGAAACAAAAATTTTTATTAACTTTTAAATAAGTATATGTAAACAGTTAAATATGGCAGTTTAGTTACCTGACAGGTCCCATGCCCTCATAAAATTGGTATTCAGCCTTATCGGTGGATATTATAGTCCAGCAAGCACCATCATTGATCATTTCCTTATTTGGCTCTTTGGGGCATGGTGTTGCCTGAAACTGGATGATTCGTTCTTGTGAAAGGCAAAGGTACATTCTCTCAGTGTCTTTCATGTAGAATGCACACTTATGGAGTTGAGAGACAGGATCGTCGGCTTCTAGTAAAGCCATTTGCTTGTCAACCTACCAGAAAAATGTAACTATTAATAAATTTTTGACGGCCTCATAATACATATACATATAAAACATTTATAGAATAAAATTTTTTTCCATGAAGAAATTTACCTTTCTAATTATTAACCGGGGTAGTGCCATGCCAGTAACGGAACAGACAAGCTTCACAGTGGATCCATAGTGCACATAGCCATCCCTTACAGCAAACTCTTCAGACTCACTTTCATTGTCATCCAGTAGGTGTATAGTAAATGCTCCCCACTGTGTAGACGATGCATGAAAGTTACCATTTTCAACATGAAGGTATCTCGTTGATACAGTCTGTGATCTGAGTCTGTTAAACAATGCCACTTTTGTTCCACTAGCTATACATAAGTCAGCATTTTTTAACGACTGCTTCTTCTTTGAAGGTTTTGATATAACTTTTATTCTTTTACTATTAAATATGCCTATGTCATGCCCATTACCATAGAACATTTTGACAGAGAGCATGAAATGCTTCCTTTTGTCAGAGTCTGATATGTACAAAGTTTTAGCTGCGCAGTACTGCTTCCCGTTATTTAAGTCTAATTGTTGCATATCCTGGTCCGAGTTGCCTATACCAATGAAAGCGCACAGTTGTGATGCTTGTTCGGTTTCGCCCTCGCGGAGCATGCGCTCGCGTCGCAGCCGCCAGCCGTCTCCAAAGAGGTAAATACAGGGAGGCGGGCAGAAGAACCTTTTCTCGTTGCCATAAGACTTCTGGGCGACTTTGGCATGCAGGATGACTACAACCATGTCGGAGCGGTCGCGCAGGTAGCGTTCCATGGCCTCGCGCGTGAGTCGACGCTCCTCCGGGCGGTAGGCGCCGGCGCCGGGGCCCGCGGCGCTGGCGTAACGCGGGTACAGCGCGCCGTGCTGCGGCGGCGGCGAAGGTGGGCCCTGCGCCATGCCGCCCGCGCCCGCGCCGTACTGGTGCGGCATGCTTGCCACCTTCGCTCTCACCTCGCCCTGGACTTCATCACCGATCGATTAAGTAGCCCAGCGTACATGGCGCCGCTCTCATACCCCTATCTGCGTCGCACTATTGAACTATTACTATAAACATTGCCCATGATATGGAATGCAGATATTGATAATATCCTCAGTGATCAGTGGCGTCTCTTATCAAGCGTAAACACTTCTAGGGTGATTTCGAGGCCGTTGCCCGTAGTACTTATTGACTATTAACTTTTCGATCGATACACTTTTGTGTTATTCGCGGCACCATAAATAAATAATTACGATGGGAACTTTAACACACACTTCATTCAAAAACACCTGTTCGATGGCAGATATTTCGGACAGTTTAGCCAACATACCACAGTTTATAGTTGATAACTTAATAGCAACAGGCGTATAATACAATTTGAAATACTTTACGTTAGTAAAATTTTGTTTATAGTGGTTAATAAAAGTTCGCAAAACTTGTGTTTATTTCGATTTAGATACGACAACGCTTTTAAAGAGATCTGTCAAGATAGACCATAGACACTGAAAGATATGCAAGGCAAGCGTGTTGTCGATTACACGCGCGCGAATAAAATCGAGCGATGCGAGGTTGGTTGGCTCCGCCGCGACTGACAAGAGACCCCGGCTAAAGCCCGGCAGACGGTCGGTCATAGGATGTGGGGTTACGCATGGGGCGTGAGAAAATAAAGTGTGGGAAAGAGTGGGCGTCGCGGCGTAGTAAAACATTTGATATTGTATGTAGTGAACGGAACACTTACGAATGCGCCAGTAGCAGGCGGCATTTCGATTTGTTTTTGTGTGCGTCATAAATACGTCGAGTTCACAGAGCGAAAAGGTTGCTATGTGTGAGGAAGAGACCGACGATTGACCGGTGATCTCGTGGGAAACGACCTTTGTTATGTACACTGATATATATATTAGTTAAAACAAAAAATCTGTTCTGGAATTTAATCACACGCGATGGGAGTCACTGGACTGTGGAGGCTTATTGAGCCCGCAGGCAAACCAGTGCCTATAGAGACTTTAGAAAACAAAGTTTTAGCCGTCGGTACGACTATCAATCGTTTATTATGTTATATTACTATTAAAAAAAATATATTAAAAGCGATTTCTATGTTTCATCAGATATATCAATATGGTTACATCAGATGGTTAAAGGTTACCAAGACGCAAAAGGAGCTCCTATACCGAATGCTCATCTTATAGGACTATTCCAGCGTCTTTGTAAACTATTATATTTTAGAATAAAACCAGTTTTTGTTTTTGATGGTGGATTCCCTGAATTAAAGAAAGAAACAATTGTAAGTTACATTATGCTGTACATTTATTAATTGATAACATTGTGCAGCTTTTCCTTAGGATTATATTTAGATTGGATATTATGACATATTGGTCAATTATCATATTTTTGTAAACATAGGTCATAGAACTCTTAACATTATGTTTAATCAGTGAAAATATATTTACATATGTAGATTTTACAAGATGAACGATTGTTACACTACCACACTATTCTACTTTATAACTTAATGAAACAGGAAAGATTTCATTTCTTATTTCATTCTTCAAATTCCACATAAATCAATACAGTATTTTAGTACAATCAATGAAATTATCTTATCAGTGGATTAAATCTAACAATAAAGGAATGGCATAAAAGCAGTTTAATTAAAAATATACTGATATATAACAGCTTGAAATTTAATCTTGAAATATATCTTAATTTGAACAAGAATTTGTATTTTGTATACTTAGTAATATAATAAAGCAAGATTAACAGTTGTTTAATGAATATAAATATATAATTACCTATTTATAATATTGATAAAAAAATAAAATTTTGTTACATTATGCTATTCATCAAATATAAATTTAAAAAGTTATTATATCTATTTCACAGGCTAAGAGACAAGACAATAAATCTAAATATAATTCAGAATCTGAACGTTTAAAAAGAGAAATTGCTCTCTTGCTTGGAAAGAAAACGGCTATCAGTAGTTTGTTGGGAAAAAAAATATCTCCAAAGAAATCTGGTATAAATGAAGAAAATGATGATGATATATTTAAGTTACCTGCTCTATCTCAAAGAGATGAGGAAACAGAATCTGAGTATGCTATTTAATATTTATTTTGAATTTCGCTAAGCAATATTTTCAGTATACAGCTTGTCGTTACCATCGCGACAATAAATGAACACACATCTAACGCTACTTTTCAATAATCATAAAAAAATATTAACGTTGAACAAAATCCATAATTAAAAAAATATATTTTTCAAACAAACTAATTAAGTAAAAAAAAAACAAAATTTGTAACATCCTATACAACTCGCGCCACAGCGTCGTATTACAAGCCTCTCCTTCTAACAGTATGTTTTGTCTCTTTTAAATTCATTCAACCCTTTATATGCTTTGTGACCTTTACAAATGAACTTTACGTTACGCTTTTATAGGTAAGGTACGTTACGCTTTTATAGGTAAGGGTGTTCTAAAATTCTTTGTTTTGGAAAATTTAATAACTCTGTAAATATTGATGTTTAAAGAATTTAAATGTTTAATACAACTTTAAAAAGTTATCCCCTATATGTGTGTTCATTTATTGTCGCGATGGTAATGATACGCTGTATATAAATTGATGTCAATCTTTTTATAATTTAAATTAATTTCTTACTCACAGTTCTGAAGATGAACAAAATTCAAGTGCCTCAACAGTTGATTTGCATACAGTTGATGTTGAATCTGATAGCTTTAAGAATTTACCAGCAAAGGAAAAATATGATTTACTTGTTGAATTAAAGGAAACCAGAAAAATGAATTCATGGGGGAAACTTCATACATTACCAAAGAAAAGTGATAATTTTTCTGATTTTCAGGTTTGTATTGATGAAAAATAAATATTTTATATGCAAGTACGAGAATTAAGTCCTTTGTACACATTTTCAGATGCAAAGATTATTGAAACGTCGTAAAATTCAGGAATGTCTTGAAGAAACTGAAAAAGAAATAGGAGATGGCAGTATGTCTATAAATGAACTGGAGTCATTATTAAATGAAGAGGGTATTGATACAAAAATTGAAAGCTTACCTACACGTCGTATTGCCGCTAATAACACGACAAGATTCTTACTTATTAACAATGTTAAAGAAGCAATAGCAGAAGCTAAAAAGAATCAGGAATTACTACAAAAGAAAGATGAATTAGAACAAGAAAATAATTTGGAGCAGAAAGTTGATAAAAATTCAACTACTGAAGAAGATGAATTGCAAATGGCAATTAAAATGTCGCTGGAATGTGTTGATGAAGCTAACATAAGTGCTGCTACCAAAACTGATGAATCTTGGACTTCATTTTTATCAGACTCAGAATATTCAAATTCCTGTTCAGAAGATGATGAAAGTTATGACCATCCAGACATGTCTTCAGCTAAAGCATATATTATGCAGTATAGTGATTTTACAAATAGGGCTATTGATAATATTGTAAATTCAAAGAAAAGTGATAATAAAAGTAAGATCAAAGGACCTAAAATCGATAAAATAATTGAAGATCTCAAAGCTGAAAAATCAGTTATAGTAGACAAAGTAAATCTTTCTTCTGACGAAGAAGAAGTGTTTGCTGGGAGTTCAATAGCACCCGAACTTAATAAAAAAAATTATGTTCTTTCAAATAATCAAGTCATGGATACAAGTCAAGCATCAATAATCTGCTTACAAAGTCTTTCAGAAAACGTCATAGAACTAGAAACGAGCACCGAAGAAGAACCAATTGAGAAACAAGAGTCAAACATTTGTTCCAATATTAGCGAGGATAAAGTTAAAAATCAAACAGAGGTTGATTCAACTGATAGCGAATTTGAGGAAGTGCCGGAAAAGGATTGTAAAGCACAACAACCTGTTGTTGAACTCACACTTAATATGGGAGAAGCTCCTGATGATGATATATTTGCCGATGTTTTTGAAGATAAAGGAGCCAGTATTTCAACAGGGCAGAGGAAAGAAAATGATTTTAAAAACTCCATTACCACTGATTTCGTGATAAAAGCAGACCCTCTTATAGAAGTAATGCCAAATGAAAATAGTAATAAAGATAAATTTGATGTGGTTATAGATGAACAACCACAAGTTACAAATAAGGATAAAATTGTTATGGGCTCCATAGTTCCATCAAGACCCGAAAACTTTGATGAATTTAAGCAACAATACTTAGAAGTAACAGATAAGAATAATATAAGTAAGGAAAATGATGTTAGAGATACTGGAATTATAAGAGACAATACTGAAAAATTAGAAAATGATGGGAGCCTTGAAGCAAATCAGGTATCAAAGAAACAATTGTCATCTGATGATCTAAATTCAATGATGACTGAAATGCAGAACAACGAGAATGATTTGTTACAAGAAAAAGGAAGAATGGATAGAATTGGTCGCAATATTTCAGAGCAGATGACGAAAGAGGCACAGGAGTTGCTGCAAATATTTGGTATTCCATACATTGTTGCACCAACAGAAGCCGAGGCGCAATGTGCATTTCTCGAGAGTATACATTTAACAGATGGAACCATAACCGACGACAGTGATATATGGCTATTTGGCGGTAGAACGGTTTACAAGAATTTTTTCAACCAGAAAAAGCATGTGTTGCAGTTCTTATCTGAGAGAATAGAGAAAGCCTTTAGTAAGTTCTCAATTCTATTGCCATTTTCTGACATTGCGTTTTTATAAATTAAACAGTTAGTCTTCATTGTTACTATACTTTTCATACTAATCGGCATATAAATTCATAGACTCAAGACAGTCATTTACTGGTCTAGGCAGATTACAGTTTTCCATTTGTCGCGTTTGGTGCATATCTCTGTAACTTGTAATGATGTCCGGATTCAGCTGTCTCCATTTTTAAAATAAAAATCATAAAAGTAAATTGAATATATTCTGTATATTTTATTTTGAATTACAGATTTGACCCGGGAGCAGTTAATATTGCTAGCCTTATTAGTGGGCAGTGATTACACAACAGGAGTACCCGGAGTAGGGCCTGTGACTGCTTTAGAAATTTTAGCATCATTCCCGTTCAACCGTAGACAGCTACTTAACGAAACGTCTAAACAGGCACAGTACCTTCAAATCATAGCTGGATTACAAGAGTTTAAGAAATGGGTACGAGCAGGAAAAAGGACTGACAATACAAGCCTTAAGAAAAAGCTGAGAAATGTTCAATTAACTGAAGATTTTCCAAGCATCAGGGTATGTAATTTTCCCTTTGTTCATTGCTTCGTCACATTTTCTTGCAATTAATCCCCACACATGGGATGTTAGTATCCAACAAATAGTTGGTTTGTGCAGAAATTTTTAATAAATATCTGATCTCATTAGCTGCAACTTTACTTAAATTGAATTAAATTTTTTTATTTTTGTTATATTTTTTATTTCTTTCTATTATATTGTTATATTTTCAACTGTGGTTGGGCACGCAGCAGCCTTCGCTGTTGCACGAATGGGCAGACTCGTCCAGGTAAGTACCACGAACTCACAGAAGACCGGCGTAAAGTGGAAGTATAATAATTTCATGTTTCGTCTGGTGAGTGAGGTAGCCGGAGCCCAATTTTCAAAAGGTTGTCAACGCATCTGCAACCCTCGGGTGTAACAGATGTCCATGAGCGGCGGTATTCACTTAACATCAGGTGAACAGCGTGCTTGCTTGGCAACTTGTCAAAAAATATGATTATGTGATTGATGCTATGCTACTTAGTTTTACATCTGTGAGGACTGTAAAAAAAAATGGTTGCTTTTAAATTATATATTTAACAAACACAAGATCAACATTTAGATAACAGAAAGAAAACTTATATATGACTTATATTTTCATTATTTTTTGTGACTTAACACAAATATGGTTAAGAGGTCAATTTCTATGATGAACCATTATACTTTCAGAACTGATGTACATACCATAAATAAGGATTAATCCTACATTTATTTATTTAAACTGTAAAACACAATTTTTGTTAAAGTAGTCTCTCAAATAGACAATATCCTAAATGATTATTCAAGAGACTACCTACTATTATAAATTTTCTGTTTCGTTTCTTATATGATTACAGGTAGTTCAAGCCTATCTGGAGCCTAAGATTGAAAAGAGTGAAGAAAAATTTACTTGGGGTCATATAGATATAACAATTTTACGAGATTATGCGAAACAGAAATTTGGCTGGTCTCAAAATAAATTGGACGAAATAATTAAACCAGTATTGGGCAGATTAACAGAACGTAAAACACAAAAATCTCTTCAAGAATATTTTAAGAAAAAAATTGAATTTCAGTCCCTGGAGGAACAAATGAGTAAAAGAGTGAAAGCAGCAGTACAAAAAATGGGCCCAGAAAATACCACAGAGATTAGGGAGGTACAAGATACAAAACCTAAATTAAAGTCAAAGAGAAAAGCTAACAAAGTAAAAGAGCTTGAAGAGTTTTCAGATTCTCAGAGTATAGCTCAACCTTCCACAAGTAAAAAGAGAAAAGATATTAATAGTCAACTTGTCACCAAAACTGTTAAAGTTTGTGATGGGGGTGGAAAAGAGTTTGAAATAATCATCCCTAAAACTGACAGGTACCAAGAAGTCATACCCCAAAGAGAAAAAGATAAGCAAGATATTCTTCAAAAAAAAATGAAAGCTATAGAAATTTTTAGAAAATCGAAAATCGATAAGAAAACTAAACGCACGAAAAGAAGTGTCAAGGTCCCTAAAGAAAATGCAGACCTCTCGGAAAGTAGTGATGAAAATTGAGTTGTGATTTACATATTATTTAAAATAAAATTCAATGATAAAATAGTCAATTTATTGTTTAAAATTAACTGTTTTAATCTAAGCAGTTATAAACATGTATACCTATTATAGTTTACATAGAATTAAAATTTGCTTACCTTCACACAGACAACAATAATGACAAAATAATAAAATCACCTATTTAGTGGTTTACTTACGTAAATTTAATAAGATGTATAAAGTCCAGCTCAACTGGTGCCCGTGTCCTCCGAGACTTAATAGTACTGGACAGGTTGTAAAGTTTTAGTTTTACAAAGTATATGTTGTAAAACATCATATACATAAATTTAATTGTACTGTGGCACCATCTGAACTGGAAACTATATAGATGCTATCACTGCTCAACTTCCAGTTTTACTTATATATGCCTTTAATGTATATTGTATATAATTTTGCATTGATATGAGAGTTAAATTCTTTAGTATAGTCAAGTTCTTAGGGTTTGTATGATGCAATTTTGTTTTTAGTATTAGTATGAAACATTAAGTGACGACTATACATGAGACAATTACATTTAAATATGAATACGGAATATAAATTCAAAATTGTTTCATAATTAAAATATGCATATTTAAATGAATAACAATAAATATTGCAACAGAATGTTACCACAGTGCTTTATGTGTTTTCATATCAGTAGGTAATATAATCACAATATCTAAATTCTAACTAAATAACACTCAGTTTTAGTTATATTCTAATAAATCGATGCACTGTTAAATTCACTAAAATGTGTAGGCGCGTTTATAGCTCAATGAATTACTTTAATTAATACTTTATTTACAATGAACAAAAAAATCTTGTAAGAAACACCGACAAATAAATGGACATCTAAAAGAAAATCAAGTGAAATTACTTATTTATTTTTATAACATAGATATTATACAATTAGCGACATTGTGTGCAGAAATCTCATCTCACTTCACACGAGGACGTCACATCAAATATTCTATCCCATACATCAATCACTCGGGGGGGGAAAGGACAATTTTCAAAAAAAAAAATATTTTTCATTTCGTAAACGTCGACAAAAATCACATCGACATCACACCAGCAACAAACAGCGCCCCGCGCGTGGCCACCGCCATTACACCACTTCAAATTAGTCGACCTTGACGACGCTGTAAATCTTCCTCACGAACCAGAAGCACGCCATGAAGCCGATGGTGCCGGTGAGTAGGAAGAACAGAAACACCATGATGAGCGTGTACCCAAAGTACAGGAAGGTCGACGCGGCGTCCTCGATGTTCAGCTTGGTGACGAAGTAGTGGCAGCAGTAGATGAAGAGGTAGCCGGCGGTGGAGCCCGAGCTGAGGAACGCCCGCCACCACCAGTGGTAGTCCTCGGCGCACAGGTGGAAGTAGCACAGCAGGATCGTCGTCTCCGAGCACGTGATCACGAGGATCACGAACACGAGAAACAGGAAGCCGAACATGTAGTACATCTGCAAGTTATATAACTTTTGATCCCTCGATGGCCCGTAGGCGGCATGCCATAATTAACGTACGCATGAGTAAATGCGCGGCCCTACCCACTGAGGAGGGCCTCAATACCCGTGGGTTCTGGTTAGTCCACCGGTTCTGATGAAGCTTTAATAGTCTAAATACAGAAAGCGTAACATCAGTTATACAAAAAAACTTTTGATGACTCCGTGGCAGTTGCCAAGTTATACGCTTCGGCCGCGGCCGAGGGTCGTGGGTTCGATTTCCAAATGGAACAAATATTTGTGTGACCCGCAGATAATACTTTCATATCTCGGTATGTCCACGTGAAATTCATGTATGTATAATTTCCTTACAACACAGGATAACATTATTTCAACAGTAAGGGGGCAAAGTTTTTGAAGGGAAGATTACAATAGAGCTTCCTAGGCCGCAGTGGTCGTCGGAAATTACTACCCAAACCCCTTCAACACAAAAATACAAATACAACTTGGATAACACACCCAAGTGTTTAATAACATCACCATCGGCAACATCAAGTTGCGCATTCCGCTGTTGGACATTGACCTGGGCTATATATTATTGATATAATTTTTTTAAAGTAAAACTTTCGGCGCAACTAAAGGGTAACTGAATGCTTTGGATAACGACATTGCAATGGTTTGGTTAACATTGTTTGTACTACATTATAAAGTCTAAGCGGACCGACCTGACTGGACCAGAGCGAGTTGAGGATGAAGAAAAGCTGTATGAAGATGCAGCCGAAGGGCAGTACCCCGCCCATGATGATGCCCGGTGCTGGCTGAGTGTACAGCGACTGTTCGGGAATCTGCCTTGGGATCTGGTTTGTGCGCACAGGATGGTCCAGAATCTGCAAATGATGTATCAAAAACAACAAAAATGTACTAACAATATTTATTGTTCAATAAATATATTTCATGTATTTTATTTGCGTACAATTTTGGTTTGAAAATGCTTTCAAAACACTACATTGTCAAGGAACAAACAGTGTAGGGTTGTTTCTTCAAAATTCAACACAATGAAGTAGGTAAATTAGATATATGATATATGTCTAGTATCAAATTAATAATCAGAATTTTAATATCGACAAAAAAGAAATAAGAAAAAGAAAATTTCAAGTTAATTATGTTAATCTTATTTTAGGAATTAAAATACATAACAATTTTAATTCATAAAATTATCACATATCATAATGAACAGGAAATTTAAGGCATGATAAGTCCATGTTCCTAGCAAATGGTTTTATCCACACAGATAAGGAAAGTACAGGGAATGTTTTTAGGCATATAACTAAAATCATTCTTTATGTCTATAAAATAAAAATCAGATTATTGTAATATATTGACCTCGGATCATCTGCAACATCCTAGTGTCTATATCAAAAAATTACTACCATTATTCATATACATTCTTACATTCACTAAACTAGACCTGTCCAGAGAAGAACCAGCATGAAACTCAGTTATATTTTTTTTTTCAATGATGTAAGTATAAAAAATAAGTATAAGATCAGCAGCACTCAAAGAATTGCAAATGCAGAGCAAGAGTCATTTCCACACATTGTCATCCTCAATCAATATTACTCACCCTTTTTCTAAATCCGAAGTAAGCTCCAATAAAAGTGAGTGGTACGGAGACACCAAACCACAAAGCCAAGAGAGCAACTAAGGTCGAGAATGGCACTGCCGCTGATGATCCTTTGCCCCACAGCACGAGATTCATTATAAAGAATAGAGAGAACACAACCCTGAAAAACGACAAGTGTTAATGAAGCAAACAATATATCTATATTAAATACCTCAAAATATTGATGAAAGGTAATATACACTACCTTAATACCCTCTGCAATGCACAACATTGGGACATACATACATAAAAAAACTTATTTCACATAAGTTTATGTGAATGTCAACAAAAAGGGGACTTTTCAGCAGAGCCCAAAATCTTTTTTGAATGCCAAATATGTTAAATTATGGATTTTAGAAATTAGTCAAAATTGGATTCATATTGATGAACTCAAATTTCATCTGATGCAATTTTTTTTATTTTCTTGACTTCATTACGAAGATCCAAAAACGGACATTCCGCACACTTGCTTTTGCAGCGGCGTGATATTGCGATGACGTTAATACCTATGCCAAATTGATGATGAAGAGTTTTAAAAATTACCAACATTATTTTCGTAGAATAGTTTCTTCTTTAGACACATTTTCCAATATTAATTATTCGAGTTTTTCCATAGTCATAGCTACAATATCTCTACAAAACCTTTTTCCATGACTAACTGGTATGATAGTTTAGCAAGGTCTAACGAAACAGACACACACAACATTTACCCGGGACACACCATCGACGTCAGCAGGATGTTGCTCTTCCACCGTCTGCCACCAAAGCTCTTGTATATCCTGGCGCTCACATATCCGGCAGCCGCACCCAAGAGGACCCAAGCGACCAGCGCGCACGTCATCAAAGCGCCACGGTTAGCTGGCGAGAGGAAGCCCAGGCAAGCGAAGGCAAGGGTCACCAGTGTCATCCCAAATACCTGTGCACAGGGTAACATTTCAAGTGTTTTACGGCACACATTTTAGAGCAGATTCGTAAACATAAATTTACGTAACAACAAACTTATAATAGCATTTGAAATTTTCTTTACAATAACTTATAGCAGTGATTCTCAACCACTGTGGCGCGGCACTTTTGTGTGCCGCCAAATTTCAAAAGTGTGCCGCCAAATTTTGCAAATTTATATAATAATGTTAATATTATTAAATTATATTATTTAAAAAGAAAAATATTTTTTTGCACTAGGCAACATTAAAACTAAAAAAAGATCAAGATTGTTAAATGTAGAAGACGATATGAGAGTAGCATTGTCATTTTTACGACGAATATATAAATGAGATTATCAAAAAACATCAAGCTCAAATTTCGCATTAAAAATATTTTTATTATTAACTTGTAATTAATCCCTTAATAAACGTTTAGTTATTATTGTAGTATATATTAGTTTATTTCGTATATTTAAAATTTTTGTCATAAACTATTTATGCAGTGTGTTGTTAGTAAGTAAATAATTTTTATCTTTTTTTTGTGTGCCGCCAAATTTTAAAATCGTTAAATATGTGCCGCAACAAAAAAAAGGTTGAGAATCTCTGACTTATAGTAATCAAATTACCTGAGAACCAGAACCAAGGAAAACGGCAAGCAGCATACCACGGCGTGGCGGTCTGAATACGTCTCCATGTACTAATTTCCAGCCAAACTCCTCCTTAAAATTAATAAAAGCTAAAATGAAACAATGAAATAATAAAATATATCTCATTACATACATTTCCTAATCTTTTATATTACCTGAGCATCTTCACCACACTCCATTTGATTGTATCTCGCGATATCTTTATGGAGAGTTCTTAACAGTATCATAGCTACCATTCCACTGAGAAACAGTACAATAACAAGGGAGTTCAATATTGAGAACCATTGAATATTAGTTTGAGGCATAGACTCCAATATGTAATCCCACCGAGATGACCATTTAATTGTGTTGTTTTTAATGAACTTGACACTGTAAGTGTATGTTATGCTCAATTTGTCATCCTTCAGCAGAGTGTTCGGTATTTCCAATAGGTTACGATTAGAGCAATCTGGATGTTCTGGATTTGCATGATTGATGCTAGCAGGTTTGACCTGTCAAAAAAATTAATGTATCTGTGAAATAAAATAAAATAGGGAGACCAATGCGTTAATATATGTACTTGATGTAAACAAACACTGATAAGTGTAAAATATTCTCATTCTATCTTTCTGAAATATTTGAAGGTATCTTTTTGGGATACTTGATTAATTCAGGGCAAGCGCACATTAATTATAAAAAGCATGCATTTCAAAACTAATCAATTAATTTATTTTATAGCATTTTTAATAAATGTTTTCCATTTTTTTCCACTGATTAGGTGTCAATTCCATGACACCTATTGCTCAAGGAAAACAGTTAAATATATTAAATGAAATAAGTAATTTCAGGTTCAGCTTCCAAATATTGAACTTATTTAAATTCAGGTCCAATTTTGACTAAAACTATTGCTGAAAGATCTGTTCCGCACCAAATGGTACAATACTTCACAACAAACAACAGGATAAGTATGAATTTTAATATGAATTTTACTCAAACTTAAATTTTGAGCAGTGTTGCAGGCTTTATCAAAACTTGAATGACAAGTGAATGAATTAATTGCTGAATTTTACAGTTCAAATATTGTAAATTTTTCATTAGAATGTCTGAATATTGAGCACCCTTAAGAACTCTTTATGCCTTGGTATGCTAGGTAATTCATGTTTCAATAATCTATTATATATGTATAATACTTCAGGCTGCTTTAACTCAGTAATAATAATAAAGTAATGATGATAATTTGCCTTCATTAATTCTTACCTTCGCAGATATAATGCGGCCCTCATTGTCACCAAAACCAACTCCCCACTCTTCTTCTTTCCCACTGTGGTATGTTATTTCCAAGTCCACATGATTGAATAAATAATATGCTCCTACTTTGTTTGGTATGCTGCTTACAATAGGTGTGCATGTCTCCTGAATATCATGAAGTAAAACATGTAATGATTAACATATGAAACATCACTATTTATGGAACAATGAGTTGCAAACAATATAACTGTCTCATCTCCACAATTAGATCCGTACCTACATAGTACTTGGTATTACCATTATTATACCATTTATAATAAATGTATAAAGCAAAGTAAAAAAGGAACAGTCTATCTATCTATATCTGTCCCATAGCTCAACAAATATGTTCTCTATATAAAAGGTATTAGAATATGGTCTACCACTTGACCCTGATGTGAACTGCATACTCCTCTATAATTATAATTTCCTGGTTATGCATATTTCCTCACACTTTCTCTCCAAAAAAATTATTACTTAAAATATAATTAACAACTCATTACTCAACTTGATTAAATAAAGTTTCTCTTTATTTGTATAAAATACTGAATATGAATACAAGAGCAAGTAAGTTATCAATATTTTTTTTTTAATTTGAGTTTCTAAATCTTCTAAAGTCTGAAGTTTTTTAAACATAAAATCTATATTAAATGAAACTACTTTACGGATTTTATTGCGTTTTTATTTTAATTTAAATTCCCGACGTTTCGAACCCTTTCCAGCGTTCATGGTCATGGGACAGACGGGAGTTCAATCTCGGGAATCTATATTTTAGCATGATCCATCATTTTGTAAACTCTATACAAACAAAGACAAGTCATTTTTAAGCAAATTTAGTGTTGAAACAATGTTGTAGTATGATAATTAAATTGAAATGGCCATTGGCCATAACAGCTGTAATCATATCATAATATTATAAAGAACTTAGTGGGTTGTATGTTTAAGTAAAAAAAAAAACTAATGATATATAAAGATTAGATACCCATTAATGTTTCTTGTTTTTCCTTATCAATATACATTGCAAATTAGATTAAGCAAACATGTAACAAAAATAAAATATAATATGGAAATTTCAATCATTTGTATTATTCCCAAACAAAAAACTTTGCATCTCTGAAATTAATTATAGATCAATTTATTATTGAAATGGGACATTGAATTAATAATATAACTAGAAGTAGAAAAATTGTTTTGAATTTTCCACCATTGAATATTTTCATAAGTACATATTACTGTAGCTTACCATATCACTGCGCACTTGACATCCCATTGGGAACCCTATGCTGCAATACACCTTGCCATCTTCGTTTACCAAGTAGCACCAAGTGACAGGCATATTGTCCAAAATCCAGTGGTGTTGGTAATAAAGAGCCATTCCCATTTTAAGAAGGTTTAACTTTTTAATCGACTCGGGATCGGTACCTCTGTAGGTCTTGGTGCATACAGCCTGGCAATCAACATTTTCAAGGAACTTAAGTTTATAAGGACTTGGTCTTATTCTTTCACCAAAAACAACTTGACCAAGATTCTCAACTGGTGATTGTGTTTCATCAGACAGACAGAAATCAAAATGATGATATTCAAAAGGTATAACCGATTCTTCTGTATTCAATCTGTTTACAAATAGTGGTATTTCATTCTGTAAATAAGAAAATACATTAAAAACGGTTGTAAGCGTTTATTTAATTAATAAAAAGCAAGTCCATAACAGGAAAAATAATGATGAACTAAAATATTTCGAATAATGTTTTAGTTTATCATTATTTTAAAAAATAAAATATATTTTAAAATTAGTATACGAGACTGTATATCATTTTCTGATATGTGTTCATATTAAAATCGAGTTATCTGCCTTAATAAGCAGTTACTATCATCAAAAATGTTATCGCGACATAATATTAATTTATATCTAATAGTAAGTAAATATTATATTCGTGAAGTATTGTTAGATGACAACTTTTATGCTCAAATGCCTAGATTTCAACTTACTTTACATGACTTTCCATTGTCTTCACCGGCTTTACAATAGTTTACGGGTGCTAAACCGGGTAAATAAAATGCTTGAATAGGTGTCAAAAACAGTAATGCGCAAAGCAGATACGACGGTAAAGCCATGACGTGAATTGCTTTGTATATTCTTCAGAAAATACTATATCTCAAGTATCATAAGCTGTACACATAAATAAATGAGGTCCACATAATCATTAACGACCACTGCACAAACCTTGGAGAAAATTGTCTAAATTTTTAAACAAAATTTTCAGAATCCTAGTCCTATCAAAATTGCACTTGGATCGAAAACGTCACCAACGGGCATAGATTAAATTCACACTTCATACATTTAGTCATTTAAGCTGTAGTTTTTTTAATGGCAAGACTTTGTGAAATTGAATATACACATATACATATATATACATATATATATATATATATATATATATACACACATTGTTTTTTATCTGTTTTAGTTTTTTTAGCCCGATAGCCTCGAGAACGAGCGATCTGCAAGAACTCAAGCGAAATAATGTAGCTGGTCAATAATGATAGCACTATAAGTACATCGCCATCCGCTCTGCTGCATCTCTGCTTCCCCCATGTTGAATTTTTGGTTCTGGCACGATGTCCGATGGTGGAATTCAGCAGCCGAGATCACACGAGGAACACTCTTCGTGGTAAAGAAGAAGAAGATGCAGAGTGATCCAACATCTCTAAGCAGAGCCAAAGAATCAAGCCGATCGGAAAGACATTGATTATCGATAACCTTAGCCGCCCTACGTTGAATGCGGTCAAATGGAAGAAGCTGGTAATAGGGAGCTCCCGCCAGAGGTGAGAACAGCACTCCATGTGGGGCCGAATTTGCGCCTTATAGAGGTTTAGGCGTTGAGCAGCCGTGAAGTACTGTCTCGCCTTGATGAGCACACCAAGCTTCTTTCAGGCCAATTTGGCCTTACCTTTCAATTGACTGCTCGAGATTTCGACGCCAAGCATTCCGGTACAAGCTGTGGCAGATAGGGGAGTGTTCTCGAAATGAGGAGTCACGACAAACGGGGACTTTTTAGCGAGAAACTCGCAAACTTGTGTCTTTTTAGGCTTGAATTGGATTAAGTTTAGTCAACCCCAGTCTGAGACTTTAGTTAACAAAGGCTCGACCTCAGACACAAGATTGTTCCGGCTCTCGTAAACGTTTTCCCGAGAAATGTTAGCTCGGCCAGTGTACGAGACATCCACAGTACTATCGTCTGCTAAACAATGGACGTTGCTGATTTGCAACATGTCATCGATATGCAGAAGAAACAGAATAGGACACAGTACGCAGCCTTGGGGAACACAAGCATTGACAAATTTAGGATCGGAGCATGCACCGTCCGGAGCATGCATGACCTTAATGCTCCGATCTGCCAAAAAGCTTTTGATTCAATTGGGTAATTTATCAGGAGGCCCATAGGAAGGCAGCTTCGAAAGAAGCGCTTTGTGCCATACCCGTTCAAAGGCCTTCGCTGTGTCCAAACTGTCTGCAAGCACCTCCCCCTTGCTCTCAACTGCTTCTGCCCATCGATGTGTAAGGTAGACCAGAAGATTACCAGCTGAGCGACCCCGACGAAAGCCATACTGGCGGTCGCTAATCAGCCGGTGCTCCTCTAGGTACCGCAGGAGCTGGCCGTTGATAACTCCATTATCTTAGAGAACAAGTAAGTGATGCCTATAGGCCTGTAATTGGACGAATCCGAGCGGTTGCCTTTTTTAGGGATCGGGTGCACTACCACCACTGACCGTAAAATTATACTTATTAATCATTTCATTAGTGGTTTTTATTTACCGAATTAATTATTTTAGGTCGAAAAACACTCGGTGCTAATGGAAAATTTTGCAAATGAATATTATAAAATTGAGAGTTTTTAGAACAACTTGACCTTGGCGGAATTGTTATAACTCACAAAGCAAGCCATTAATAAAAAGAAGAAGAAGTTAAGTGAAGTAAGTCAATTCCAAAAAAAATCCCTATATACAAAAGTACTCTATGGTCAATTAGCAGGCGACAACGTGACGTGACCAGGCCTAATACGTTGTCTACTACCCTAGGGTAAAGTCCAGTACGTGACCACAGTTCTATAATATTCCCATACTCTCTGTTAAAAATCGGTACGCCATATTAACAGTCTATGTATCCACTGTTGGGCAGTGGATATATAGACTGTTTATTCACTTTAATAGAACGTTACTTTTTTGCTAAATTTCCGCAGTGTCTGAAGACAAGAGTGTACAACCAGTGTGTTGCCAGTGGTGACATAGGGCAATGAGAATTATTTTCTAAAAGATGGCCTTTAGAGAAACTCAGAGTCACATACGAGCTATAGAGAGAGCTATGCACGGAGTTTCTTACGAATATGACGAAATGCTCTGAAGAATATCCGACATAGCTCTCCAAGATTTGCATGGTGAAGTGGGCAGACTAAGTCGTATGGCACAAGAAGTATCGTGGGAAAACCTCCTACTAGAAGGTCCGACGACAACGCAAGGGTCGCGGACAACTGGTGGATGAAAATGACAAATTGTCGTTCATTTTGGCCTTGTTAGATTCTTTGTTTAACAGTAGACGTCTTCCGGCCGATGATAATGATGTAACTGAACCATTTACATTTTTCTAAATAATAAAACGGTTGTAATCAAATACATAAGATATTCGAATTTCAGTAAGGCGAAATCAAATGAAACATGAAAGAAATCAATTTTATTACATATTTACAGAAACATCAGTGCAGTTATGTACATGTACATCTTACGACGGTAAATATAGCCAGTTGGACTTAAGAACTAGAAACATTAAAATCGAATTGCATATGACTAATGTGGTGCTAGACGAAATCACAGAGAGTTTTTTTCGTCGAGCAGCGCGGCGGTGTCTTTGTCTAGCCCAATGCCACGCACGAACGCGGAGATGAGGCCCAACGCCGCCGCCGGCTTGTCGGACGGCACCATGTGGCCCGCCCCGCGTACCATCACCTCGGTCAGATTGCCAGCGCGCTTATAATAACTGGAATAATTCATCACCGTTCATCGTAAATCTGTCGACTCAGCTTTGCAACGATCAACTTTTCTTTACCTATTTTTATTTATTTTTTTATTTTCTCTAATTTTAATTATACCACTTTTTTTCTTAACTTTAAAATGTATTTTTTTGAATGGCTATTTTTTGCCAGTGTTTATACATAGTTTGTTGGGTTGATTATTATGACTATAAATTCTTATTATTACGACTATACACAAAATATAAAATATTTAAGCGAATACTGCGCATGGTTAATTAAAACTATTTAACGGTTATATATATATATATCGTTTCATGGTGTTATTCCCGAGACTATCACCAAAATAGAACATACATTAAAAACGTTGTCAATTATCTGAATCAGAATAAATGTGAATTGCAGCAAACTTTTCCGAAGAGAGGTAGTAATATATTTTAAATATTGCTTTGACGACTGATGTCAGCTAAGCCACCAATAATTGACCAAGGAGACTTTTTCATGGATGTTAGTGTTACTTATATATTAAAAAGAGAAATAACCAAAAGGGCTCACCCTACAACCCTGCCATCGTGCCTCCAAGGCATTCTCTTCGCCATCTTGAAGTCAGTAGAGCCGGTAAACGCGAGTGAGTTGTACGTGTTTACCGACGGATGGTAGGCCACGATGATGTCCAAGTGACCACTTAAAATTAATATAATTAATAAAGATTTTAATGACATTCTCTATAACGTACACCGACAATTAAAAGTTGAACAGAAGAAGAGCAATATAACGGCCATACACATCTAATGCTGTTGCGTTGCCAACTAGTAACATGCTGCGTCCCGGTTACCTTAATCAAAAAGAGAGTTCGTAGTTCTAAGGACCAATCTCCCGGTACAGACGACACTAGATTTTTGATATATGTTTTTAATGTCAAAAAAACTCGTTACGTATATTCCATTTAGAGTTAAAGGTCTAAATAAATATTTGCTATTCTGAGATCATTCAATCATATGTAAAACGGAATTCAAATTACATAATCATGAAACTTATCCGACTTGTGGTGATTTATTATGTAAAGAGAATATTTCTTCGCTGCCACTCACTTGTAGATCATAACTCTGTAATTCTCCAAAAGCTCCTCCAGCCAATGTTTCGCGCTGCCCATGAAATCCAGCACCAACTTTCTATAAACGACGCCTATTGACGTGAAATTGGTGTTGCCGACGTGCAGCGCTCTCCGCACATCGTCTCGCTGGATAAAGTCCACATAGCCTCCGTCCAGGCTAATGTCATCTTGTAAATAATTGTACAGATTGCTCAACCGCGATTCCGAAATGAACAACTGGAGAAGGTAGTTGTAGTACTGAAAGTAAATTTTTCATAATTAAGAACAAAAAAAAAACAAAGCTGTATCTCATAACAATCCCTTAATTCGAATGTGTAGACAGTATAATATTTTATGTAGAGACATAGATATATTTCATCAAAACCCGTCATTATTTTTAAAAACTATTAAGTCCTCTAAGAACATTGGTCTGCTTCTTTGTTATAAGTAAATTAGTAACTATAAATATAATTTATTACATACATTATTAAAATTGCATGTTGTGCTCGGTTGTTATTGAAATGCAAGTTTAGTAATATATATTAGTCTGTAATAATTTAGTCATGTTAGAATTTGTATTTTGTAACCGTGCCAAATAAATAAATAAATAAATAAAGTAAAGCTCCGAATGAAACTTTTCGTATTAATAACGTGCAGATTTTGATTTAGGGCTTTGTTAGCTCACGCTTCAAAACTGTAAAAGGTTTGGAAAGTATATTATTATGTATGTTCTATCAAAGTCGAGGTGTTTCCAAATCAGGACTTCGAAACCATCTTTAGTTAAGTGACGTAAATTTCTGCAGATTAGCACTAAAAAAATCCTAAATCATCTCACAGTAATTTTTTAATGTTTTTAAAAAATAAGGAGACGAGGATATCATGGCTGTGGAGGTGAAAGTGACGGCTGTGTAAATTTCATTGCATGCTTACCGCGTATGCTTTGAGCATCTCCCCGTTGTTGATGAACTGGGTGACGGCTGTTTCGAGATGGTTCATGGCGTCTGCCACTTTGTCGTCGAGCAGCCCGACCTCCCGCGCGAAGAAACTGTATCTCTGCAGCGTCAGCGGGTCGATGAATCCGTTGCCGATCGCGAGGCTCTATTTGAATGGTAAATATTTATAACCTGACGTAACGTTTTTGCGAATATTTCTATTCGATAGAAATGTGCTGTTATTGAAATAAATCGATAATAACGACAAGATTTGGAGAAAAAAATCTTTAAACATAGGAAATCCGTCATGACTTTGGGTACGTTCTGATGGGAAAGATTTATTCCCAATCAATGATGAATTCAATGAAGATAAATTATTGACACATAGAATAATAAAAATATATTAAATTAACACGAAATACATAATTATAGAAAGACAGTTTTTACAAAGACGTTTTTTTTTTCTCGACTGCAATTGACACACACTGAAACAGTACAATTTTCAAATGTAACACCTGTTATCTGTAAGTGGCCAGTAATCCTTAGCGGAATGTTATGAAATCTCTAACACGTTCATTATACGCTAATATTTGGAGTTTAATATTTAAGTTTTTATTTTGTTGGAAGCTAAAGCGTTTTTGTTATTGAAATTTCTACTTCACGAGCGCAAATTATTGACAATATTAGATATTTAACTCAAAACATAAACATTAGTGCCAACACAAAAACAATTCATCAATAATTCCGTTACGCCACATTTTTTTATTATGATTATAGTTTAATGGCTTGGGACTATTAAGAAGAGTCTTTATGCAGAGCAAGTAATGAGACTTCTTACACCTACTTTAGTTAATCTATGTCCTGACTTTTGGGACAACCATGACAACCGTTGTTTATAGTGAGGCAACTGTAATCAGACATAAAAATAACAAATTGTAAATAGGAAAATATTCTTTCGCCGAATATAATTCTTTAACATCATCCACGGAATAACAGGACCGTTGTGGAAATGAACCGTTGTGAAAAATGATATATCCTGAACAGAACAGGACCTACAACTGTCGAAGGAAAAACACCGAGGTTTGAATCATTTCCGGCCATAAAGCTGGAGGTATATTGGCATGTGCATGCATTAGACTTCGCGCCATTTCCACAACGGTCCTGTTAGGGACTTCTTCATACAGTCTACTTATCAACATTATTTTATAATAATGTAATCTTTTAGGTCATATTCATCAAAATACACATACGAGGCCGAATATGACTTTAACCGCCGTTCAACTAATCCGTATTGAAATACTATAAATAGTTAATAAAACATATTTAAATGTTATATCCATTAAAAAATTGATTACTAAAATTAAATATACTAAGTTTTACGACTTAAAAACGTTTTTAAAAACTATGACATTTTAGTTTATTATATTAACTTTATATATTAAGGATTAAAGTTAATCAAAGAAGAAGAAGAAGAAGATCAACCAAGAAAAACGATAATGATTTTGAAAGTGTTTGTCCAAGTTTTGGATATTATTTTTTTACAATTGTATAAGAAGTTAAATTGATCGACCATGAACTTGGGGACGTAGCCACACTTTGAGGAGCTCCTTGACATGTAAAAATGTAATGAACCTAAACAAGTACAGAGGGTATTAGGGCAGGATTGACCACGGATATAAAATTACAAATAAAATTATTGTGTATTACTAAAAATTTATTGATGCTGGCACTGGGATTTGAACATAGGTTATTGTGGGTTGTGTGTGGTCTTTTATTTTTAATAAAATAGTTAATTTTATCAGATGATAATTTAACTTATTCGGTTATCTATATAATTGTGACATTTCACAGAAAGTTTTAGGTTTGAATATAGTGAGTTTACAATATATGTTAACAAATCGTTTGTTAAAAACGAAAGTATTTCATGCTCATTTATATTTTTAATACAACAATGTATTATCCATATAGTCAGAAATTTGCAACTGCATATTGGGCTTTTTTTTAGGGTCCAAAAAAATTTAGGGCCATTTTTAGGGCCATGAATAATATTTCATGCATAACTGTTTTCACTAAAAGTGAGTATTAATCAAATCAAAATATCTATTAACGAATGTAATCAATGAAATGTTATTTAATATTTTGTTGTTTTGTTAATTATTTTAACTGTTTGTAATGTAAAAGTAATAAAACTAAGTTATATTTTATTTAACCTTATCAAAACCTAAAACTCTTTTAAACATTATCTTTGAATTCAATACAGGGCAATCAGGGCATTTTTTGGGGATTTTGAAAATTGGATTTAGGATTATTGAGGGCGGGCTATTTCATCTTAATTTTAGAGCAATTTTTTTAGTAGTTCGCAGCACTGACATAGATCATATATAAATGTGTATATTAAAATTAACCTACGTCTCATTCGTTTCGTAAACGTAGTGATTACATTCTCATTCTCTTCTCTTTGGTTTCGTATTTGTAATATTGGGGTATAATACGTGTGCGTCTGCTAGCTATAGTGATTTAACTGTTATGTAAATATTGTAGGTTATAATTTATTTTTACTATTCTTTTTCTAAAATTATTGTCAATTCGGAGTTAGGGTAGATCGTTCAGGTTGTGTACTTTGTAGGTTAGGTACCTTTTGTTTGTATTGTCGTCGAGTTCTTGCTTGACTTGTACAAATTAAAATGTGTGTGTGAACTGTGAACAATACTGTTTTAGATTTACAACGGAAGGTTTTTAGACGTGACAATTATTATATTAAATCAAAACAGTCGTTTATTTCTAAATGTAAACTTGCGTGTCGCAGTTCATGGTTCGCGGCCGTATGCCATTAATTATGAACGAATTAAAAATTTCAAAAGCCACATACGTCGATTGGGCTAGTTAATTGACTAATTAGACAAACTCGCATCCAGTTGGTGGGAAAAATGTTGTAGTCGTAATAAGTACATTACATACAATAGTAATGTAAATCAACGAGGCAAAATTCGGTTGCCGTAGGGCCAAATAATTCAAGGAAAATGGGTGTTTGGCGGCGTCGAAAAACTTAATCAAGGCTAATAAGTTTTTACAACAGTGCCTCAATGTGTTAAAGTCTCTCCTGAGCGTTATCAAGAAATATGTGTTGCCGCCGAAACTGTGATTCATACTTCATAGTAATTGCTGAAAAGCCTATGAAGACTTGAAGGATGAAGGCTTCCAAAATTACGGTGTGAACGCTCACACCCCAAACATTGAAAGGCTTTTGCGGGATTTGCGACTTGCGTACAAATGTGCTTACTTTGTACTTGCGTCTCGCCATACGCCGCCGCACAATGGTTATTTTAACGAGACCATAATTACGTCGGATTGAGCCAATTTCATGCGTGGAGTTATTAGAGATTAACGTTTATCGGCTAGGTATTTAATGAGACATTCACGAGCAATTGGAGGGCTCTCGACAACGTTATAAAAATGTATGAGTATATAGTATGTAATTAGTATTTTTAAAGTTCCTTCAGTAGCATTACATTAGAATAAACATGTTTTTAATAACAAAATGGCGGATTTATGTAGTGAAAATAACAATTTTTAAATATTTTGTTCTCGAAAATTTTAAGCGACCGCCGCATGCTGCTTGTTGATTATTTATTTCATTAGTGATTTTTCTTTAACGAACTAAATTTTTGTTAGGTCGAAAAACACCCGTTGCTAATGCTAAATTTTACTATAAGGCTTTGGCGGGATCTGCCAAAAATTATGAACGTTCTGCCTAAGGCGCGGTTTCATACAATTCCGGAACCTAATGAGCGTTTCCGACATTTCTGGAAAGGTCTGTGTCTTTTACCCTCCAAGCATGTAAAAAGGTGAGTTATTAGTAATTATTTTGTGTTATAGCTTCAATTTTAACATATTCCTATTTCGAAGTAAACGTATATTCAACTTTGAATTTTTTTTAATATCGGTAATCAAATTCATGATAATTAAAGCTTTGTTATGTTTAGCCTGCTGGATGTAGATATTGACGTTCTCTGTATTTATATATTAAATACAACAAATGTGACTGATTTTCACAATGTTAATTTGCAATATTTAAATATTTTCGAGGTTATACTTTATTTGGCGCGTTTGGAAATATAACAGAGTAAAATTTTTACGAAGCGCACGCACATCGACCCTCAAAAAGCGACATGATGCTTGTTAACCAATTTAGTCTTGGCAACCAACAACTACTTTATACAAAATTAACAATAAATTCAAAGTTCTAATAAACTGTTATCAATGACATTTAATTTCATTACGCTACAGAAGTATAACTTCTTAAGTACATGCGTACATAAGTAGACAGTACCCGGAAGACCGAGCTTTGCTCGGTTTGTTTTTTTTTTTTTTTTTTTTTCATTCCCTGAAAACAGGGATAAAAGGTAAATCGTGTATTTTGGAATTACGCACATACTAAATTTCATTTTGGTTTCCGAAATTCATTTAGTTTTATGCGAAAAGTTGCCTAGCGAACAGGCGGTTCACCTGATGCTAAGTGAATACTGTCGCCCAGGGACATCTGCTACACCCGATGGTGGCAAATAGATGCGTTGGCAACCTTTTGAAAATTGGGCTCCGGCTACCTAACACATCTGACGAAACGAGAAAGTATTATACTTCCACTTTACGCCGGTCTTCTGTGAGGTCGTGGTACTTACCCGGACGAGCCTGCCCAATGCCCATTCGTGCAACAGCCGAGGCTGCTGCGTGGCCCCACCACAGTTAAATTAAATAAATCTGTCCATCTGCATTGATTTGCGCCTATTAATTGTTTTAATGATTGCGTTCGCTATAGTATGTACTATTTTGTTAATATATATACACATATTTTGTCACCTGCAGGTTGATTGGTTCGCTCTCCTCGCGATGCCAGTGGATTTGTACGGCCAGCGACGGTATATGCTTTCCCGCGTACGACTCTCCCGCCAAAGTCAATGGGGCCTTCCGCAGCTCGGGGAACAGAGTCAGGAACTGTTGCAGTGCAGTGTACAGGTTCTCACCGATCTGTGGGAAAGTTAATAACATATTGTATAAAAGTTAATTAAATGTATATAATTATAAAATCTACAGGTGTATTTATGAATTAACCGCCCCCATCAATAACTTTATACGATTTTATTGTAAAAAACGAATATGTGAATGGTAAAGATGCTAGATAGATGGACAGACGATAGAAACATTTCAGCCATGACTTTATTCGTAAAATTTAGTTCGTGATTTTAGCGTAATACTAGGTCTTCTCTATTCTATCTTTATTCGATATTAGATGAGAGATGTAGTAATAGATGTGAATTGATTGAATGATGAGATATGAATGAAATTTATTTTAAGTATGTAAACGATTGTCTCTTTTTGTTGTCGTATTGTTTAAATTTAATTTTAACATACCGTTGTCTGATTGGTGGCGTAGCCGCGGTCGTCGTCTGTGAAACTGAATCCCGTGCCCACTGGGTTGTCGATGAACAGCAGCGAGTGATTCTTTCCCCATGAGTATTTCATCTCTACAATGCACAATAAATACCAAGTGTGAACATAACCACTACACGAAGTCAATGCACAGTTTACATTTCAAGAAGTACATCTATAAAACATGTTATTATTTTATCTAATGGATTTATCCCACCTCGGGTCGACACAAGATGTGAATCATATTTAGTGGTATTGGCTATTTTTTTTACGACTGACCCTGCCTGCCAAACGTCAACCCTACTTGGGAATGCGCACAGATCCGGAACAATTATCTGTGGTTCGTAGAAATAAATACTTGTCCCGTTGTGAGAATCGAACACACGCCCCCGCCGCCGAAACCAATGGCTTAGCGAATACGCCAGCAAACGTTGAGTCGTGTCGAGCATATATCTTGGCAGCAACGCTTTTGCAACATGTGTGGGGTTGCAGAGGCGTTGTCAACCTTTAAAGGAGTAGAGTTCATATAACCTCCCTCTGCAGATAAAATGCAAGTAGTATACTTCCACTTCGAGCCAGTATTCTATTAAGCTGTAGAAATTTATATTTTTTTAAAATTACGTTAATACACTAATATAGCAATAGTAATTAACGTAATCATTAAAATTAAATCTCATGACTCAGACGATCTATAATCTAAAAATCAACTAAATAAAACCGTTTAAAAACTTTAAAGTTAAACGGCTTTATTTTATGTGCACTGAAAACTACAATATTGTATTGTCATCTAAATTAAATGTGTGTACCAAATTTCAGATCAATCTGACAACGGGAAGGTGCTTAAATTTCAATTTCTAATTTTGACCCAAACCGTTTAATAAAAATAACAAACATTGATGTACCTTGTAGGCTGTCATTCTCTGAAACGTAAAACGGTCCTATTTCCGTGAAAAGCCCAAAAAGGGAGGAGGCTCCTGGTCCCCCTTGCAGCCAGATGATCCAGGGCGTTTCCTCGACCGGCTTATCAGCTACCGGGAAGTACCAGAACCAGAGGTTCGAGTTATACTCCTTGTTCACCTGCAGTAATATAATGAAGAATGAAAGAGATAATGAAGAATAAAGAGAAGGTACGATTGGCGATGTGAATTACTATAACCTAAACTCTTATACGCTTCGGCATCTACAAATGCATAAAAATGATCTTAAAATTTAACATAAGTAAGAACATTTTGGTTCGTGGCGCCCGCTTTGTATTTTTCGAAACAATAAAAAAATATTTTGAAGTTATATGAGGCCCACCAATCCGCGGTGGGTTTGTCTCGTAGTGGGGTGCCTAGCAGTGGGACTTTGTAGGCTGTTTGTTTACTTTATCCAAAAGGCATGAGTGTGTTACTCGTATACTGACTTTCAAATAGTTTTCAACTGGTTCTAAGTTTGTCTTTCCCTCCGCAATTTATCTGTATATTAATACGTGAAGCAAAAGTTTGTTACCCTTTTTAAGAAAATTGCGCGGACGGAGGAGTATGAAATTTCCCACACATACTTTATATAGAGAAGGAGTGGAGAATGCTAATATTTTTTTACAATTATGCATAACATAAACCCATTAAATCAATAAAAAAAGTATTACACGCACTAACATGCATAATTAATTATGGTCGAATTTCGACAATGGGAGACCACTAGTAAGAATAAAAAGTTAAGTTAAAGATCGATCAAGCGATTGTGACGAGATACCTACCTCACTCGAAATATAACTACTTATTTAGATTGCTGGTATTTAGAAAGTTGGTATTTAGCCTTAATAAGGTGGAATATTATCAGAAATACTTCTTTAAACACGCTAATATGCAATACACGATAATTACGCGTGTTACTTTCAAACATAAAAGCAGTAATGATGCCGACAAGGAAAATACGCACGTGAAAGCTCCGGTAGAAATTTGCTTGGAATCGGTCTTCCAAACGATTTCATTAAGCGGAAGTTACTCTTTTTAAATCGCTTAACAGTATTCAAAGAATTTACAACAATAATGTGCCTTATTTTCTTAGGACGCAGCGAATGATATTAAATCGTTATCGTAACTTGACACAAGAAACTTGGGTACAAGTTTAAAGAGTCGAGGCACAAAACTGCATTGTTTTAAAAAGTTACCAAAATATGTACATATACTAGCAAGGAAATCTTAGCTTTCACGACATTTTAACATGATTCAAAAATGATGTGTTTCTTGATACCAATCATATGGAAACTTAAACTTAAGTAAAGAATAAAAAAAAGAACAAAAGCGTCTCTAGCTCAATTAAACACCCAAAAATGTAATTATTATTTTAATTCTGTTCATTATTATAAATATGTATATTTATTTAAGCATTGTTAGTAACATACATACATGCAAATACTATCTGAAACAAATCGATAAATAAACCAATAATATCCTAGAATGACATGTAATACGTACGTTCAATTGTTTATGAAAAAAATTAAGTGATTTTTATATGGTTTTTCTGATATTAATCTTTATCTTATAAAAAAAAATGTCTTCTCCATTCAATGAAACTGATGTTATCCCACAGACAATATCTAATATCAGTCTATAATCCTATTCCGAGTAACGATGTGTGGAGGCAATATATTATGAAAACATTACAAGTCCATTTTTTTTATTAACGAAAAACAAAACCGACTTCAAATATCTCGCTCTGTATTCATTTTATAATTGATTTTCCCTAAGTATCTTCGGAGACCAAGATCCAATACCAATGAAATTTATATGGGACCACATGGAAGCACAAGCTTAAAAAAAAAGAATCATCAAAATCGGTTCACACAGCCGAAAGTTTTGTGGTAAGAAAAAAAAAAAAAATCTACAGTCGAATTGAGAATCTCCTTTTTGAGAATCTGACGATCCAAGGCGGAGAAAATAATTTTATATGCTTTGTGTGCTTCATAATCATAAAGTCATCATTGATTGCCCATCGATTTGGCGCAGCGGTCGTGTAACGGCTAGCGAATTGCACTCCCACGACCTCGAGGTCGCGTCGACATGTGTGCCCCCGATGCAGCACCGACGCCACCGCTCAGCTCAGTGCATCCAATCTAACCGTTACGTTCATCTCCACCGTCGGCCTTTAACTGCGATTACGTAAGATCGATTGACTAGCACATTTGACACTCACCGATGGCCCTACGTATAAAGGTTATAGTGTGAAACGCTTAATTTCACGTGAGAAAGTTTTGAAATTTAAATTTGCATTACATATTATATTCAAAATGTTAAATTACTTACCTGCTGTGATCAATTTAGTGCTGTATTTGGTGGAGTTTTCTATCGTATTAGGGGGAAAGAGTGTGCGAGTTTTTTATTATAAAATTAAATTTAAAGTAGCAGCCAATACATATCCCAAAGCTGGGCAAAAGCGTCCTCTGTAGAGAGGTTATTAGGGCATAGTCAGCGGACGACAACGAGCTGTACAAAATTTTACAAACTATATAATAAGAAAGAAACATTTACCGTTCATTTTATTATATATGTATAATATCTATTTTAAGGGATGAAAATATGCGGGAAGAATTTATGTAATTACCGTTAAAAGTTAGATTTAAGAATTAGTAGAATTTATATTATTGTAAATGCTATATAAAGTCGGTTAAGTTAATACTCACAGTTAAATATCCCGCGTAACTTTCCACGTCGGGCAACGTATACCCGGGGTCTACAAAGGCTGCCTTTCTCGCTTCGACCAGCCTCTTCTCTTCTATATAAGGCGTCAGGAGCAATGGTTCCCCCGCGTCGAATCCCGTCCTGATGCGACTGCTCTGGTACGTCTTCTCCATGAACGTCAAAATGGGCTCAGGAGCCTCTCCCGGAGGTAACTCCGGTAACAGATAATGCTCCGTACACGCGATAAGATGTGTGATCCTATGAAATTACCATTATATTACAAATGTAACCGGTAAATGTAAATAACTTTAACTCCGGCGTAATTCAAATCAAATAAATTTTAAACGATAGAGAAAAATCACTTGTGAATTTATCAACAAGCAGAATTCGGCGGTCGCTTATAGTTTTCGAAAAAATAAATAATGAAATAGTGTGATTTTTACTATAGAAATCCACCATTTTTTTGTTGTCAATATGTCAATTCAGCTCGTATTTCTTGGTGGTCATAAAAAAAAAACCTAACATCGAAGGTTAAGGCGGGAGCTCCGGTCCCGCCTGAACCTTCTAACCTACTCTATCCGAGTCGGATTCGCTCTGTGTCGGTTCTGTGACTCATTAAATTAAAAAAAAATCGGAATATCGATACGTGTATGATATCGCCCGCTTCCTATATTTATCATGTTGGCAGAACTGTGTATTGAGTTTTTGAAGTCAAACAAATAAAATGGTGGATTTCTTAGTACAAAAAACAAGTTTTAAATATTTTTTTCTCGAAAACTATAAGCGACCGACGAATTCTGCTTGTTGATTAATTCATTAGAGATTTATCTCTAGCGTTTAAAATTTATTTTAATTGAATTACGCAGGAGTTAAAGTTATTTACATTTACCATGTAAACTATGGGAATCCAATATAAGAAATAATATTAGACAATAGAAAGCAACAACAATAACATTGGTCACGATCAAAGGCTATGCACGATAGATAAACTTGCCAGGAATTCTCTCCATGAAGAATTAATGAAAATATATGGCAGTAACTTTAACGACTGAATTTTTAAAAATTATTTTATGATTTTCATCGGAATTATATTTAACTACGATTTAAAATTAAACAATATGCCTCTTTCGATTCCTTCAATAAATTTGTTTCGCCAAAACTTGGAAATTTTTTACTAATTATTTTTTTTTAATTTAAAATTAATCAATATGCCTCTTTTAATTCCTTCAATAAATGTGTTTCGCCAAAACATGTCATTTTTTTAATGTTAAAACATCTTTTGTTCAAAAGCACATATAAGGATGGAAACACTATGAAAAAATTAAAAAAATAAACACTCACGAGAGAAGTATCGTCCATCGCTGGAGCGCCATCGTGCTTGGCGGCTTGGGGACTGGGGATGTGATGCTCTCGACACACAGATCTTCCGAAGCGGAATGGAACGGGAGTACTAACGACGGAAACCTTGTATACCCCCGCGGCTCGCTCGCACTTGCGTCTTGAACTTGGATTTATCTCCATCTTAAGTACAGGGTGTCCGGTTACACTTGTTTACTAGCTGTTACCATCGTAACATTAACGGTCGTTTATCGATCGGTTAGGGGATTTTGAGACATGATCGTAAGACTCACGTTTTATGTCCGATAGTTAATAACGTGAAGTGGGAACAGTTCTACTAGAACCTGAGTAAAATATTCAATGGTGACTAGTTCGTAAAAAAGGTTGTGCTAATGGTTTTAATTAATATCTGTAGTTACGCTTTAAATTTGTATTTCATTTCTAATTAGATATATTTTCAAATTTTTAAAAATATCAATATGTGTAAATTTTATACATTTCAAATTTAAATATAAAATGTGAGTAATAGTTGGGATTAAAAATTTAATGTATTTCATATCAATTTTTTGTCTAATATTCCATTAAATTAAATTTTAAATGTGACATTTTTAACAGCGAATATAAACTATATAAACGAATTAAGAAATATTTTAAAACAATAAATTCAATACGTATTGGTTGCGCGGCCATTTTGTGACCGGATAGTGGCATCAACCTGTATAGCGCCCAAGAACAGGTATAGGGTACCAATGACCTGTTTAGCATAAACTCGCTCCCACGCTCCCGACATTCGCGATAGATTCTTGCACGCTCTTAAAATGTGATTTGCTCTATATTTAGGATGTGTAGTAAAACAAACATCGACGCCGGTACAGTTGAGACGTGAACGAGATCGATAATAGCACATTACGTACGCGACTACACAATAGGGTCCGCAGTTGTGAATTCCCACGGTCCGGGTTTTTTTCGGATTGTAAAATTCAAATTCAAAGCACGCTCCGCTGCTCGATGATCCATTTAGGACGTGAATTGCAAACCCTTGCCAGATATCCTACTCGATTGAGCATAATTCAAAAAAGGAATATTAATGCAGCGATAACTTGTTCCTGTGTAAAAAACCTTTACAGGAGAGTTATTTGAAGTTATAAAATTAATGTTAAGAAACCGAACAAAACCCAAAATAACAGCAATTAAAATTTAAGAGTACAAATAATCTCCAGTTTTGTGATTAAAAAATTACCCATCGTAAATATGCTATCGCATAACAGATTGGACCAAGTATATGTGACACAACCCCTATGACCCCCAACTGATTGACTAAAAAAGGGTCCTTGAATTCTGACAACGTGTTAAAGAATTATCGATGAACGTATGTAAAAAGATATTTCGAACCTCCTTTTTTGCAGTCGTTGAAAATGGGTACTTTGCACCAGTTTTTTGAAAGAAAAAAATAAAAAAAAATATTCGGCCCTGTTCGTGATGATGTCATGTCTTGTATTTACGAAAGGTTCAATAATGAATCAGAATTTTTTTATTCGAACTGAATCCAAACCGGAATTTATTTTCCGTTATTATTTTGTTTATTCATGTAGTAATCTTTGTTGGTAAGTGTAGACATCTGTGTGACAAATATATGCTATATATATTTCATAAACATGTGGTAAAAAATATAGCGGTCGCGGGAATATTACATTATTACAGTATAAAGTAGTCTCAGAGGACCCGTTATTCGAGTTATAGAAAAGAACATGATATCGTAATTTGAGTTTGTTTATTACGATCTTTATAGAGAAACCAGTAAAGGTATTTCAGATACCTTTACATATTAACAGGTTTTTAAATAAATGTTGAGGAAAGTACATTAAGGCTTGATCAAACTTAAATTCGTCCGACCGTTTTTAATCAGGCAGAACAATTCAATTTTATTGAATACAATAAAGAATAGTCCTAAGCAATTATAATACAAACTAATACTGAAGAACATCAACACAGCATATAACATATTTTTCTAGTTGGCTTATACAATATTTTAATGAACTTTGTATGTTTAATAACTCTAGAATTATATTATGTATCTACATCAAGATGTGTAAAGTTAGGATTTATTAATATAATAAACATTCAGAATTATTTCTAAAAATCGGATATAGGTTAGATACAGGTTAGACCTAGACAATGATATTTTATATTATTTTATTTTTATTTCATTTTATAGCACGAAATATCACTGTACCTAAATAAAAAATTCCTTGCTCTCAATAATTACTTCTCAAAGTAAATTTTAATGTGTAAAGAAAAAGATTTTTGTATTTATCATTTTATACATAGGCAGTTAAAGATCAACCTGAACAATATCATGATATTCAAACAATCATAGAGCGTTCGTTGCCTCAACGGCCTTGGCAGACGTGAAACGCTTGTATTATAAAAATAAAGTACACATCACATTATTAAATTTATATAATTTTTTTTTATTACATAGTCCAGAATTAATAACATAAAGTTCCTACATAATTATGCTCATTTGTCCATATTATTTTTACAGGCTTCCAAAAAAGCGCCTCTGGGTTCAGTTTTCTGCAAATAAAACTCATCCATACAGAAAAACATGATATTAGCATTTCTAGTCAGTTGAAAGCCGAAAAGTAACTAATGCATTAAATGTTGTAGTGAATTAAAAAAAAAGCAATTGGCCATAAAAGTTTATTGCGGTTTGATAGAATTTTATAGGAATTAGGTAAAATAAAAATTACAAAAAAATTAAAACATTTTTATAAATGTTTATAAACACATTTTTATTTTAAAATTAAAGGACAGTAAATAATGCTGCTTATCTGTGATTTATAATTTGGCGGTATTTAGTGTTTTATTCTTATCTCCAAATATTTTAAAGCTATGGGTTATGGCTATTAGGTCCTTACATGAAATAGCCGATATTTTATAGAAAAATTGAGCACTTTTTTAATGAATGTTGTCTATTAAATGTTAAAATGTGATTTTAGTTGATTAATTGATCAAATAATGGTGGCAAACGAAACGGTTATCAGGTGCACCACAAACACTTGTGGCACCGGATAACCACCGCCCATGGACATTTGCATCACTCGTATGGTTGCAGATGCGTTGCCACCTTTTAATAATGTGGGCCTCGGCCTCCACACTCACCCAACGAAACGCAAAGTGTACAACTTGCACTTCACACCGGTTTCCTGTGAGGTCGTGGTGCTCCCCCGGACGGACCAATCTTCGTGCAACAGTGAAGACTTGTGTGTCCCTACCATAGTTGAAGGAAACACACATAGCGTCAAGGATTCAAAATGCCATAAAAACAGTATATAAATATAAATGAAACTAATTTTTACGGATTTATCGCGTTTATTTTTAATTTTAATTCCCGACGTTTCGAACTCTTTACAGCGTTCATGGTCACGGGACAGACTGAGGTGTTGGACGTCTGATTGTCATAGTTAACCGTCAGGGCTACCGTCAGTTTTTGAAATATTATTTTGTGTCCGATTGTGGGCTACCCAGTATCTCCCATTGTCGCTGACATATTTATAGAAGACTTTGAGAAGAAGGCCCTTCAAACAGCTCCCATTTATCCAAGGTTTTATAAGAGGTTAAGAGTAGTTCACATTCACACCACAGCTATGTGGCTAGAGCGTCGGGCGCGTAATCTGGACGAGGCAGGTTCAAATCCTCGCAGTGGCAAAAAACTTTTCCGTCCATTTTTCTAAAAACTTCATCTTAAGTGCAGGAAGTAGCACTATAAAAATTAATATCATTTAAAAAGTATTGTATCTTTATATGCATTTGTCTGCTTAGCGCTTTAATTTCAAAATATCTTCAGAGTCTTCGACTTAGGAATTAATTTGAACACTGACGAAGGTTTTCGTAACCCGACCGTACGACGATTCCAATTAACAAATATCAGACTTTACTACCTCCAATTAAACTTAAAACCTTACTACAGGTGTTGATGAGTGAGCTTGCGAGTACGTACATAAGTATACGGTATAAATGGCGGCATCTCTTGGTTGCGTTGCCTTAGCTAGATTACTCTTTTACTCCGCGAAATGTTTGAATTACATATTTAAATGACAATTTGTACCTCTCAAGTACAAATTGCCATTTAAATATGTCGTTAACGTTAAGAAAATATACATAAATAGGTAACGTTAAGAACCCTTTAAATGCTATGACAGACAGACAACAAAGAAGGGTGGACAATAAAGCATTTTTTTAAGTTTTCCGTTTTTAAAAAATACTGTACACATTTATATAGTTTGAAACATTTTCTCATTCTTGAAAATTAACTTTATTCAACGAGCTTAAAAAAGTTCCGATCAAAGAGAAAAAAATATATTAAAGATAATCGTCAGATACACGAAAATAATATGCGCTATATCAATTTAATATAATTTAATATTACTCAAAATATGCATTATCTCCATAATCCACACTAATATTATAAATGCGAAAGTAACTCTCTGTCTGTCGTCGAAAGTAACGTCTGTCTGTCTCGCTTTCATGCCAAAACTACTGAACCTATTTAAAGGAAATTTTGTACACGGATAGTCTAGAGCCTGAGAAAGCCTATTTTTAAATTGGAAAAAAGCGTTGTAAAGTGTTGAAAATATCTTTCTTTAAAATATATATAATTTTTTTAAGAAAGATTTATTTAAGGGCTTCAATACGAACGAAGTCGTGAGCGAAAAGCTAGTATTGCATAAACGTTAGATTTTTTTACGTGAGGAAGTGGACATTTGCAAAATCCGTAGGGTAGCAGATGCGTTGCCACCTCTTAATAATGTGGGCCCCGGCTAACTCACCAGACCAAAGCAGAATTGCAACACTTTACGCCGGTCTTCTGTGAGGTCGTGGTACTAACCTGTATGGACTTGCCCATTCGTGCAACACTGTTGCGTGGCCCTACCACCGCAGGGTAAAATAAATTCAAATGCCTCGGGCTTACAAAATTTTTTCAGTCCGATGACGAGATCCGTCATGAAACTGCCGTTTATTTTTATATCATATTTTTTTCTTACAAAACAATATTAGCGTAAACACGTCGGTAGCCATAGGAAGTGCAAGAGAGCGTTCACAGATTATTTAACAAAAATCGAAGTAAACAGAATGTATATTTTCATTAGTCAGATTTATCGTTGTTTCGAGATTGCTGCACAGCGATAAATTTTGTTAGTAGGCGCACTTCGTCTACAATTCTTCACCGGCTGTCAAGGCCCGACATTATTCCGTTGATAAATCTATCCAGATCCAGATCGACATTGTGATTTCGTCTCAGGTTCTGAGCTGTCTACTTATTGTCAGTCGGAAACATGCGTCGACTGGTTGATTGTTTTTTTTTTTGCGGTGCACAAATAGATCGTTCATAGAGTTCCGAGTCTATGTTTCTCACAGTTTTTTTTTTTATCATAGAACGGCGGTGAATATTTATCAATTATTTTGTAAAGTATTATCTTATTATGTGTCCCACTGGTGGGCAAAGGCCTCCTCTGTACAAAGGAGCTTCATTCTCACCGCTCTACGACTGGGTTCCCGTCTGGAGGTGGAAGGGCTTTGTACTGTAGCCCTAAAGGCGAAGCTAAAAGACACCTCTGAGCCGGTTTGAGGGTGGACTTAATGAGCCCACATTAATCTCTTTGATAAATTACTGTACGATAACATTATGTTGTGTTATAATTACGTTTTCAAACATAAACGTAGGCAAACACTCAGATCCGAAACAACTATCTATACAAATAGTTGCCCCGTGTTGGAATTGAACCCACCACCCACGACCCAAGCCAATAACTTGATAACTGGGCCATGGAGTCATCCAAGCATTGGATACGCGCAAGGAGCGTGCGGGGGACAGGTTGAGGGTAGAAGCGGAACTTCTGTATGTTCATAAACCGAAGCCACGGGGGAAGACGAGGTTGATATGGCGTTTGGCCGATATCCTTAGCGATTGGACGGGGTTCAATCGCTATATCGAAATTCATCCGTATGTTTACGTCCACAAAACTAAAAAAACTAGCGGATCGGTTGACTTGATATTTGTTCAGAACATAGCTATTGAACAGGAGAGTTCTTTATATATCCCCTTATTCAAAGTTCCAAAGTCCCCGAAAAAGCCTCCGCTAGCCGGGTTCAGTTAGTTTGTTATAGAATTGTATTATGCTAGTTAAGGAGTGTTGCTTAATACAATGCGTTCTCCATACTGAGCTAGTGTTGCTGCTTCTTAGCACAAGCTCTCCTGGCTCCCAAGGCCTCTCCAAGGAAAGGTTGCGGAAGTGTACCAAACTGTTCAAGTAACCCTGCAGACAAGCCCTGAATGGGGTCGTGGGATTCCTTGCCCCCCTAAGGGATGGTATACGTCGACATTTCCCCATGTAAATAAAATGAGAAGTCTCATAATGTCTTTGACAGATTTTTTTATTACCATTAGCGTTCTAACTTTTCTCAGGTCGGTGTTAGGGCCACGTAACACTGTTGCACGAATGGGCAGGTCCGTCCGGGTAAGTACCACGACCGCACAGAAGACCGGCGTAAAGTAGAAGTTATACTACTGCGTTTCGTCCGGTGAGTGAAGTGTAGCCGGGGCCCAATTTACTTAAAGGTGGCAACGCATTTGTAACCCTAAGAGTGTTTGCAAATGTCCATGTCCATGGGCGGCGTTTATCACTTAACATCAGGTGAACCGCCAGCTCGTTTGCCACTTTCTCACATAAAAAAGGATGGTTCACGCCGAGCACGCGATAAATCAATACAACTCAAAATTTAAGTTCACAAATTTTACCAATGTATTGGTTTCGGGGGTCGTTGGTTCGATTCCCGCACGGGACAAGTGTTTGTGTGACCCACAGATGATTGTTTCGAATCGGGGTGTTTGTCCTTGTGAAATTTATGTGTTAAACGTCCTTATTACACATGATAATGTTATCTTACAATGAGGGCAACGTTTTAAAAAATATAACTGTTGCTGGTACAGGGATTTAACCTATGTTGTTCAAGGGTACAAAGTGATCACACTGGGCTATCACAGCGATTAGTAATTGCCTGTCATTACGGTCTACAGACATTTAACTTTGATACTTTTGAATATAATCTATCGGCTATAAATCAACGGCAAAATGAAAAGACAAAGAAAATTTCTGTTAATTTTAAGTAAAATAATCATACATACATATTTAAGTTATTAACTAATTTGCATACTTCAATACTCAATGCAATTCTCACATTTACTTGGAAGACAATATCAAGTTGGACAATTATATTGTAATACATAGATCTTTTATAAAATATTTTTAGGCAGCTCTAAATTTGTTAATAGTATTTTTTATCAACATTTGACAGTTTTAATTTACAAGATTCGAACACGTAACATAACATCTCTATGTTAGCGTAGTTAAAATAAATATCAATACTTTATATCAAAATTGTCATGTTTATAATTCAAATAGACTATAACAGTATAAAGTTTAACATATTTAATTTTGTACATATATCTTAATCTCTATAACTTTCGAGTGAATTAATGGATAAAAAATCAAGTCAGTATAAAATTAAAAGAACCGAAATGAAAGAATACTCTTGTTTGAGATTAAGAAAAATAATTCTGTTCCTATACCGGCCACATTTCAAACGGTCAGTCAAAACGTTCAAATGGACAATCCCAGAACATTAGGCGAAGTAAAAAAATAGATATCGTCGCTCAACTCTTTGCTATCATCAAATGAGGAAAGATCACAATCGTTCACAGAAGGCAGGCGGGCGTGTTCTTTTCCGTCGTCATCCGCGTCAGATTCCGTTGTATCGTCAGTTTCCGTCGTTTCGGCGTCAGTTTCCGTCATTCCGACGCGCCTACGTCATCGTCAGCACGCCGTCGTCTACGGGCGAGTAGAAGAAGTCCGCCGCCCGCCGCCTCCAGCGGACCGCGTAGACCGCGAGCAGGGCGGCTACGAGCGCGAGCGCTACGTTGAAGCCCACGCTCACGGCGAGCGCGGTGTCGTAGCGGTGCGGCGCTACGGGCGCGTAGGCGGGCGGCGCCTCCGCCTCGTAGTTCGGCGGCGAGGGCAGGTCCAGGCCCCTGATGAAGTAGGAGACCAGCTGCAGCACTTGGCCGGGCTTGTCTATAGGCGCCAAATGGCCCGCGCCCCTCACCAGCGCTTCGGTGAAACCGCCCCCGCTCTTCACGTACCTGCGGCCACAATGGAATTTATAGTGGATTTATATCAGCGTTCTGCTCAGTAGTAATTTAACCAGTTTTGAACGGAGCGCGACGCGGCACGACCGGACACATTAACAGGCGTGCGATAGTACGCTTCGTTTTTAATCGGACTTCTTATTAATAAAAAAATAATGAAACGTTTCACGATGTATTTCTATAATACGTTAACAAACCTTAGCAAAGCTTGTACTATAGATATTGTTGCGAAATAGCAGGCTCGTCCGGGATAGAACCGCCAGCTCGCTTGTCAACTTTTCACATTAAAAAATATGAACACCGAAACACTAGAAAATGCTTTTTTTATGTGATAAAGTGACAAACGAGACGACGGTTCACCTGATGTTAATTCCTGATGGACATTTGCAACACCCGTAGAGTTGCAATTGCGTTGCCACCTTTAAATAAAGCGGGCCCCGGCTACCTCACTCACCAGACGGAACGCAGAACTGCAACACTTCTACTTTACACCGGTCTTCTGTGAGATCGTGGTCGTTGCACGAATGGGACGGCCCTGCCCATTCGTGCAACAGTGAAACCTGTTGCGTGGCCACAGTAACAATTATAATAAAAAATAATGAAACATTTCATGATATACTTATATAATACGTTAACAAACCTAAGCACGCTTCAACTATAGACACCTTTGCGTATAGAAACGCCAGCACTTATCAACTTTTCACATAAAAAAATCTAAACAGGCAAACACAATAAAACGCCAACGCGTCGCCCTTAAGGCTAAGCCGACAAGGGCCACATTCGCTTGCGCCGAGCTCACCCGGCGACGCGTCCGCCGTAGTACCAGGGCAGCCGGGGCGCGGCGAGGAACCGGCCGCGGCCCGCCCAGCGCCAGCTGCGGCGGCGCCACTCGCCCGAGGGCACGCACGCCGCCGTCAGGTCCAGCTGCCCGCTGCCGAACGAGCGGTCCGTTCACACAGCACGGCCCCGTTAAAAAACGTATACGCAAACACTAAAATAACAACAAGTCGCACTTGTTTGACGTGACGCACGCATGAGCACATGCGCGCCCCCACTGCAGAGGGCCTCAAACAATGGGTTATGCGTTCGATACAGCTTTAATAGTGTCGGGACGGAGAGCGTTAACCAAACGTAATAGTAGGTAGTAAAATTTTTATATAATATATATTTTATGCAAATAAACATAAGTAGGCATGGCAATAACTGGCGATTATTTTGAGTAAAAAATCTACGAAACAGTGGGTTGATACGGGCTTTTAATCGTAAGTAAGTAATATTCTATAGGTTTCTATTGATACTAGAGGTCTATATTTTAGAAGAATAGAATATTTTTCTATACCAGAAGCTTCATATAATTGACTTTCGTAGTCAGCCGTCTATCTGACGTTTAACAATTATCTATGCGTCATCACATGTAATACTTGTGTACTTGTCCCGTATGTGATTCCAACACACAAATTCAAATATCACAATATAGAAGCATTACACTTACTTATTGATTGTCAAAACGCTACAACCGGTTCGGAAAAGAAACGAAACTGACCTGCGAAGAAGCGGCGAAAGAAACACAGCAGGACGTTTTTTTACCATCATTTGACAAGAAATATGTTTACAATGTATTAAAGTCCACTTGAAAGAGCCTGGGGCGACCAACAACACAACCCAAGGGCGTAAAGCAATTGCTTATCAATATATAACAATATAAAAAATATTGAACAAAAAAGATTTTTTTAAACATGTTGTAAGGACATTTTTCAAGCATAAATTGCACAAACACCCAGATACGAAACAGCTGTGGGTCTCACAAACAGTTGTCCCGTGTGGGAATCGAACCCGCGACGCCGAAGCCAATTCCTTGGCAACTTCACCACGGAGTCATTTAACTTTTTTAATAAAAAAAAATGCCCTTTCGTAACTTAATATCCTTTGTGGTGAAAGTATCAAAACCGTCAAAGCCGCGTACAGACGACTTTCGCATTTCCAACAACAAACAGTGGTGGACTACGCCCTGTATAGAGGAGGCCTTTGCCCAGCAATGGGGCATATATAGGCTGCTCCTTTAATCAGTCCGATACAAAAACGACACGCACCAATAGACCAGGACCTTGAAGTGCTCCAGCACCGATGTCATTATCGGGGACATCCTCGCCAGGAAATCCTCCACCAGGCACGTGTGGACGGTGGAGTTCCTGAAGGTGAACTGGATGTTCCCCACGTGCAGCGCCTCCCTCACAGCGTCCAACTTCACGTACTCCTTGAAACCTTCGAAATCGCCGTAATCGCTCAACGCGTTGTATATCTCGGGCTGCGAGGCGATGTCTTGGAGCTTGTTTAGAAGGTCGTCGCGGAGCTGCGGAATGGACGTCACTATAAGCTGGAGCTGAGTTGATGGGTTTTATGGATTATTGTAGGTTTCGATTCAAATCTGTGCACGAATAGTGAAGACATGACAGATTAAGATTCTTTCTGGTGTTTATGTATATTTAATAACTCGCTGTTAGCAATTACGTCAGTAACTATTGCAACGGTGGAATCGTTTTATTTATTAAATAAACTTATGTAGCGAAACTATGATTCTTATATATAACATCTTTATTTTATATCTTTTCTTTCTTTATCGATATTTTATATCTCTTTATTAGAATATATAATATTCTGTGCGTGTGTATTTTTTTTTAATGTGAAAAAGTGGCAAACGAGCTGGCGGTTCACCTGATGTTAAGTGATAACCGCCGCCCACGAACGTTTGCAACACCGGTTGCAGATGTGTCGCCACCTTTTAATAAGGTGGGTCCCGGCTACCTCACTCACCAGACGAAACGCAGAAGTGTAACACTTCTACTTTAAGCCGGTCTTCTGTGAGGTTGCGGCACTAACCCGGATGGACCTGCCCATTCGTGCAACAGCGAATACTGTTGCGTGGTCCTACCACAGTCAATATGACTGTGATAATGATTTTTTTATGTGTGTTCAAGTGGATTCGAGAATAGTTTAGATTCACAATACAGCCCACTACAAGATATCTTACTTTATTTTTTTTATTTATAAGTTATTGTCGGATTTAAGAGGTGTGTACATGACAAGGTCTGTCGGGTCCGCTGTTGAGGTGTAGTCATCGTCAGCACGTTGACAAGTAGCCGGAGCACTCACAACCACTGCTGCGCTGCTGTTGCCACTTCGGATCGCCTGGATGAACTGCTCTTGAAGCTGGGCAGCGGCCATCGCCCCCTGGGCGTCTATCAGCCCCCAATTGTAGAACACCGACGTGTAGTTCATAACGCTCTCGCGGTCCAATATCGGATTGCCCATTATCAGGCCCTGAAACGGGTTTTCTTCAAATATCACGAGGGATTAGAAGGCATGTTATGTGTATAATTAGTGTATTTAATGGCTTTCATGAAGTTAAAGGTAATTATTTACAATAGTGGCCCGTTTCACGTACACAGATAACATTTTAATCGACAGCGAAACATTATCGAAACAATAATTAGGAATTTAAATTGTTTATAGTGCTAATCTTTGCACTTAAGATTTAACATTAAAATATGTAGAAAAAGTACGAAAAGATTGTCGCCGCTGTGGGAATCGAACCCACGTCCACGGCCGCAAATGCCGAAGACGTGGGTTCGATTCCCACAGCATTTTTTAATTTTAAGAGAGAACTCAGGTTTTTACTTTCTTGGAGAGTGATGCTTAAAACCATTATTCATAAAATTAGATCAATTAAGTCCAACATTAAATTTTTTCAAAATGATAAACCTATCATTTATATATTTAATGTATGAAAATGTACGTCTAACAAACTTAACCAAGTTCGTTTTTATACATTAAATATTAATACTAAGAAACTTTATTATTCATACATTGAGATAATATGAATAGAAGTATAACAGAATTACTTTATGGTTTCAATTCCATTGGATTTCTTACATGTTTTGATTACGCACAGGCCAGGCGGATCGAATTCTTCGGCGTTCTCTTTCAGCCGAGATGAGACATTCTGGCATTTTGTTATCGAATCACAAGTAAAATAAAACTGTCAGACTTTTTTTTTTAACCGTCTCCGAATGCCAAGTTGAATGGGTACCTTCAAGATATACGGGAACCTGCCGGTGGTAGTCTTGGCGATCTCTTCCAACGTCTTCTGCCCGAAGGCCGGTATGTAGTGACCGGCGTAAGACTCGCCCGCCACGTAAAGCGGTGCTTCCCGCAATTCGGGGAATAGCCCCACTAATTGCACCACCGCTTTGTACAAGTGGTCAGAATACTGTGAAAGATTACAAAAAAATTAATAAATACAAGATACAAGATCACAAAACACCACCTAATAACATCGTATGAGGAGTATATTTTTAATTTTACTATTTCCGAAGAAAGTTTCATTGATTATAATTATACTCGTCACTATATTATGTACAAATTGTTTATGTATGTAGAATATCTTGACGACGCCAATGTGTGGGGTTAATACTGTTGATACTCACTTAGGCTAGTAAGATTTATACCTATCCTATTATATTGTAAAAAATCGTTTTCAAAAAAGAGCAACTGTTGAGTTTCTTGCCGGTTTCTTCTCAACAGAAACTGCTTTCGGAACCGGTGGTAGGTTACTTACGAACGTATTAATTTTTATGTAAAATGTTTACGTTTCATAAGAGTTATATGTGAATAAAATATATTTTTGATTTTGTAAATTGGGCCGTCTTCAGTATACGTTAATCGTATGCTTTTGCGGCGATTTCTTTTCTTAAATTTCTTACTTATTTCAATGCAATTGATTCGCTCCTTATGACGTCACAGCATTTCTACTATCATAAAGATTTTGGGAAAATTATTAACATACCACAAAGATGCAACACAGTATGTGATAACGTTATATGAAAACAAAGACCACTGACTATAAATTTAATATATGGGGTAGTTCGAGACCGTTAAACTAACTGATTGAGACCAAATCAAATATAACGCAAAGTTTGTATGTTATTCCGCTATTCATTACTCATTCTACTAACCAATTAAGAAATGACTTAAACACTATTTAACATACCATCGACATATTCCTAGCGAAGCCTTCCTTGCTGTTGGTAAAGCTGAATCCCGCTCCGACTGGGTTGTCAATGAACACAATAGAATACTCCTGATACCAAGAAAATTCGCGACCTAAAACGTTACTAAATCTTAATTAAACCTATAAACATAGCTGCGTAGCCTTAAGACACGTTATAAATGTAAATCGAACCATCGTCGAGTTATAGATTGTAGTCTCACTACATATTATAAAGCGTCGTCGTCGTCAGTCGTCCCGCTGTCTGTCTGTCCCTATATATGCTTATATATTTAAAACTGCGCAACGGATCTTGATACGGTTTCTTTTACTAGATAGAGTGATTCAAGAGGAAGGTTTATATGTATAAAACATTGTGCCCGTGCGAATCCGGGTCGGGTTTGGGGATTTGAGACAAACCCGGTAAGGCGAAGTTCGAACAAACGCACAAACTTAAGCATAATAGTATGAATATTGAATATAAGAGCAGTCTGATGTTCACACAATACGCTTACGTTTCAATCCCATGTCTTTATTGTATTCGAACGGGCCGATTTCGTCGAAGAGGCCAGCCAGGCTGCTGGCGCCGGGACCTCCTTGGAGCCAAATTATCCATGGCCTCCTGTTCCTTTCGGTGTTGTTGCTAGGGAAGTACCAGAAGAACAGATTCGAGCCGTGGCTCTCGTCTACTGTAAGGAAGCCGGAGTAGCTCGTGACGTTCAGGAACAGCGAAGGGTCCACGGTGGAGAGGTTTCTGGCCGCCTCGGTCTTGTTCGCTTCGATGTATGGCGTTAGGATGAGTGCCGGTGTCACCGCTACCGCCAATTCAATACAAATTAGGCTGAAATCAGATTTAATGCTGGTCATGCACTTGCCATTTCATTAAAAAAAACTGATATTGCCGACTTTAATTCACTGTTTGCAATAACAGATTACCTTACTTAATAAAGATTCGTTTAAATTTGTAATTTCTATATCATATTATATAACTAAGACAGTTGACGTAAATGTTTAATGGTTTGGTTAAAACTAAATAAAAGCGTTATTTATTTTAATTATTTAGTTTTCGGTTTGTTTGTATAAAGGTTTTGGTACAACCGTTATTATCAGGGGCCAAATTTGGTATCCACTCTAAAAGCGAGGCTAAACATAGATCATGTAGTCATACCTACTATAATTATGACGCAAATACTGGTAAGCAAACGAGAAAACCCTTGCCTTTCCCTCCGAACAGATTATTATTAATAAACATGACGCAACGAACAGTTTACCGATATTCGAGTATATTTCGATTTCTATGTAGCAGCGGGCATTCGCGCCTTTTTAGGGTTCCGTACCGCAAGGTTAAGACGGGGACGAAAGGTTAAACAATGATTTTAGCGGGGCTCCCATACAACAGACACGATTTTTTTCCGTTTTAATAGATAATGGGACGGAACCCTTGGTGCGCGAGTCCGACTCGAACTTGGGCGGTTTTTTTTAAATATGCAATTGCTAAATCATAATACCAGTTACATATAAAAAAACGTAACAATAGTCGCTCCCCACGATATGGGTTTCGATTTCGCGAATTACTGAAGAATTATGATTTCTTTAGATTTTTGATTTTATACAAATCCAGAGAAATGATAAGCAGCGTTTCTTAACCTCCGGATCTCGAGGCAAGAAACATATTCTGGTCCGTGACGAGATTACACAAAAAAGTATTTTTACTTCATAATTACATACAACTTATTTTAAGGAACGAAAAGATATATTTGTAAGGTATAGTTCATCAAGGCCGCAGCTGAAATTACAGGACTTACCCTTTACAATACTCGTTTAATTTTAAAATATGTAGAAATAATGTAATTTTATTTAAATTTTAAATTATACGAATATTATTAGGTCAAAATATTTTCTCCGAAAGTAAAAACAGTAAAAGTTATTATTTTTCAATTCTGCTAAATTCACATAAATATGGATTGTAAATATGGATCCACCAATAAAATAAAACAACTATAGAATAAACAAACACTAGGTACGCAACCGGCAACTTTTTATCTTTAAACTAAATGTAAACAAGTGTTATCGTTTACGTATTCTTTACACATTCACTTTGTTAACTTTCGAAACTCGGAAGTAATCTATTTTTCAACCTTTGTGTTTTGTATAAAAAAAAATAGTAAATCAATTAATTAAGTTAATCAGGTTAATAAAATTAAAGAACTTGTTATAATTAAACTAAAATATTTCGCTAATCTAAGAGAACAGCCATCATTAAATACACTATTTATTAAATGTAATTCCTCACCTTATAGTTACAAGAAGTTTAATAAATGCCATGTTTCTTAAAATTTCATCAGTTAAAAAATCCAAACTTGAAGAGCATAAAAATAAAATGAAATGAACAATAATAAAACTAATTAAACACACTACACTGTATACATTTACATTTTATGTCAAATGAAAACACCTGCGATTCGAACAACAAAAGTCAAATAGGAAAGTAAGACAGACACAGATTAAACACAACTCTAACAGATAGATGAAATAAGTTCTGTAAAAACTTCTCTCAAAAATCAACAGCATTAATTTCATCATAAATAAAATAATATGTTTAATTTAAAACAGTAAACGTTAATAAGTACACTTTTAGTTTTTATCAAATATTACAGATTATTTTATATTATTTTAATCTGGCAACGTTTTAGTTATTCCCTGGAGTTGGCAAAAAAAATCAAAATAAGTCATTATGTATTTTACGAGCTCGGGATAACTATGCTAGTGATAATAAGCATTCTAAAATAAATCAAGTTTCACATACATCATCATCATCATCAGGACCAGATTTAGAGGTTTGGAGGCCTCGGGGCAACAAAGGAGTAGAGGCCCCTTGGCCCCAAATTATTTTCTATTGATTTCTGTTAATATTTAGTGTTATCATGTTTGTACAAAGTACTGTAGATAAAAGTAAGACGTGAAAAAAAATATGAAAGGAAAAGTTTTTTACTATTGTTTACTAGTCTGAATTTGAAATTTTTTCCGAAGTCTCTATTGTGGGGGCCCCTCGTTTGTGGAGACCCCGGGGTTGTTGCCCCGGTTTCCCTTCCCTAAATCTGGCCCTGATCATCATCATGATGACGTATAAAAAACATCGTTGTATAAGACATATCACAGTGCTGACCACGAGCCTGTTCCCTCTCAGAATGTGAGGGGTTAGGCCTATGGTCGTACATTAGCCAAGTGCGGGTAGTATTCTTTAATACAAGCACACACACAGTTTCTTGCATTATTTGCCTTTAATCAATTGCATAAAATGTGTATTACGTATTTATGGTATACGTAATATGTAATATTTCATCTAGTAGTTTATCTCGCTAGATTCTCATTATTATCCCCCACCAGTGTGAGCACAATATGATTTGATTTGACTTCAGACTAATAATATTTGGAAAGGGACAAACCCCTCTGTCGTTACTATCTCTCTTGGCTAGTTTAGCCACCATGCAAATTTGACATGTAAATCTTACGCACATTGCATATGGTCCAGTTTTGTACTGTAATATTTTCAGTCAATGCAGTCTTCTTTAATTATACAACTCTTGCTTGTTCGAGCAGCCTGAATTCAAGTCACGGTATTGAAATTGTGTAGCATAATGTTAGGCGGGGAAGTGTGTATACATTTTTTTTAATAAATTCTAGCATAATAAAAAATGATAAATATTTAAAAATTACTCGTAAATTAATTACATTCATTTAAACTTATTGCGTGATTTATACGCAACTCATTTATTTTACACGCGATCATTCATAACTAACACGCATACAAGTTCGTGCACAGTAAAATTTAGGTATTTATGAATGACTACCGCATTGTCAACACGTTCTGTTTTTTAGGGAATGAATGGCATTTTTTTTGGAAAAAAAAAACTTGTTTTTTATTACAATAAACGATTATAATACCGATTCTGAACCTCCTGTGTAAATTTGGGCACTTCCAAAAAATCTCCCAGCGACATTTCAAATGATGTAAGTGTAGCAAATTTTGTTTACTTGTTTTGGCAAATCTGCGATGAATTGTAATTATTTTACCTAAACAATTTTGTTTACTTGTTTTCAAGATGAATTGTAATTTACTTCAAAGAAATTACATAATGAACTAAAAAAGTTTGGATCGCCATTTCTCATTTCGTTAAATTATATAGGTCCCAATATAAACAATGATTTTCTACACAATTAAAAAAGGTTGTAGTCAAATATAGGTGACAAACAAGGATTGTCATGGAACTGTTAAAATTACTTAAGAGCGAGAGAGGGCGCACCACACTGTACAAGGACGCAGTGCCAGAAAGAAGAGAAATTGCACTTATCATGAATGTAGTTACACAATTTAATATTTTGTTTCGATTATAAAACTTAATGAAATAAAACGACCTGAACGGTAAACACGTAGTATAATGATACATTGAACTATACAACAAACACTTAAAGATAAGGAACAATGGAGTTATTTTTAATAAAATCGCCTATGAAGGTGCCTTCAAGGAGGCTGAAACGCGGGCCCAATTTTTGGTTGTGGCTCCAGCGCGTGACCAGGTCCCGAGCGGGGCCAGGTATGTCCAAAGGGACCATATGCCCGGCGCCTAGGAACACTACTTCGGTCAGGCTGCCGCCGCTCTTATAATACCTGTTTCGGAAGTAATAAGTTTTGAACTATTCGTGGTTAATGCAACAGCTTATAATTATAACAAGGCGAATATGTCGGGGAATGGATATTTAATATTTAAATAATAATAAATCTGAAGTTCTTTAAGGAGATGGCCAATCGATTTACCTAATTTTGAGGGTTAGAGGAAAATAATACGCACGATTTCCGTGAGTCGTTTTCCTCTAACTTAGTAAAGAACATTAAAATAACCACATTTATGTTTATATGTTTATATGTACAAGTTTTATATGCACGGGACTGGTTTTGTTGTGGATGAGAGAATATGCAGTTATTTTTTTTTTGCTTCAGATCTCCTGGTATAGCAGTAAAGCTAATGGAAGACACTAAAATCGAAGAAAGATATTGTACTTGCGTACATTTGGACAGAAAATCAATCAAAATTTATGCCAGATACTGAGGTCTATAGTCCCTATAGACATCAGTATCTATTGGGTATAAATTTCAACTTGCTAGGTCCACCCGTTCCTGAGAAAATCGGTGATGACACACAGACAAACAGCCAAGAGAGTGAACTCCAGGTTCCTCTCTATATATTTAAAGTTTTAGATTTTGTTTAATTACATACATCTTTTTATCTCTAAACTCTTAATGAAAAATGAAATTAAAAAAAAATTTTGAATTCTAATTTAATAAAAATGCAATATTTTGTGTCAATCCTGATGACGATAGAATCGCAATTTCATATCAAATTCTTCCAACTCCATCCATCTTATGTCAAATCAAATGTAGCTAGATAGAATCGCAATTTCATATCAAATTCTTCCAACTCCATCCATCTTATGTCAAATAAATCAAATGCAGCTAAATACTGAAGGTTCAAATCAAACAGAGCCATATCCAGAATTAAAACTGTTATTTTAAAAAATATAGCGCATTTACAACTGTTTGTGTTGTTTCAATTATAGATTAAAATTAGTATTATGAATCCAGATATCATGGGGTTGGCCATCTTTGAAATTCAACGATCAATTATGGGGTCAGCAGAGTAATTTTCGATTCCTATTTGGAGGATGTAATAATATAATTGTAATTATTAGTAAAGTATGATAAGGAACATATATTACCCAGCACGTTTGTTTTTATACAGATATGGCAATCTCTTTGCCTTTATGAACTGCTCAGTTCCGTTCCATTTCCACGTGCGGTAGTTTTCCGAAGTGGTAATACAAGGCATCATCAGGTCTAGTTGACCGCTGAAACAAAACAGGGTGATTGCAATGTTAAAGTTTGTTGCCACCATAACTGAAGTCTCCTTAAAGCTAGGAATTAGGAACTAGGGAAAACTATAAATTTGCAGACAATCTTATAAAATAATTTAATTGCAAACTAAACAATTATATACCTATTACAAGATTCGTAATGACGTTAGGATTTTGCTATGCACTTGTATTTCACTTTACGTGCTAGTATTTGAATGCTAATGTAACGATGTCAGATTTACTTTGACATATTTTGATATACGGCCACTACTACTACTACTGCTACTTCGCGTTGAAACTAGTCGACGGGCATATATGGTCAATTTAAAATTGAAATTACTTCTGAAATTGATTGGTTGGAGCTTTGTGAATATATTTTTTTTAAATGTTTTTTAGTACTTTTGAATGACAACTCTTTTTTGAATACACACACTTCACTCGGGGGAAGTAAAATTTTGCGCGCCTTTAGTCATCTCTGTATATTTTTTAGGTTTAATATTTATTAGTAAAGCGTTTGGGCCTTGGCGAAACATAATTTAAAAATAGTGTACATTTTTTTAGTTCGGCCTTCTCACCAGTAAGCCAGCACCCTGTAGTGGTCGAGCAGGGTCTCAAAATGCCCCCTGCTGCTGCTGAGGAAGTCCGACGCGAGGTAAGCGTTCACGGTCATGTTGACGAAGCTGAAGTTCATCTCCCTCACGTGTATCGCCTTCTGTACTCGGGGCGTGTTGAGGAAGCGCACGTAACGGCCCAGCATCAGATCGTTCCTCAGGAAGTTGTAAGCGTGCGATTGGTGGCTCATCGTGAGCAACAGGCTGACCAGGTTCATCCATTTCTAAAAGGCGACGGCAAATGTATTTCTCGTATCCTGTCCTTGTGCTTTTAGACGGTAGGTTCTTTGGAGCTTCATCAGGCACAGAGCTCGCGAAAAGATTATGGTACCACTAGCTTGATATACAATATCTAAGACGAGTAACGCATGCAGATATACGTACATTAACAAAATACCTGGTTGCCACGAGCGCCCAGTATCGTTAAGTCGTATTTTTATGACAGGAAGAGATATCTTATATGAGCCCGATACTACAGGGTCCTCTAAAGCACGACGTCTCTACTCAATCTCCGTTAATTATCAAAATTAGAACTTATAAATGAGTATCCAAACATAATTAATGCATGTAAAACGTGTATGATAGTTATGCGAATTTAAACCTCGAAGATATGAGAGTTCTCCTTAAATTCTAATTTGTAAGTTCCAAGTCGTTGACCACGTACTACTTTAGCTAGCGTGCTGTTTTTCGCGGTGACCTCTCTCTTCAAGGCGTCCACTAACGGCTTCAAGTCCTGGGACTGCTCCTGTTCAATCAGTCCAAAGTTGTAGAAGGGCCTCGCAAGCTGGGGTATGACTGCCGGGTCTACGTAAGCATTGCCGATCAAGAAACCCTGAAACATAAAAATTTATTGATATAATTATTTTTGTACATAACGTGTAGAACATATAACTACCGCAATGATACGAAAATTTGGTCTCGTTACTGATAAACTGCTCTATCCGTTGCACATGGAAATCCATAAATTCGCCTCTAGTTGCAGCACAAAAATCATAATCATTTAGTTTGATTAATTTTTAAACCAATCACATAATTAATTAGGTCTACGCGCTTATCTAAGTAAGTAAGTAAATGTAAAATCAATCTTATTCTTATTTTTTATTGTACACAAAAAAATACAGTTACAAAAAAGGATTACAAAAAAGACTGTACAAAGGCGAGCTCAACCCTAAACAGAGTTCTCTGCCAGCAAACCTTTCGTAATAATTAAAAATAAATAAGTAATCAAAGGAAAATAGGTAGGTGTGTACAATGAAAATTAACTTACAGACTAAAATAAGTAATTGAATAATTCTTAATACATAGTACATAATTATAATTAATACCCATATACTACTACATACTAATACAATATAAAAAAAAAAGAATATACTAATACATATGCTTAAGTACATATATTATATATTTATACATCAGACGAGTATATTAGTGCATGTGATGTTTTATGCATCGGAGGATAAAAAATATTGTTTTACTCTTGTGCGGAAAATTTTTATGGATGGGCTGGCACGTATGCTGTGTGGAAGCGAGTTCCATAGCTTGATTGCTTTTATTGTAAATGATTCGCCATACCGTCTAGATGTGTGGGACGGAATTTTAAGAAGCAGAGAATTGGCACGTCGGCATTGAGTTCCGCGTGGCACTAAATATGTAAAACGCTCTCGAAGATATGAAGGAGCAAGAGGGTTGAAAAGCAAGAAGTAAAGGAAAGAAAGGACATGGAGATCTCGACGTTTACGTACGGGGAGCCATTTTAATTGTTTCCTGTACTCCGAAACATGATCGAATTTACGGAGACCAAAAATGAAACGAATGCATAGGTTTTGAAGACGTTCTAATTTGATCTTTTAGAATAAGGGAACAAAAGATCAGGCGGTTAACCTGATACTTAACGAAACGTGGCCACATTACCCGTGAGGTAGAAAACTTGAAAGCGGTTTGCAACAGTGGCTACTTCACTCATTGGATGCAGCTTAATGATATACTTTCTACTTCACGCCGACTCAGATATAGAACTTGCGCTTTTTGCCGACGACACCTGTATCTATACCACAGGCAGAACACCCGTATTGATCCATCGACGCCTCCAAGCTGCGGCCATCACCATCGGTGACTGGTTTCGGCAATAGAGGATCGAGATCATTCCCGTCAAAAGCGCGGCCGTCCTTTTCGCTCACAAAAAGAACATACCCATTCCAACCCCCGTTAAAGTCTTGGACAGCCCAGTACCATGGGTTAATAAAGTCAAATATCTAGGCGTAGTCCTCGACTCCCAGCTTAAATTCACCCAGCACGTGACCCAGGTCAGGAACCGGGCGGCCTTCGTACTTGGTCGCCTCTACCCGCTCCTCAATAAAACGTCAAAAATATCCCTTCGGAACAAGGTGACCTTATATAAGGCAGTAGTTCGCCCTATCATGACGTACGCGAGCCCCGTCTTCGCTCACATTGCTCCGAAGCAAATTCACCGGCTTCAGGTGATTCAAAATCGATTCTTGCGCAGAGTCACGGGAGCACCCTGGTTCATGCGCAAGATCGACCTACATGTCGATCTAGAATTGCCCACTATCGCGCAATTCCTGAAGTCGGCGTCGCGCCGATATTTCGATTCCGCCGCCGCGCATCCCAACCCACTTATCGTAGGTGCCATCACCTACAGGCCCTTGCCGCTAAATATTTTCCGCCGCGATTACCGAAGACCGCGTCACGTTTTCGACTTCCCTGACGAGAGACGACTATCGCCATCGAAAGGATCAAAAAACTCAAGAAACACACCAACACACACCGCACTCGCCGGCGAGTGCGGCAAACATATACTAGGTTGCGCCACGTACCTGGCAGGTTTTCCCCTATTAATGATAGAAGCGTTGCTGGAGTTTCTTCCACCACTTCTTCTCCCAGCGCCAACGCTCTCCGAAGTGGTAGTAATGTTAGCTCTAGTAATTCCCCCAGACAGATAATAGCTACCGATCGAGCCGAGGTCCGGCCCTCTCGGGCACCCTCGAATCGGAATGCTAAACGCGTGCTGAGTGACAGCCCAAGCCGAGGTCCCCTCTCGGGGACCCTTGAGCCTGATCACTCCATGGAGCGCCCGCCAAAGCGCCCTAAGAGCTTGGCGGCCTCCCAAACCGGTAATAATAATAGCGTGACGGCCCGAGCCGAGGCTCCCCCGGGAGCCCTCGAGCTTAGTCACCATAACGCGTAATAATAGTACGCCGAGGTTCAGGCTAGGCGCCTCGTGCGCCAGGCCACCTCAAGTCCGTCGCATCTGTAAAGGCCCCTAAGGCCAACAGTGGCTCATCCAGCCCAAAAAAAAAACTAATTTAAATTCTAAATAATATAGTATAAACATACCTGCAAGTTAATTTGGGAATTGGACTTGTGTATCTCGACGCCTAGTGAGGGCACGTACTTGCCAGCGTACGACTCGCCCGCTATGTAGAGCGGCGCCGACCTGAGCTCGGGGAACAGCTCGAGGAATTGCCTGAACGCCGAGTACAGTTGGCCGGAGTACTGTCGATCATTTCAATACAATATAAAAGCTAGACAGCTTCACTTCAATCGATTTAGAATGTTTTCGTGCTTAAATGTCAATATTGTGGTAATTGAAGTGTGGTGTAGTAAAAAAACCTCATCAAGATCCGTTGCGTAGTTTTAAAGATCTAAGCATACATAGGGACAGCCAGACAACGGGACGACTTTGTTTTATACTTACTATGTAGTGATAGCACAGAATTTCAAAAGGTCTGAGCAGCGAATTATTAGCTGCGATTATAATACGTGGCATTACCCAACCATAAATTCTAGCTTCACCTAGTTTTGTATGCGTTCGTATATGTAATATGTTAAGCGATAAATAATTTTAGACTTCGTTTTCTGATAAGAGACTACATTCTTTAGTTTTAGTTGTCATTTTGTGGACAGAAAACCAAAAATATGCATAAAAGAGCTAGGAAAAGACATTATAAATAACAAAATAAATGTAAACATAACTAAGTAATAAATAAATAACTAATCACTGTACCTACATACATATCTAACTCGGTCTTATGCGGCTCAAGGGACCTAAAATAAAGAGGATACTATTTAGGACGAGTATGATAGTATCCGCCGTTCGAAGTTGACTGTATAGTTTGCGAAAGGAAAATGATAACTAAAGATACTGCAAATATCCTTTTCACGCTGCTAGGAAGGGTGTGAAGGGTCTTTTGCAGGTCCGCTGCCACGTGCGGAGGTGCAGGTTTTAAAGTGAAAGAAGTGCCGAGCGAGAGTAATTTCCAACATCCTTGTCCTCAATATATTCCTCAACATTATACTATTTTTTACAACGCGTTTGAAATTATTGGCACTTAATTGTTTGTGGATGTTTCCACAACACAATATCTTTATGGATATTAGCTAAATGCAGATTTTATTATTTACATCACTACACTTTGTATCGTTCTGTGCAGTTTATATGAAAAATTATGCGATGACGCGGAGCAGAAAAACGAGTACATTTTCCATACTCGAGGCGGACACTCCGTCTTAGAATGCAGCAAGAGGTATGAACGATGGGATTTGGGGTAGGAATAGGTATCTAGTCCATCGAATCATAGTAGATCAAAGCAGCTTGTTAGATAGACAATTAGCCAATCAGAAGCGCTTATTGCGTTTACCATTAAATGGCACGAACAATTTCTTCTATAATGCATTTACTGACTAATTAAAAGATTAAAAAGATCGAAGTGTAAAATTCATAGATATTCTGCTTCATAAAAAATTTCGGTATATAAGTCTAAAATAATGAATGGATTATGATTATTAATCTAAAAATCATATTTAGAGCAAGATTTCTCGATTTTCTCGATTGCATAATAAACCAATGTTCATTTAAAAACTTATCCATACCGTAGGCATATCTCTGGTGTATCCCTTGCTGTGTTCAGTAAAACTGAAACCAGCCCCAACGGGATTGTCGAAGAAGACTAATGAGTGGTTCTGCAGCCACGAGAATTCGTTTCCTGGACGAAAAAGTACAATGTTTGCAAAATGTTACTCAATTCGTTAGCGTTAGAATGATCATTCCAAAGAAAGTGTTCGGTCCTTCGTTTATTAAATGGTTATATTACAATGTTTCTGGTCACCTCTTAGAAATGGTTGCATCATGCAGCCACAACAACAAAAGCCTTAAACTATATTTTGTTAGTTTGTATGAAAAACTACTTTATTTTTTATTTATTTTTCAAAAGAAAATTGCGTAGGCATGTCAAAACATAACCTAATATAATATTGAATAAATAAATCGAAATAAAATATGTTAGCACCACATTTGGCTCTCTTTCTTTCACTATACAATGTTATAAAGTTATTATGAATTTCGTTAGTACTAATTTGAAGTACTCACTTTTCAAAGCAAACGCTGAGTCAATTACAAACGGGCCAATTTCCTCAAAAAGCCCAGTCATACTGGAGGCGCCAGGGCCGCCTTGAAGCCAGACGATCCACGGTGTGGTGTTAACGGGCTTATTTTCGACGGGGAAATACCAAAAGAAGATGTTTGAATTGTACATTTTGTTCACAGTAAAGTATCCGGAATAGCTTTCGACGCCGAGGAACAATTTCGAATTTACTTTACTCGCATTTCGTGCTTCACAAATTCTTCCTTCCTCTATTAGAGGTGTCAGTATAAGTGCTGTAGGTTTCTCTGTGTCATTTGTTCTTGACCCGCAGCTTTCTGGTGCGATTTCACACGTTTGATTGCTTGTTTTATGTGCCTCGTCAATTTTGGTCTCATTTTGTTCAATGTCATCGTCTATACTGTTGGATATTTCTTGAACTACGTTTACACGAGCGTCAACAGCATCAGTGTTAGGAATAACAGTCGTTGGTAAATAGACGAAAACTTTTGTATCAACTTCTGGTTTTGTTTCGCCGATCGCATTTCCTATATCCGCTATTTTTCCACTCCTTAATGCAACCTTTCCGTGCACACTACAATTCATTATGCAAATTAATATTTTAACCTGATAGCTGTACCCATGTTAACAATTAAAGCAAATATGCCACCCTCACCTTATTAACGATGAGCCTAATGACCACAAAACGATTAATTGCATAAAAGTCATTTTAGAATGTAATTGTTAATCAATACAACATTAAATACACATCACATTATTCGCACGCTCATTACAGAAATGAACATTGATTGACCAGTAGGAGATAGGGGGCACGATTTACTCTTTATCAGTTGAACTAGTTGATCCCGTTTTGTAAAGTAACGGCCACGTTCACGGATTCTTGTTTGCGGCAATACTATGCAATGATGTTCCCGCAAGTTCAACTACATTATGTCTGTACATGTCATGCTTTACCTAGTTAGAAAAAGGGGCACGTTTGTAAAACGATAAAGTACTGTAATGAAATGAGAACATTCGCCCGCACCGGCTGCGCCATGTCTAATAAATTATTCATAATTCTTTTTTCTACCTAATAGGCTTAACATGTTGTATTTAAAACTAACGATGTATATTAAATTTTGATTAAAAATAACAGTTATAAATGCATTTATTTAATTTTTTAGTTAATACAAATATTTCCGATATTCACTATTAGGCGTAGGCAAAAGAATAAGTAGTTTTTCATGAGTTTAATATTACCAGTTTTGTTATCTAAACGTGCTCAATTTAATCGTTGACTTCTCTTAATTTTTATAATTATTATTTGTAATAATGTTTTAAAATAATATCTGATACGCGTCTTTGACCCCAATTGTAAAATATAAGTAGGTAAAGTTAATTCATTGAACACAAAATACATGTGTAATCAAACTCTTATTGTAAAAAGTACTGAAATAAGAACGGGCACCTTAATGAATATATTTTTATAGTGCAATGAATATCAAGTACTGTAAAAACAAATATTTACCCCGAAAATGGTCCAAATCACAGTTCTTTTTTTAAGTTGTGTTGTTATATCCCTTTTATATAGTCTATCTGTATTATGTGTGTCTATCGAAATATAGATGCTAAAACATGCGAAAATATGTAGGTACTCTTTGATTAGTTGTGCTGTGTACGCGTAATCATCATCATCATCATTTCTACCAGTTTAAGTCCACAGCCGAACATAGACCTCTCTCACAGACTGTCGAAGTACGATTCGGAGCCACCTGCATCCATCGACTTCCCGCACATTTGCACAGGTCATCACTCCATCAAATGGTAGAGTAATATTAAGTAAAATTATTTTTTCACTTAATTAAAACAACACTTGTGATACGGTCTTTTTATTAACTGCCACGGTTTTTAAACGAATCTCGCTCATCTGAAGTATCCCTATTTATCGATGTAATTTTAAACTTTTATTAAAAAGACAACAAATTGCAGATGCAAAGTACCTACGAGCACACTCGGAATAACTATTTTGTGTCCACAAATAAAATGGGGATCGACCTCTTGACACGGCGCGCTAACGCGTGCGTTTTAAGTCATTGTGCCGTTCGGTAGTGCAATTATTACATAATTATATTACCTAGTCCTGTATTTCTATTCGATGTTCATCGCTGCTACGACTATGCGTGCGGGCGCACGTTTGTGTGTATGTGTGTCTGTGGATACTTAATTCAATTTTCGATACTAGAATTATTGCCAATAATAAATAAAATCTCCTTTTCCAACTTTAATAAAACTCTGAATTTTCGTAACTCCAGTTTTCGAGCACGTAGTAGTTTTCACTAGTTTTCTCAATTATCTCAGCCTATACATGTCCCACTGCTGGGCAAAGGCCTCCTCTGCATACAGAGTATCAGGGTCCACCATGCGGCCCCAATGTGGAATGGCGGACTTCACGTATCTTCGAAATATTCTTTTTATTATTATTATTTATATGCAAATTTCCTCGCGATGTTTTCCGTCAGCGCTGAGCATTTTGAGCACTTAAAATTAACAATTTGATTGGCAAATTGAATTGAAGGCTAGCACTCGGACACTGAGCTCACGGCTCTTAATCTAAATTAAAAAAAAAAACTCTAGTTATTACATCCAATCCAGCTCCTTCAACATTAACAACGCCCCTACTAATATAGTTCAATTAAAATTCAAAATATCTTTAATCGCCTACGTGAATGTCTACACGCTTGCGCGTTCTTATGAAACGTCGAAAATTAATAAGTTCGTACGTTACCACCGGTTCGGAAAGGAGTTTTTTTTTTGGAGAAGAAACCGACAATAAAACTCAACGGTTGCTCTTTTGTAAAAAGCTCAGTTTACAATATAATGGTACAGGTATCTCTTTAAAAAGATCTCCGAGTGTATACCGGGCTCCTATGAATATAGCAATCCGAATTCTGTTCCCGAACGTTGGTAGCCCCAACGACTAGTTCCGTCGCCTATACACCGGGGTCGTGAGGTCTATGGCCCTGTACGGTGCTACTGACAACCGAGTCGCCGGACAATGGCGCATCAGTGCCGACAGCAGAGGGTGTTGGCCATACGGGGCTATCGGTGAACATATAGGTTACATTTGCAAGTTTTGATTATATTATATGTAATATTATTATTGATACGATTATTGGGTTGACTCTTAAATATCCGTCGATGACAGCTGGGAATGACGTGTAGGTATGATGTTATTTTGAATTATTAGTATTGAATGAAAGAATGTTGGAATTCCAGAAGTTTATTTAAAAAACTTATTGAGAGGGCCGCTGTGCACTGTTGGCGACAATACAGTGAAAATCTAAATTCTAAACGACCGGCGTTTCATACCAATCCCGAAGCTGCGGCTCGTTTCTTAAAATAACTTCAAGTAAGTTTCACTACACGCCACTGGGATCCTTTGTCTGCTTGAGTCCCATCCGGAGCGACTATAGGAATGACCGGGTCCGAGGGTCCTAGAACAAGTAACAAAAATATTTTTTTAAGAACCATACAAATATAAAATACATTACCTGTCCACATAAACTCATTTCACGTTAGATATTTTTATATATCAATATTAAATTTTAAACAATACCTAGTAACTGTAATCACCTGCCAAGATAGGTTGACTGAGGCTCGCTACGTGGGACTCATATTTCAGGGTGGTTATAAAAAATAACCACAAAGGCTAAGGTGGGAGCTCCACTCTAACCAAACCTGTACAAGTCGGGAATCTCTGTATTGGGTTGTCAACCATGATGATGATATCAAAAAACTAAACAAACTTGATAGACCAGAAAAAAACTTATTTATCTCGGTTATATTTTATTTTTCCGAATTTACTTTCATCAATTTGGACTACCTTGCCGGGACCACAAACTATGCCAATATTTTTTTTGAAGATTTATTTGATAAAATACTACTGTCTCACCACAGTAACTAAACCAGTCGGCTATAGTGGCTACTGAGAGAGAGCTATCCGAATTTGTCTCCAAATCTTTAAAGACTATACAGTCATAAGAGCCCCGTTGGGCAAAGGCATACATTGCACAAAAAGTGGCCAACATTCTTGTTTCATCCATAATAAATTCGCATCATGATGCGATGGTGATAGCATATTTTACTTTTAGGAATATTCGTCATTTCTCTCGGAGAACTCATCACATATCTGCCTGGAGCTTTTTAAACAATAATGTCCAGTTCGCCATATTTTTGAGCTCATCCACATGTAACCTCCTCTGCCTGTAAACGCCGGCGTCATATTTAGCCACAGCCCCTGATGATAAGGAGGCGCGCGCGTCACTAAAGGCGCCAGTTGACGGCTGAGGGTTGTTGTCTGAAAAAACAAAAAAGAATCACACACAAAAAACAACATTCCTAGCTCTTTTTGTTTGACCTATACATGACATCGAATATATCATGGAAGACTAAGTAGATTGCTTTAAAAAAATTTAAGATAAATCCAATACAATTATTTATGTGAAGCATGTTTTTATTTAGACCAATAACATAAATAAAAACATTGTTTATGCAAAAAATAACAGCATAGTCAATGATCTAGAACTAAATTACCAAAAATAACAAATTATTATAAGGGTGACTTTGTGATAGAACATCATGGCATATAATATAGTTATGATGAATAATTAATTTTAACAGTACTGAAACAAACAGTTGAAGTATCTTTATTGGAAGAGTTAATACAATAACCAACAATGGCCCAGTTTTAAGTATATATCAAATAAATAAGAGAGAATTGAAATCTTTTTAGAAAATTTATTTGTCAAATAAATAAAAGACAATTAGAATCTTATTATTCAATATAGACAAGCTCTCACATTAGCCCAGAGATCTTTACTCATGATTACGCTGATCAGTTCCATTATTTCCAAAATACCTAGTTCCGTTTGAAATAAAGGATCATTTTTCCATTGACATCCATCGAGTTGCAGGTTGATTTTTTAAAATTATCACGAAAATCGTGCTACCGTAAAATAAAGCAAATTCTTTCTGTATATTTACCTAAAAGCGTACATTATAATACACTCAGAGATCTTTTTAAAGAGATTAATATACTCACTGGTGCGTCTCAATATATTTATTGTAATATTTTGTATGTTAAACAGAATATTAATAATTATCAAAAGAATAGTGACAGACATAAACTAAATACTAGAAATAAGGACAAACTAACTACGCCATTATTTCGCCTACAAAAAGTAAACAGATCGTTCATGGGGCAAAGTGTGCGCATGTATAATAAAATCCCACAGTCGATGTTAAGTCTGCCACTTGATGAATTTAAACGAAAAATTTAAAGTACACTTATGGCTAAAGCCTATTATACTATTGCCGAATATCTTGACGACGCCAATGTGTGGGGTTAATACTGTTGATACTCACGTAGGCTAAAACAAGACTATTGTACCTGTACTATTATATTATACCTGTACTATATATTATTATATTGTAAACTGATTTTTTAAAAAAGAGCAACTGTCGAGTTTCTTGCCGGTTTCTTCTCAACAGAAACTGCTTTCCGAACCGGTGGTAACTTACGAACGTGTTAATTTCTTGTAAAATTTTGACGTTTCATAAGAACGCGCAAGCGTCCATGTGAATAAAGATATTTTATTATTATTATTATTATTAGTTCAATCCCACTACTTATTTGTAAACTTATAAAATCAAGTGTGTACTCTGTGTATTACGAAGAAATTTGTAATTCAATGAAACATTGTAAATTCATTCTTATTAAATATATTTGTAAATTCATTTATTTCAATCTTTAGAAAGTAATTTAGAGCATGCCCGTTTCTAGGCGTCTCATCTAAAGAATCGAGTTATTGGCTTCACGCTTTACCACCAAGTAACTTGGGCACATTACTTGACGATGAAAGCTTATGCATTGCTGTAGGAATCCGTCTGGGGGCACCAATTTGTCAACCACACCAATGCCCTTGTGGTGTCAGTGTAGACAAATTTGGTCTCCATGGGCTTTCTTGTCAAAAAAGTGCTGGCCGTTTTTCCCGCCACGGTTCCCTGAACGACATCATCCGTAGGGCTCTTGTTTCCATCAATGTTCCATCTATTTTAGAGCCCTGTGGCATTTTTCGCGACGATAGTAAGAGACCCGAAGGTTTAACATTGATCCCTTGGGAGAGAGACAAAGCCCTTGTTTGGGATGCCACTTGTGTAGACACTTTGGCTGCCTCTCACCTAGGGGGTACTTCGGTCAGGGCCCGGGCGGCATCGGAGGCAGCTGAAGTAAGTAAATGGCGCAAATATGAGTCTTTATGTTTAGATTATGTATTTGTGCCATTTGCTGTTGAAACATTAGGTCCGTGGGGTCCCCCCCGCACATCAAATTTTTTTAAAAGTTTATGTCCTAGGCTTAACGCCGCGGCTGGTGACAAGAGAGCTGGTTCTTTTTTCGCTCAAAGGTTAAGCATAACTATTCAGCGAGGAAATGCAGCTAGGGTTCTTGGCACCATGCCGCGTGAATTAGGTTTATTAGATAATATGTAATTTTAGATAGATTTAATCTTGTAAATATTAGATCAATAAAGATTTTAAATATCCTCCATTATGCATAAAAAAAAAACATTGTATATATGACTTACAGACATAAAATTATTCTTCATACGTTCGTCCGTCTTCTTCTTCTTTCTTTAATAAATGATATTCGTCCGTCTTTCATTTTCTACAAAGAGAATGTAATCACTACGTGATTTTCTATTCTCAATATGTCATTGTCATAGTCATCGGTTTCAATTTGATCTTTGAGTTCACACTTCACTCCATTACATGCAGTTTTTGCGTATAACTTTTAAATTATTTTGTGCTTTAATAATTGTTAAATTAAATTGGTACGAAACAATTATTTTTTTTTCAATATATGGATGATATTTACTTCTAAATGAGGATTTACCTCATCTTCATTCGTGAGCATAGCATAGCAAAACACAAGTTATAACAGTGTCGCAAAACTGTTTAGCCGAACGGCACGGGCACAGTAGACAGAACATGAGTACCAACACCCACCTCTAATATGTAGTATTGATTTTTTTGAAACGCATTCTATCTTGCCCTTTTAGCGCTTTAGAAAAAGCTCGAATACTACTCTTTTTGTCGTTTTAGATGGGATTTTGCTGTGTTGTGATATATTAGAAATCACTAATCAACATGGCCATAAAAATTGCTTTTATTTTTTTAACTTAATCTTACATATTTTTTAAAAGCAAGCTTATTTAAAACGCTGAATACGATAATTTATTTCATTAAGTTATATTTGTTGCAAAAACCGCAAGGTAAAGTGTATCGCAACTTATGTACATGTTTACAAAATAATAATTTCATTTTGATAAAAGCATTGAACGAATTGTATTTCTAGAAGCATAGAAAGGCTTAATAGTATTACTTTATCCCTTGTTACACAGTTAGTCAAGTGTTTTTGTACTGTGCTGTGCTATATTGAATATTAAGTGGGTGTTATGGAAAGTTTAAATAACTAATATCAAAAACAATGCGTTAATTATATATATATAATTTGGTAAAAAACCATACAGTTATTTCTGAAACAAATTATTTATATTTATCGTACATCATGATTTTAGAAAAGTTCAAGTTACTAAGAAGGGTAAGTAAACGTAACGTAATTTTTTTATACGTCTCGATAAAAAAAATATAAATTTTATTTTGCGTTGTTCGAAAATCTACAGGTTTTTAGAGGGTAAATTTGTACAGAACAGACTAACATAGTATTCCACGTTATAAGTAGTAAATCGCATATTGTACCAACCCCACCTAGGTGAGATGAGGGCAGGAGGATGATGATGATACGTAGTAAATAGCATGTTTCTGACAATACTGATTTTTCTCACTCATAAGGAGTAGCAGGCGACAACGTTCTTGACGGCAACTTTAAAATTTTGCTAATAATGCTTAGATGGAAGGTTCTGGATGTTTTAGTGCTAAACTTGTGTGTCGATATGAGTACTTGGCTATCGAGTTTTGGATTACTCAGGTCTAGTTGAGGCCCATTGCTGAAAATGTGAATGTGAATAATATCGAAATGTACGCAGAGGTCATCGACTTCTCAGTATCATCAAACCCATATCCTCAAAATTTGAGGATATGGGCTTGATTCTGGTACTTATCTTATTCTCTAAATAAAAAGGTAAACAAAAAGGCTCTAAAGAAACGAAACATGTAAAGCATTGTACAAACAATAACGTGGATATTTCACTACGTAAATTGTTTCAGGCCATTTTGTCTATAACCCCGCAGTAGTATGAAACAATTTCAATCTCAGACTATAAGAACAAAAAAATATTGTTTGTCTGAGGTGGTTGCTGTGTTGAAGTCGGCATCATGTTTTGCCATTTCAAAAGGAATAAATATCTACGAAAACCTATTCTTTAAGTAAAGAAAAATTTTAAGTTCGATAGAGTTTTGTACCTATCTATACTTATTTTTGATTGTTAAATATATAAAAGCAAAATAAACTTACTTTGCTTTATGTAATGTACCTATATATTTTATTATTTTAATGCATTAAACAGACTTACTTGTTGCATTCTTTTTTAAATTTACGCCCAAAATTATCAGTTAAAGCGGTGGACGAAGTCCTGACTTCTGAATACGCAGCAATTTATAGGCGTGTATTGGTCTGACTTTAAGTTTTCTTATTGGACACTTGGAGTTGGACAGTAAGTTGTGAACAGTGGGAGGAGAACGTTCATAGATATCGCGCGCGGGAAATTGTTACTGTCTCGAAACTGACCACTGTCGAAATATTTTTATCTAGTGATGGAAACTTTTTTACGTACTGATTATTTTTTTTAAATATGGAAATAACAGTAGATGTGGTGAGTATAAGTTTTCTAGTATAGTTACAAATTTTTGTTTTGTATTTTTTAATAACTTTTATGTTACAAAAGTTGACATTAGATTTTATCTTAAAAAAAAACTAAAGGAAAAATTACAGTAAAATAAAATGGGATAAAATTAATTTAAAACAAATAATAATTATTCTATATAGGAATATCAATAAACGCTTTTTAAAAAAAGGGTTTCCTTAATATTTTTGACGGCATTACGTTTTACTGTATGCAACTAATTATAGCTAGATACAGCTGATTATAGAAAAAAGATTTATTGTTAATAAAAATAACATAAAATATAGTGTTGATTCAAATTGTAAAAATAGTAAATTTATGACAGCAAAAATCTTATTTTTTTCTTTAGTGCCGCTAAATATATATGCAACCCTATGGCGTCGTTTTCTCGCGTCCGTAATTAGTATATAATCGCAAGTAATAGTCCGAACACGGTACCTGGCAATTAAGTCCTAGTTTAAGCTAAGGTCTCCGCTAAGTCAATTAGTTGGAGGCACGCGATTTTTGTACTAATAGGTAAACAAATATATAAAGTGGGTACCTACTCAATGTTGTCAACTAAAACATAGAGCATTGCTTTTCAATTACACATACTTGTACTATATATATGTTTACAGATTAGGGTTTATATACATTATTAGGAGGTAATCTGCGGTCCTCATATCACACAATGATGGCCTTTATTTTTACATGTAAATCATTTCTGCGTATTCCATGGCTGGCTGTGTGCCTTTACGAGACAAAACTTTGATATAGAAACTCTACATCGAAAGATAGTGCCCTGTTTGGACAGGTCCGAATGGCGGTTACTAACCAACTTGTTACGAGGTAGGCGTGTTCGGTTTGCTAAGCGCTGTTGGTTTGCGTTAGTGACAAAGGATACCCATTCTTTGTAATAACTCGATCGGCTATTTCGAACATCCATCGAAAACAAATGCATTAATTGTATGTACCTATCGGCGTATGTCTGAATGTTACCCAGTTAATTAATAAATTTGACGCGCCCCGCCACCTATAAGTACTAAGTAATTATGTTTGCATTAGATACTTTTTCATGTCTACGTATGTGTTGATATCTGGTGTGATATTAATATGCCTCATTATAGAGGTGTTATAGTAAATTACTTTTTCTAATGTAAACCTTTTGGAAATTTTATAGTCTTTTTTAAAGGTTTTAGTAATTTATTTTAATACATCATAATTTTTTTACATTACATTTTAATATTAACGTGCATCTTCTGGCGCTTTTAGTGTGAAGTCGTAAAATAAAATAATTACTGATAATATGCATAAAAAATAACTGTTTAATAACGAATAGGTCATTAATTTTAAAAAGAAAAAGAGAAAATTCATTTTCTGATTTTAGTCTCAAATAGATTTCAGCGAATCGAGTACATTCGAGTACATGCGATAATTTAAAACTTGTGTCCACCTCAATAGTGCCTTATTGCCGTTTTTTCGTCGTTTTCCCTTCAATCGTAAACACAAGCTTCTAAAATTACTTATGGTTTTTTTCGCATCTAGCTGTGAGTTTGTGTGATGTGCAGAGTATATTCCAGAGGCTATACACCTACCTATAAAAATAATTGTGAAAGGCATATTACTCCAGATGGCCATAGACTATACATTATATTATTTATAGTTATATTATCAACTAAGTTGAAAAAGGATTTTTTAGCTTTAATTATTATACATAGTTGGAGACTGAATTTTTTATATTCCGAATAATGTAACCATAATGTCGTATATATGCAGGGTGGCTTTACTAAAGGTGCCCAAATTCACACAGGAGGTTCAGACTCGGTAGTATAATCGTTTATGGAAATAAAAACAAACATTAAAAAAAAATTGCAATTATATTCCCTAAAAAACAGAACTTTTTGACAATGCGGTAGTCATTCATAAATGTGTCGTATACTTTTGAAACGAACTTATGGGTGTTAGTTATGAATGATCGCGCGTAAAATAAATGAGTTGCCCATAAATCACGCACTTTTTGAGATAAGTTCAAATGAATGTAATTAATTAATTACGAGTGATTTTAAATATTTATCATTTTTATATAACATTATTTATGTCTAGAATTTAATAATAAAAATGGATATACATAGAAAAGCCACCCTGTATAAATTTAAATGTGTATGTAAAATATGTATATTGTATATGTACCTATTTATACGATCGCTTAGAAATAAAAAAACAAGCTTTTAGAAAAAGCCATCTTCCCTCTGAAGCTGTTACTATACGAGGGGTGATCCAAAAGTAATGATAATGAAAATAAAACACGGTAATTAAAGTTAAAATAATAATTTATTTTTCTACATAGTCTCCTACCAAATCAATACATTTAGTCCATCATTTTTCTAAACCCAGGATTCCCTTTGAAAAAAATTCTTTGTCTTGACCCTCCCAAAACGCTTCAACAGCGTCCATTACTTCGCTATCGTCTTCGAATTTCTTGCCTCGGAGGCGTTCCTTGAGCCGAGGAAAGAGGTAGAAGTCACTAGGAGCTAGATCTGGCGAATTCCGTTTCTTGAATGGCAGCCATCGCAACTGCGGCTTTGTGAGCCGGTGCGTTGTCTTGGTGAAACAGCACTCCAGCTCGCAGTTTGCCGCGTCTTTTTTCCTTAATGGCCTCCCGTAATCTTCTTATTTGGTCTGCGTAGTAAGAGCCCGTAATAGTGGCTCCCTTTCCAAATATTCCACCATAATTATGCCTCAAGGCAAAAAAACAGATGCCATAACCATTCCCGCCGAACTTGAAACTTTGAATTTCTTTGGCGTCGGTGAGGAGGCTCGCTTCCAAGTCATCGATTGTTGTTTCGTTTCAGGATCAAAATGGTGGATCCAGGTCTCGTCCATAGTCACAAAACGGAACAAAAAATTTTTTTGATCTGCTTGGAACTTTTCGAGATTGACCCTCGAAATGTCAACTCGATTTTTCTTTTGCTCGTCGGTTAACATTCTGGGTACCCAACGCGCCGAGACCTTTTTCATATGCAACTCGTTCGCAAGGATTCTTTGAACGCTGCCATATGAGATCCCTGTGACCTCAGCTACATGCCTGATGGTCACTCTTCGATCTGCCAACACAACATCTTCGACTTTTTTCACGTTGTCTTCAGTGAGGGACGTGGATGGGCGTCCTTCGCGATGTTCATCTTCAGTGGATGTTCTGCCCAGTTTAAACTACTTGGCCCAGCGTGCAACTGTAGAATATGGAGGAGCAGAGTCTCCCAATGTTTCCACTAAGTCACTGTGTATGTCTTTTGAAGACATTTTTTTTCAAACAGAGGTAGTTGATGACAGCTCTAATTTCGTTTTTCTCCATGTTCATGTTATCTCTTTGACAGTTCGTATTCAAATGAATGTATCTCCCGGAAATCGTGATCTATTTATATGATTTTTTTAGGCTGACGTAGTGAGTATATAAGCAAGTAAAAAATATTTTTTTTGGATTTTTATGCGGACCTGAAGTAACCGATTATCATAACTTTTGGATCACCCCTCGTACATATCTACAGCGTGTCGTTACCATTGCGACAATAAATGAACACACATATAGGGGATAACTTTTTAAAGTCGTATTAAACATTTAAATTCTTTAAACATCAATATTTACAGAGTTATTCAATTTTCCAAAACAAAGAATTTTAGAACACCCTTACCTATAAAAGCGTAACGTAAAGTTTATTTGTAAAGGTCACAAAGCATATGAATGGGTTTGAATGGATTTAAAAGAGACAAAACATACTGTTAGAACGAGAGGCTTGTAATGCGACGCTGTCGCGCGAGTTGTATAGGATGTTACAAATTTTGTTTCTTTTTTACTTAATTAGTTTGTTTGAAAAATATTTTTTTTTAATTATGGATTTTGTTTAACGTTAATATTTTTTTATGATTATTGGCAAGTAGCGTTAGACGTGTGTTCATTTATTGTCGCGATGGTAACGACACGCTGTATATTACTATCTATCTTGCCGTGAAATTCGTTTACGCGTGCATTATAGCAAATCCTTACATATTCAAATGAGCGCGAGAACAAAGCGACAGCTTCGTATATCGGCGGTGCAGGTGCCTCGATTTTAGCGAGGACACCGCCATTAACCTCTCTGTATCAGGCTGTCTGTGATTTGAATAATGAATCGCGATCAGTCCTTACCTATTGCGGCACGCATAACAGCTTTTATCGGCCCTGAATTATTTATGAATTAAACATCGCTTTTTGGTTTCGATCGCGCGCGGGAAATGAGTTTATTATGTAATAACTTTTTTTATAATTTTTCCATCGTCACAGCACCGGTTAAATTAGCGCGGGCAGAGAAATGATTTTAAAACGTATCACCATACTGGGAATTCGCAAACGGCATATAGTCCCACAAATAGACGTTAAATCGCGCAAGTGTATTCAATCTTAAACATATTATGCACAGACATTGCTAAGGAGTTCTTTTGTAATGTTTGGCCGCGCATATAAAAGTACGGTTTGAATAATATAAGGTATATCTGATATATATAATTCTTGTGTTTGTTATTAAACTCCTCCGAAACGGCTGGACCGATTTTCGTGAAATTTTGTGTGCATATCGGCCAGGGTGGAGAATGGGACAACATCTATTTTACATCCCCCTAAATGTTAAAGGTGGTCTACCCCAAGATATTTTTATTTTTTATATAAAATTTTTTGTTTTTATTTTACAAAAAATTTCAACCCTCTACGCAGACATAGTAGCGGGCAGCAGCTAGTTACAATTATAATATACCTCTGTATGACCTATGCAATGAATTCTGCTGTTACCGGAATGCGCCGGGTCGGGGAATTTCTAAGTAGAAGATGGTCGTAATATGCTACCAATGAGTGACAGCAAGGAAGGGCCATTGTCACGAAGTTTGACCAGCATCCCAGGCGTGGAACTTGACGCAAATCTAAAAGGCGATCATGTTGAAGTATCAAAGACGCAGTCAGGACATTCCAGAACATTCCAGTCCACTCTCGAGCAGACTTGGATAGCCAGAATAATTGAGTCGTTCCGCGAAGATAAAAACAAGGAAGACTAACAAGCTGATAGTTTACCTTCACTAGTTAGAGAGGCGCCAGCTTAAGAAGGATAAAAATAAAAAAAAAAAATAAAAAATTCTATAAATCTAAAAATTCTATAAATTTAAAAAATTCTATAAATCTCCACCTGCTGCAATCCTACTGATTTTGGTCAGCATCAATTGGACAATATGATTACTATGACCTTCTGTATCCCTACAGTAATGATGTAAATGTATAGTATGATATAGTAATGATCAAAGTAATTATACAATTATTAGGAGTCTTGTGCTTAGAAAATTTTATTTCACTCCTTTTGACTTAGCTATTTTAGATATATATACTTTATGTTAGATATATATATCGATAGCGCAAACAAAGGCATTTTATGATCGGTTTTATTAAAGTCGTTAAGTCATAAACGATGCCCACTCCTTAAGTTGCCTTATATTATTTGTTGGTATGCCATCATGGCGTAGCCAAATTTAATGTTACTTGTTATAATTATGCTTTTTAAATAATAGCATTTTATAGGTATGCAACGTGAATATTATAGCTGCAATATTATAGTAGTTTTAACTTTACCAGTCTGTAAATCCGCAACGCAGCAACTTCTGCTGCAAAATGATCTGACCGAAGTAAATTAAAAGTAATTGTTCTTTACGAATTATAAGTTATTGGACCACCCATATAAAATATAATCACTGTGAAATACTATTTGTATAGAAAAGATAAAAAACAATGGATCAGGATCTAGTATAGATGTATAAATCAGATAGAAACATTAATGAATGCGCTAAATAGGTATGTCGTGGTATCGGATAATCGGATTTACTAATTTTCAGCAAATACCAAAAATTTTAATAATAAATAACATGATAAAAAACAACATAGAACTAATGTTAATTCAAAGACAATAACACAATAACTACTTATAATAACACAAATGAGGTACATTAATTCAAGAACACTGAGTACTAACAGAATAATAAGAACAATAGTTCCTAACACTAACCTACCAAAAAGAGAGACAAATCACATTCGCTCACGTTATAAATTTAAGGAATATAACTAAGCTCAGTACATTCTCAGTTTACAATTGTCACACGATAGAAAATGTGATAAGCAATCCAACATTGTTCATCATTCTACTCGTCTCACGTTAGATATTTAGGTATTTACTGGAACGGAAAGTAACCACAGACCTATTTCTCCTCTCAGCACACCGTGCATCCGTCTTCTTCGAAGGCGGGACAGCATCAGACGGTAAAGGGTGCGCACAATTCCTGGTGCACCCCGGATACAACACCTACTCATGAAATGTGAGTGCTTAGATTGTGTCGCCAATTAGTTGTTTATCTGTTTGTTATACAGACTCAAATTCAGAGTCCTGTGAAGCTTACAATTCCTCGCTTACCAAAAACCCTAAGTAGGATAAACCACTTCGTTAACTATCATTTTACGCGCAAAATAAGTTTATAGCGTCTAAAGGTCACAGCTGTAGACAGTTGTAGGTAAGTGTACTACTTAGATAGGTAGGCGTTTATAATTGGGTCGAATATTTGATGAACACTTGTTCATGCGGTATGAAAATATTGCTTTAAATTGTTCATATGAACGATAGAATCATTTTTTTAATTATTGTGTATTTCTATGAAAATATATGAAATTTACCGCTATTTTCAGATTAACGAAAGCGGCATCCAATGTCGAAACGAAAACGAAAGTTCACGATGAGACCATTCAATGTAGGGATAAAAGGTAAGTGCAGAAAATAAGATAAATTCAATATTATATTCAGATAAAATTGTCTAGTAATTATGCAATGGCGATACAGAACATATTATGAACTTTACGATACTTGAATTAACAAACATTGAAACGAAATAAAAATGGTATTCTGTTTAAATTTCCAGAATAATACCATTGCAGAAGGTACGCCTGTTTGCGGGCAGCCCGCCGCCTAAGTTCAAGCATAAGGACGACGTGAAAGAAGCCGATACAGAGCTCACGGATTTCAAGAAGCCACAGTCTACTGGTAGTAGCAAACGGTTGGTCTATTCAGTATTTGATATTTTACTGTCTTATTTTAACTACGAATTTTATTGAAATTGATTGAGACCTCAACTTGTGTATAATTTATATACACAACACTAACCATACGAAAAACCTTTATGAAAACTTTCCACTTCCTAGACAGCGATAATAAAAAATAATTAAGAATAAGATATGAATCTTACATTTCATGTAAATGATTTTTAATTACATACATGACGCACGTCCATACTGCAAGGCGTTTAAAAATTGTTCGGCTTTTAATTACTTATGTGACATGTATAAGTAAATGTTTCAGATGATATATGTATAGAACGTATGACACGGAAAGAGATAACAGTCTTGCAATTTAATTATACTATAATTGGTGTTATTTGTGCGTCTCGTTATTGTCATATATATTTCGTATCTTGTATATAATGTAATGGCTAATATTCCGAATAGTACGTCTCGTTTTTCAAGCTAGAAAACAATTTTAATATATAGAGAAATGTTAATAATTAAATATTATAAAAGTTATAATCAATGAAAACCACTAGATTATGAGGAAAAAATTAAATTGTTTCAGATGAAAGACAAATAAGGTGTTAATTTCATTGTTCATCAAGTATTATTTGTATAGAATTTCCATATATGTAATACTTTCCCGAACTATAACGTTCGTATGTGAGTATATTACTTGGTTAATATCACAGGCCGCCATCGGATAGAAAGTTGGTGCCCATAGTGGAGACGCCCCAGAGTCCTGTGCCGTCATCGCCGAGCCGCAGCAAGAAATGCAAGGGTTTGGCTTTGCCAACTTTCTGCGACCCTTTCGTGCCTATCGACCCCCAGGGTGAGATTACAATCCATTTTTTATCTGTGCACAAGTTGACCGTGAAACACAACCAGCGATTATAGTATTTTATTCTTTGTTAATATACTTCTAAGATGGCTGACATCAGCACTCTTTTCTTAACTTATAGCAAAACACAGCTGAACCGCGACATAATTAATTTATTTATTTATTTATTATACTCACGCACACAACTATCATTACAGGCAAACCCAATGCGATAGAGTCGCCTAAAATTAGATATTAAATTAATCCAAAGAAAAAAAAACAATCATTTCCATGTAATGAATTGAACAAAGTAAGGATATAATAAAAATAACGTTTTTATTATTTTACACACTATAGATATTTAAAAAATAACAGTTATTGTAACTGTGGTAGGGCCCCGCAATAGCCTTCAATGTTGCACGAATGGGCAGGTCCGTCCGGGGGAGAACCACGACCTCACAGAAGACCGGTGTGAATTAGAAGTGTTATGCTTCTGCGTTTGGTCTAGTGAGTGATGTAGCCGGGGCCCACTTTATTAAAATGTGCCAACGCCTCTGCTAGCCTACCTGTGTTGCAAATGTTAATGGGCGGCGGTTATCCTTAACATCAGGCGAACCGCCAGCTCGTTTGCCACCTTCTCACATAAAATAAAAATAAAATTACACGTAAGAGAACACATAATGCGATACTATTAAAAGAGAGACTACGATCATTTCTGTGGCATGAAAACAGATCAATTCTATCGGCAACCTCATTTTAAGTTCGGTAGGGACAGTAAGCATCTGCTGTTGTTGCACGATTGGTATCATGCGAGAAAGTGTCACGAACTCGCAGAAGGCGGGCGTAGTGGAAGTCTTATAGTTTTTCATTTCATCTCGTGAGTAAAGTAGCTGGGTTCACAATTTATAATGGTTGGCAAACAACAACAAGCCCACATGTTCAACATCGGAATAACCACCTGCTCACTTGACACCGTCACATTGATAAAAATGTCTGCTGTCAACGAGGCTGGATTCTAAAAATCGGTTATTTACCAGTCAATAATCAAAAATCATCATACCTAATTGTATACACTTATTTATTACGGGGTATAGGCATAGATAGTCATTTTCTACAAATTTTAATAGTCTTTTATTGTTTATCGCTACGTACTCTAAATGTTGTCTAAAAAGAATGATGCAAAGTCGAAGTACAAGTCAAATCCCAATAATGATAAAATTAAGGAAAAATACAGGCTCCTTCGGAATCAATGCAACAAGATGTGTAGGGATTTACGACGCCGCCATATCCACAAATCTGTACAAAATGAAGATCCAAGTCGTGTTTGGAAATTCTTAAGGTCTATAGGAGTTGGGAAATCACGCTCAAACCTACTTCCAAATAATTTAGATTTAAATATGCTTAACCAGCATTTTTCTTCGTCTTCTTCTTGCATAGATAATGTTGCTAAATCAAATACCCTTACTCAACTTTCTCTACTTCCCACTCCTGACTATCCTCCTTTTGTCTTTAGGCAATTTGCAGATTGTGATGTTAAGAGACACATACACTCCATTCATTCCGACGCTGTTGGGAGTGATGACGTTAGTCGTAAAATGATCATTCCTTTGCTTGACATTCTTACACCTGTTATAACGCACATCCTAAATTTTTCCCTATCCACATCTTCCTTTCCCTCCCTCTGGAAAAATGCACATGTGATCCCCTTACCCAAAAAAAGCAAATCCTTCGAGTTTTTCCGAATATCGTCCTATTTTTATTATTCTCCCATTCCTTTCTAAAGTCCTTGAACGCCTTGTCCAAGAACAAATTTATTCCTTTTGCACTAAAAGCAATATCCTCGATCCGCTTCAGTCTGGCTTTAGATCTGGTCATAGTACGACTACAGCATTATTGAAAATCACTGACGACATTCGCTTTGGAATGGACAGTCGTCTAGTCACAGTATTGGTCTTGCTGGATTTCAGCAACGCCTTTAATACTGTAGATCATGACATTCTGTTAGGTGTACTGCGTTCTCGTAACATATCTCCAACTGCAATTTCCTGGTTTCATAGTTACTTGTATGGACGCCAGCAGCGTATTCGATTTCAGGACAGTTTTTTTTCTTCATGGCTTGATACTGTAGCTGGTGTTCCACAAGGTGGCGTGTTATCCCCACTGCTATTTGCAATTTTCATTAATACCATTACTTCCCAAATATCTTCTCTCTACCACTTGTATGCAGATGATCTCCAGATTTTACACTCAAACCACTTTGGAGGATCTTCCGAAAGCTGTGGATATTATTAATAGGGATTTGGCTTGTATTCTTGACTGGAGCCGACAATATGGTTTGACTGTTAATCCTATAAAATCTCAAGCCATAATAATTGGGAGTTCAAGAAATATCACTAAATTAAATAAGAACCAAATTGACCCGGTTATTTTTAATGGCATCGTAATCCCTTATAATGACATTGTTAGAAATCTGGGTATACTGATGGACTCAAGTTTTTCATGGACCCCTCAAATTAATGCAGTCGCTCGTAAATTATTTGCAGCATGTGGTTCGCTTAGAAGGTTGAACTACTTTTTACCTATTTCAACCAAAATTACGCTTGCCCATTCTTTACTGCTCCCTATTCTTGATTATGCTGACATATGCTATCTCGACATCACTGAGGAGCAGCTTAATAAACTTGAGCGACTCCAAAATCTATGTATACGGTTCATATTTGGACTTCGTAAATATGACCATGTATCAGAATATCGCATTAAGCTCAAGTGGCTCCCGATTCGTTTTCGCCGGAATACTCATATTCTTTCTGCTCTTTACTGCGTCCTATTTAATGTATCAAGTCCGGATTATTTGAAGGAACGTTTTCAATTTCTTTGCTCTTCTCATAACCTTCCTCTACGTTCAAATGAAAACCTCTTCCTTAAAAATCCTTTGCGATCAACTAGTTTTTACCATAAATCCTTCTCTGCTGTCGCTGTTAAACTCTGGAACTCTTTACCTTTGGCTATTAAACGTGCTCAAACCCTAGATTCGTTTAAAAGACAGGTTAAGAAGCATTATCTCTCTGTCTAGCTCCTTTCTATCTCTCGATGTCTTTCTTCTCTTTTTATTTCACTCTTCTTTGATGATCACACACAAGAGGTATGTTTTTCTTATTACTTTAATTTTTGTTGCAACTTACTTTTTACTTAATTTCATGTACATCCTACCCAATAAGAATTTCTTTGGATTCATTTCTGAGGTTGCCTGGAAGAAATTGCTGTGTAGCAATAAGGTCGCCTTTTGATGACCAATATTTGATAAATATTTTGTTTAGTTCTGTACTTTTTTCTTTTTTGGTGTACAATAAAGCATATTATTATTATTATTATTATTATAAAATAATATTTGACACAGAACAAACCGTTTATTGCCTTTATTGGCACCCCATAGGCAGTTAACAGATAATAACGTCATTGTTACAACGTGCGAACCCTATGGCATGGGAATAACCCCGACTCAATTTGAAATATTCTCTTCATTGGTGCCGGCACCAATGAAATTGTTATTTTTGAGTGCTGACATAGGTCAGTCAGTCGTGATAACACGTGCTCAGCGTTGACCGAAAACGTCGTGAGGAAACGCACATATTTTCGAAATAATAAAACAAATTAATTATTTCTAAGATATTAAGAATGATGTTAAGAAGTCCGGCAAGCTAGCTGACAGTTCACCTGATGTTAAGTGATAACCGCCGCCCATATACATTTACAGCACGTGTATGGTTGCAGATGCGTTGCCACCTTTTAACAAATATCACTAACCAGATGAAACGCAGAAGTGTACTACTTCCCGTTTTGTGAGGCCGTCATACTTCTCCGGTCGGACATGCCCATTCTTGCAACATTGAAGATTGTTAAATGGTTCTACCAGTGTTAAACTGTCGTAATACCCTCAGTAGAGCAGAGGCCCAGGAATAGAATATAGAAAACATTTATTAAAGACATCACACAACCCAACCAATTTACGGACCAATTAACAATTATAGTATAGATAACGTATAAAAAAGAAGGAGAAAAAAATAAAAACAGAAATAAATGTACATGTATTCAGGGTATACATAACAATGGGGTTGCGAGATGCATGAAAAGGTCCCGGCTCAGCATAAAAACTAAGGTTCTTCTAAAGGTCCTAAGACCTTAGACCTGGTTTTCAGTCGGAATCAGAACCCCATAAGTGCCGTCACGAACCGACAAAAGTTAAAAAAGAAAACATAAGAATATAATATATACCCTCTGTAGAGCAAGGGTCTTTGCCCAGTTGGGGGACGTATATAAGCTGTTATTTACAAACACCACCGTCGGTCATGCAACATCCGGCACTATTGCGACATTACTGAGCTTACTACTTCACAGAGCTACCGCGCTTACCATCAACGGCTGCATCGCCACTTACTTAGGTGGGATGGCAGTCAAGCGCTGGCCAGTTTTTAATTAAGAAAAAAAAAAACTGAAGCGTGCGCACGCCAGGTCGCGGCTACATCAGCTGGCTGCTGCTGGTGACCTTCTGCTACAGCTACAACGCGTGGTGCGTCGCGCTGCGCGCAACGTTCCCGTACCAGACGGCGGCCAACACGCCGCTGTGGATGGCGGCGGACTACTTGTGCGACGCGGTGTACGCGCTGGACGTGGCGGTCGTGAAGCCCCGGCTGATGTTCCTCCACGAGGGCTTCTGGGTGGACGACCCGGCGGAGACCAGGCGCAACTACAGGCGCAAGCTGCAATTCAAGGTGCCCGCCGCGTAGACCCATTTTTTGGCGCGTTTGGGCAGAACGGTGATAGTGAATTTTTAGGCAATTTTTTTGTATTACTATTGCGTGGGAAATCTTCAGATACCCTGTCGTCACTCACATGATGGTGTTATGTGGGGTTCGTGCCCACTAAACCTATTAAAGCTCGGTGGCAACATTTTGGACATTTTGTACGTTTAGAGGGACTCCGGGATCACGCAATGCACCGGTGACGCCGGAACTTTTTGACAAATACCTATAATAGCCATTAGAGAGGTTTTGTTATTTGTTCTTATACCTTTTGCACCTCTTTATGTTGCAGTTCGACGTCATCTCTCTGCTTCCACTCGACCTGCTGTACTTCTATTTTGGGACGCAGAAGGTAATTCTCCGTTTCCCGAGGCTGCTCAAGCTGCAGACCTTCTGGGAGTTCCACCAGGCGATGGACAGGGTCCTTTCCTCCCCATACATTGTGAGTGTTTCAAAATTAGGGCACATTTTTACGCCACGTTCTCTAGAACCTAACTAAGCATTGCTTGTTCTATGGGTACTAGATAACTGATAAACATACTTAATCATACTTTTCTTTTTGTAAACAATTACCTACATATTCTACATATACATAAAAACACCCAGACAATAGAAAACACTATGTTCAATCATTCATTACACAATATATACAGTATTGGGAATCGCACCCCCACCCTCTGGCGCAAGAGGCAGCTTTACTACACACTGCGCCATTTGTATTGTTTTATTTGGACAATACATATCAATTTTAGAGGTAACTATGATGTCTTACGACTTCCTTACAGCTTACGAAATATTGCCGAAATGATGATTGGGCTTGACATAATTATATAAGGTGTGTAAGGATACAAGTTAATCAAGTCATGTGAGTCAGCTGAAAAATTTAATATGATTTATTGTAGTCAAGTCAGAGACAGTCAGCTACAAATCAAGTCAAGTCAGTCAGCTACAAATTTTAATAAGATCTATTGTTGTTAAGTGAGAGTCAGTCAGTTACAAATCATGTCAAGTCAAATGAGAATGTTGGATCCAGGTAAGGATCGGCAAGATGCTGTTCTACATCTTCTACTTGATCCATCTGAACGCGTGCGCCTACTACGCGATGAGCGCATACGAGGGTCTGGGCAGCAACGGCTGGGTCTACGACAACGTCGGCAACGCGTACATACGCTGCTTCTATTTCGCTACCAAAACCGCCACCTCCATTGGTGAGCGCCTCAAATAATGGCCCAGTAGCCTGGCCAGTTTTTTTTTTTTTTTGTGAAAAGTTGCCAAATGAGCAGACGGTTCACCTGATGTTAAGTGAATACCGCCGCCCATGGACATCTACTACACCAGAGGGTTCCAGATGCGTTGACAACCTTTTGAATATTGGGCTCCGGCCACCTCACTTACCAGACGAAACGCGAAAGTATTATACTTTCACTTCACGCCGGTCTTCTGTGAGGTCGTGGTACTTAGCCGGACGGATCTGCCCATTCGTGCAACAGCGTGAAATGTTGCGTGGTCCTACCACGAAGGATATACGAAGGCGCTTTTCTCATACAATATACAGATCTTCTATCCTAGCATCATCCTTTTACTATTCTTACCCATCAAAACCCAGTTTCGCGCCACATGCCATAGATTCCCTTTCGAAACAACTGTTGTACGACAAGTATTGCTTGTGTGGTATGTATGTAATTCATTTATGTGAAATCCCATTCCACGTTAGAATGCTATCCTACCTACTTTATGAGCGGTATATTTAAAAGAAACGTTCCTGTCGCGCTTAATTTTTGATAAAGGCGTACGTAGTTCTCATTGATAACTAGTTTAAAAAATATGTATTACAACTTACGACTAAAATACCAAGTAGTTGTACCTATAACATTATTTTTAATACGTCTTACCGGTCTACATCATCAGTATTCAAAAATTTATTATAATATATACTAGAACGTTTCTTTTTGATTTTCTTTAAAATTAAAAATTAGTCCAATACATAGGTACATAATTATATCTGTGATTATTGTTATTTACAGTAACAGGTCAAACATTAAAATTGACTGTTTTCTACGAAAATATCTAGGTATATCCTTTGGCCTCTAGAAATAATTATTTATATTACATTATGTTATCAGCAATTTTCGTATGTAACCAGTCACTGATTGAAACACAATAAAATGCACTCTATACCTAAGGTTATACGACTGACTATCCCATAGGCAAGAACCCGAAGCCGGAGAACACGGCGGAGTATTTGTTCATGACGGCTGCTTGGCTGATGGGTGTGTTCGTGTTCGCGATTCTCATCGGCCAGATACGGGACATCATCGCCACCGCCACCAGAGCTAGGGTAGGTCACCTCATTAATCCCATACAGTTCTCTTCTATACTTCTTGGTAGATCCTTCTAGATCGATTAGCAGACTGACCTTATAGAACTAGAAAGATCAAGTAAAGTATCCTTAGATATGTCTTTTCTTTTGAGAAGGTGGTTCCTCTGATATTAAGTGATTAACGTTGCCTTTGGACTACAGGTCCGACTCGCTTTCTTATACAGAAAATGACCACTACCCTTAAAATAACAATTCAGACGGAATATCGCAAGAGCGTGGATGGATGCGCGCGTTACCTCCGGCGGCTGGGAATGCCACGTGCTCTGCAGCACCGCATGGCCTGCTGGTTCCGCTACACCTGGAGCCAGCAGAGGTGTTTTGGTGAGTGCGAGTAGCTGAAGAAATTAACATAGTTTACGACCTTCACGAGAGATCCTAAGAAACGTCAAAATGTTAATGTATTTGCGTTTTGTTTTTGACTTTAAATTGTGACTTTAATTTTTGACAATCCTACACTCTGCTTTGCATTATACAGGGTGGCTTTAATAAAGGTGCCCAAATTAATACAGGAGGTTCGGACTCGGTAGTATCATCGTATATTGAAATAAAAACTTTTTTTCAAAAAAATTGCCATTCTATTCCCTAAAAAAAACAGAACTTGCTGACACTGCGGTAGTCATTCATAAATGCGTCGTATACTTTTGAAACGATCGTATACTTTTGAAATGATCGCGCGTAAAATGGGGAGTGATTTTAAATATTTATCATTTTTATATAACATTATTTATGTCTAGAATTTAATAAAAGAAAATGGATACACTTAAAAAAGCCTCCCTGTATAGTTAGCCTTTGCTTTGTCCATGTATTGAAAAACTGTTTTATGTTGAATTGTTTAGAAGTTGGGACCGCGGTCACAACCGTAAGCATTTATCTAGAGAATTTAATCTAGAGTTCAGTTATTTAAAAATGTAGTTTTGAATGAAATCAAATATTTAAAAATATAATTTTAAAATTTAAAATCCCCCAAAACTGTGCACAAATTGCAAATCCTACTTTTGTTTCGGCAATTTTTTATCGCATATTAGGTACATTGTCAACTTTATTTTATCTTGACTAGCTTTAAAAACAATAATAAATTAATAATGTTTTTTTACTTTTGTACTGTTCGCAGACGAATCTAAGATACTGAACTCGCTGCCCTATAATATGAAGAGGGATGTGGCGCTGGCCGTGCATATGTCGACGCTGAGCAAGGTAATTGGACGTCCAAAAGTTTTCCTAGAACAGAAAATTTTTAGTGATAATTTACATATTCAACTTAATCTCAATAAAATAATAGGTAAAAAGGTATTTTTAACTGCAAACTGAAACCTGCATATTTTCGAAATAAAAAAAATTACAAAAAAATGTTTCGACGATATAAGAAGTCTGCTAATCCGCAGTGGGGTCGCGTGGCGGACTATGCCTTAATTCCCTCTGTACAGAGGAGGCCTTTGCCTTTTTTTACGTAGGCTGTTACTTTCATTCCCTTTATTTTGTACTGTGGAACAATACCGTGACCGAGGTGTCTAATTTTATATCATGCTTTAAAGGAATCGATATAAGAAGATATGTGGACTTGTGGACGCTGTTTCTTTTCTGTACGGGTCCAATTCTTGAAGAGTTTTTAAAGGAAATCTTTGACTCTTAACTTTGAAGAAGTATACATTTTGAATAGACCATTCATCCATGGAAATCTTTCAGTCTGACTTCGGTGAGACCCTCCAGGGGCAACTGAAGGCAATACGCATCCAATTCTTAAGTGTCTTTGGAAATCAATTCTTGAAGGGTCTCGATGGAAGTCTTCCACTCTGACTTCGGTAGTACCTTCACGCTGCAGTTGAAGGCAATAAGGGTCCAATTCTGGAAGGGTCTCGATAGTAATCTCCGCCTATGTCTTCGGTGGCACCTCTCGGTTTCAGCTGAAGGCAATACGCGTCCAATTCTTACGAGTCTCTTTGGAAATCTCCAACTCTGGCTTCGGTGGCATCTCAGGTGCAGTTCAGAGCAATACGGTTCCAATTCTAGAAAGATCTCAATGTAAATCTCTGCGATCCACAGTTGCAGTTAAAGGCGATTCTAGAAGGATCTCGATGGAAGTCTTCCACTCTGCCTTCGCTGGCACCCTCCAGGTGCAGCTGAGGGCGGTACGCGAGTGAAGGGTTTTAATCGAAATCTCCGCCTATGTCTTCGGTGGCACCCCAGGCATGGATGCCAACTTAGGAGTTTTCTTCTTAAATATAGGAAGAAAAAGTTTAAAATGGAAAGTTTTTATAAGTTTATTTCAAATAGGCAGTTTTGGTTTGAATTTGGATTTTTGTGGGTTTTTAAATTGCTTTAGGAGTATCTTTTTCCAACAGTTGGTAACATTGATCCCAGGTGCAGTCAAAGGCATTTCTAGAAGGGTCCCGATGTAAACCTCCTCCTCCGCACTCTTCGCACCCAGGTGCAGCTGTTCCGCGACTGCTCGGCGTCGCTGCTGCGCGACCTGGTGCTGCAGCTGCGGCCCGTGGCCTGCCTGCCCGGCGACCTGCTCGTGCGCCGCGGCGACGTCGGCCACCACATGTACATCATCAAGAGCGGCGAGTGCTATGTGAGTCGCCCCCTTATAATCTAGGATTGCCAACAGCCACCACAAATGTACATCATCAAGAGCGGCGAGTGCTACGTGAGAAGCCCCCGCCGACCTTCTTATATTTAGGGTTGCCAACAGCCACCACATGTACATCATCAAGAGTGGCGAGTGTTACGTGAGTCGCCCCCTCCGATCGTCTTATATCTAGGGTTGCCAACAGTGGCGGATGTACCTCAAGGCCCAATATGCCCGGCCGCATATAAGCGGCGGCAAATCGTGACAAAAAATTCACTGCTGATAACAAAATAAATGATGTGCGCAGGGAAAGGGACGGCTGGAACTTACTACATGAGCTGGGGCCTAGGCCGGCCAATACACATCCGCCACTGTATGTATGGTTGCCAACTGTACTGTAACTAATAATTAACTGTACTAAATCTAATTACGTATCCTACATTAGTTTCGCTAAATGTGCTTTATACTTTTACATAAATAAAGTATGTGAAAATACTCTTTTTTTCAATGTTTACTAAGATGCATAAAATAAAATACAATTTATGTACTATACAGGGAGGCTTTAATAAGTGTATCCATTTTTTTTATTAAATTCTGGACATAAATAAAGTTATATAAAAATGATAAATATTTAAAATCACTTTTAATTAATTAATTACATTCATTTGGACTTATCTCAGAAAGTGCGCGAATCATGGGCAACTCATTTATTTTACGCGCGTTCATTCATAACTAATACGCACAGAAGTTACGTAGCATACGACGCATTTATGAATGACTACCGCATTGTCAACAAGTTCTGTTTTTTAGGAAATAGAATGGCAATTTTTTGGTAAAAAAACAAAGTTTGTTTTTGTTTCAATAAGCGATTATACTACCGAGTCTGAACCTCCTGTGTGAATTTGGGCGCCTTTATAAAAGTCACCCTGTATACTAGCCGCTTAAGCTTAATAGGCATTTTGGGTCACAGGTCACGCCAGTTACTTCCCTACATTTAAGCCACGCTGCTTGAATTCGGTGCTGAATGTTTACGTCCACTTCCCCCGAACTGTGCGACATGCTGCCCAAACAATCATATAAAACTGCATAATTACACATGATTGCTAATAATTGACATTGGTCTCCAGGTAATGTCTCCCGACGAGAAAGAAGTGCTAGCGACCCTTCGAGAAGGTTCCGTGTTCGGCGAGATCAGTCTACTAGGCATCGATGGACTGCGACGGCGCACGGCGACTGTTAGGTAAACAACGCTGATTTATTAATGATAAATTATCAAATATAATCAACGATAACTCTATTCCTTTTTAATAAGTCATTTATACATAATTTGTATTTGGGCATACATCAAAGACATACATCTTATCTAGAACAATATACAAAATTCTGTTTATCCAGTCGAATTCAATGTGATCGTCTTCAAGGCAACAGTAGGTTTCCTTTATGACTCATTAGCGACCCACCCGTGCGAAGCAGGGGCGAATCGCTAGTGAGTCAGTATAGAAAATTTTAAGATATTGAATTCCCTGGCTTTTCACTATAATATGCATGTATACTGCATTTAAACCTTCCGCTGGAATCACTCCATTTATTGCTGAAAACCGCATTGAAATCTGTTGCGTAATTTAAAAGATCTAAGCTTGTAAACATCGGAAGCGACTTTGTTTCATACTTTGTATACAGCGTTTCTTTACCATCGCGACAATAAATGAACACACATATAGAGGATAAGTTTTTAAAATTGTATTAAACATTTACTTTCTTTAAACATCAATATTTACAGTTATTAAATTTTCCAAAACAAAGAATTTTAGAACACCCTTACGTAACTAAACTGTAACGTACAGTTCATTTGTAAAGGTCACAAAGCATATGAATGGGTTGAATGAATTTAAAAGAGACAAAACATACTGTTAGAAGGAGAGGCTTGTAATGCGACGCTGTGGCAACGAATGAAAAGTCTCTGAATGTATGAATCAGTCAGTTGTAGTTGTATAGGATGTTACAAATTTTGTTTCTTTTTACTTAATTAGTTTGTTTGAAAAATATTTTTTTTTAATTATGGATTTTATTAAACGTTAATATTTTTTATGATTATTGGCAAGTAGCGTTAGACGTGTGTTCATTTATTGTCGCGATGGTAACGACACGCTGTATACATACATGTTTATGTATATAATTCTTCTATACGTTAATCGTTCTCTATTTTTCGTGCGGCCGCATATTCGTGTGACCGAATATTCGTTGCGAGTCCAAAGCAATGTAACTCTTTGGAAGGTCCCGCGGCTACTCGAGCCTGTTCGCGCTCTCCAAGAGCGACCTGGACGCCGCGCTGAAGCACCACAAGGAGGCCGCGCAGGTGCTGCGGCTGCGCGCCGACCACATCATCAAGGAGAACGCGGCGCGACAGGCCCAGCGCCGCATGGCCGAGCTTGGCGAGCCTGTCGCCCGGCGGCCCGAGCGCCGAACGCGGCCCCCCAGCGCCCTCTCCAGGCGACGCCCCTCTGCCCGCTCCGAGAGCAAGGTGACGAGCTGATTGCATAGCAGGGACAATCTAAATAGCGGCACCTTTTGAATTCTGCTGATTTCAGAACAGCGAAGACTAGATACCTACTTTATATGATAGAGTTACGTGGGGTTCTTACTAAAACCCCCTCGGCGGCCAGGTTCTGTACGTTTGGAGGGACTCTGGGATCTTCTACGGAACGCACAGGTGTCCCACATGAGCACGCCGCAAGTAGACCTTCCCCGATTCCCTTACCATCTTCCAGTAAATGTTAAATCTTAGGTGCAGAGATTAGCACTATTAAAAATTTAAATTTCTAATAAGCAATGGCGACATCTCTCGTTCGAATTATCGTTAAGATAAGATAAGATAATCATTTGTTGTCTTAACTGTGTACTATAGGTGTTACATATTACATTATTTTTTGTGTCAACAGTTTGCCCATTTCGGGCGTACAATAAGAGAAATGTTAATAATATAATTAAAGTATTATTCTGTTCTACAATAATATTCATTTAAATTATAAAAACAATTACATATCAGCCATTCTTTTAGTTTTCTTTTAAACTGTACACCATGAAGTGATCTTCGATAAATCGAAAAAGATATCGTTGTAAAACGATATTCGAAATTGTTTGTATGCTGGAAAGTATATAACAATGTATGCGCCAAGCATTGCTTCAAATACTATAAAAACTATGTAGATAAAAGACGTTAAGATTTTTGTCGGTGTGGCATTCAGCCGTTTAGCTTGGTGGCTAAAGCTTCAGGCCACGAATGCCAAAGACGTGGGTTCGATTCCCATAGGGGCCAAATTTTAATGTTAAGTGCAGAGATTACCACTATTAAAAATTTTAACTTCAAAAATTGAGTAGTATTAAGGTCAATAAAGGTTAGTGCTATAACCTTAAAAATTAAAAACATAAAGTTCTCTCATTCTCTTAATTTATTGATGGTATTATGGAAAACACGAACAAAAAGTGCATAAGATATTAAGATATTTGAAAAAACATTTTTTGATAATCAGTGGACATATTAAACTTTTTTTAATAATTCAAGCAGGCACAAGGCGAAGGTGCGCAGCCACTGACATACCAACAGCAACGGATCCAACTACCGAAGATTGTGCTTTCCAGCGACTGAGAATCCTACTATTTTTTCTATAAAGATTATTTTTTTTTCTTTCGCCCATGGCACAGGCACATGGCCCAGGCCCATGGCCCATGGCACAGGTCTTTCAACCATACCGCCTAGTCTTTCGTAGAATTTTTCCTTTAATTATACAGCGTGTCGTTACAACTGCGACAATAAATGAACACACATATAGAGAATAACTTTTTTAAATTGTATTAAACATTTACATACTTTAAACATCAATATTCACCCACTTATAAAATTTTCTAAAACAAACAATTTTAGAACACCCTTACGTATAAAACTGTAACGTAAAGTTCATTTGTAAAGGTCACAAAGCATATGAATGGCTTGAATATGAATATGGCTTGAAGAGAGACAAGACATATTGTTAGAAGGCTCTCCTTCTAACAATATGTCTTACTCAATATGCTTGTAACGCGACGCTGTGGCAACGAATGAAAACGTCTCTGAATGTATGAATCAGTCAGTTGTAGCTATATAGGATGTTACAAATTTTGTTTCGTTTTTTATTTAATTAACTTGTTTGAAAATAATTTATTTTTAATTATGTTTTTTTTTGAAATTTTTTATTTTTTTATGATTATTGGCCAGTAGCGTTAGAGGTGTGTTCATTTATTGTCGCAGTTGTAACGACACGCTGTATATTAAACCTATAAAGATTATCGTGTCTAACACAAGGAACATATTATATACTATATTTTAAGGCAAAGGTAGACTTAAATAGACCAATTATACTTTCTACTCTTTTCTTAATAATTAAACATACAGGGAGGCTTTTCTAAATGTATTCATTTTTTAAAATTGAATTCTAGACATAAATAATCTTATATAAAAAATAATAAATGTTTAAAATCACTCTTAATTTATTAATTACATTCATTTGAACTTATCTCAAAAAGTGCGTTATTTATAGACAACTCATTTATTTTACGCGCGATGATTCATAACTAAGACGCACACAAGTTCGTGTCAAAAGTATACGACGCATTTATGAATGACTTCCGCATTGTCAACAAGTTCTGTTTTTTAGGGAATAGAAAAGCATTTTTTTTTTCAAAAAAGTTTGTTTTTATTTCAATAAACGATTATACTATCGAGTCTGAACCTCCTGTGTGAATTTGGGCACCTTTAGAAAAGCCAACCTGTAATAATTTTAAATTATTTAGCAGCTTTTAAACCTTCTTTTTATTAAACTATAATTCTATCTCGCTTTTAAACGTGTTATTAGGTAAATCTAACGAAGTATCAGGAGTTAGATCAGTCGATCACGCATATACTGAGAATCTTGATAAAAAATATATTTATAAATAAATCATTGAGAAAGAACTACCATTTCCATTTTAGCAATACAACCTGTAACATTTAAAAACAATTTTTAAGCAATGGTTTTTAAATTTTACCCAAATTCTATTACCGATCGCAATAATGGATAGATAATAGCTGTAGGTATACAATTTTTGAATAATTATAATGTTTAATTTAGTTCAAATTTAATTAAAAATAGCAAAAAAAAGATAATATGATGTTTTTGAAAAATTATTAACTTAAATCAAAATAATAAAATAAACAAAAAAATGTTAGAAATAGAATCCATTTATATTGGAATTGACGTGAAATTAGCTCAAACTCGTATGTAATATGGCAATACTTTTGTTATACTGAACAACATGCTCTTTCACCTTGATAGGTGTTTTTAATAACTTTTATTATATTTTATAAATCCTCGTTGTTTTTTATACGTAGGTACATACATATATAGTAGGTACATATGTATTTATATATAGTATAATATAATGCATAAAAAAATATGTAATTTATTTTTTACATTTAATAAATAAAACGACTGTTTTTATATTTTCCTATTTTATACCATGATTGTACGTACGTATTGTTAAATGTGATATAACTTATAATATGGTAGTACATTTTTCGCAAAATAAATTGATGTCGTAGTAAATTGGTCTATTTATTTCTGTCACAGTACAATTCAAACTAGAAGGTTCAAAAGCAAGACGTTGCATTTTTTAAATTTAATAAAACCATCGTTAATTTGAAGATAAACTTCTTTTGGCGTGTTCGGGAAAAATGTTGAAATTGATTTTTACGATGAGCGACACCAAATTCGTGACGTTACCATGGCAACCAATAATAACTTTTTGATTACCTATAATTTTACGTCTTCTTTTCCTAAGCAATGAGTGCTATCACCTCACACGGTGACATATTTTTAGTTCTTTTGTTACGCTTATGAAGTATAAATTCTTACGTGCTTACATTTTTTTTTCACTAACATTTTATTTTGCATTTAAGAATGCAAGTATCAGGGTCATTTGAAAATCAGTTATAAGCGAGCGTTCGGACGTTCAAATACCACGGAATATACTAATAATTTACAATTGATTTCCCTTGGGTAATTTTTATCCAGAACGTCGTTGCGAGATAATTTTAAGACAATTGATATACTTATATAAATTTTTACGGGACCCGGAGTTGTGAAACGTTAGGTTTAATGAGCTGTGATAGACATTTCACTTAGAGACAGAAATAAGATACTTTAACAAAAATGAGGGTATTTTCAATCTGGGTACTAGTATCTTGACGATGATTCTAGAAGCATCTTCTAGTTCAGAAGCAGGACCTATGGAATGGTGAGTTTCAATGTGTTCGAAACTAACCATGGGTCCATCGGTTTTTTGGATTGAACTAGAAGTAAATGAAAGTTGGATCCTGTATGACGTCAAGTACGCTAAACCATGAACATTTATGTGTATGAATCAAAATAATTCTAATTTTTAGTGCTAGTCTTCGTCTTGACTTAAGTTGTTTATCTTCGCTGCTGCCAGGGATAAAAACCTGAAAAAATTATCTTATACATGTGGAGAGACTAGCACTAAAAAAGATAAAAAAGGGTTTGAAAGTTCATCTAGGATAGAAGCTTAACATAAAAATTTTGCGTTCTATAAGTTAAAACTTCTCCGCAGCCGAGCTCACTGGCCACATTAAAAGAGCAGCAGATGAATCTCTCTAATGTAATTAAAAATAAAAAGTAATAAGAAAAAAGTTTATATATATTTATCATACCATTTATCTAGAACTAGCGACCCGCAACGGCTTCGCACAGGTGCAATATAATATACATATAAACCTTCCTCTTGAATCACTCTATCAAGTAAATAAAACCGCATCAAAATCCGTTGTTTAGTTTTAAAGATATAAGCATACATAGTATGGGCAGACAGACAGCTGGACGACTTTGTTTTATACTGTGTAGTGAAGATGAAAAGTTCGTTACCGATAATACATATTATCCATGGCACTATAGGTAATCGTTAAGAATGTTTACGAAATAACCTAAATCTCTTGCCTGAATTAATGTCAATTTTAAGTCAACTAAAATAAGTGTCAATCAAGGAACTCTCTTTAAAGTTTCTGGAATCAATTGACAACTCACCATTTGATTTCTTAGATTTATAAAGTTATTAATTACTATCATTTTGCTTTATGATGTTACTACGCTGTTACTAGCGAATGACCCCGGATTCGCTACCAAACTTACCCGCTGAGCTAATCTGAAGATTGCCTTAGGGTCGGTCAAAATCGGTCTAGCGGTTTTGTATTCGTTTGGGATATACACACATCGATTTTTATATACAGATTAAGATTATAGATGTCATCATCAACGGTTTACCGCTATTACAATTCTTTACACATCTTTATTTAATCAAACAGTTGTTATTAATGTTCTTCAAAGGAGTAAGCTTCCGAAACCTACAGGCGTGAAATGCATTATTATAATTATAAATATTTACAATTACAATTAAAAAAAAAATAAACTTAAAAGTCCATAACCGTTCCAAAAAACATTGGGAAGAACTTATTTAAATACCTGTGTGTGGGTAAATACACGTTTCAATTAAAATAAAACAAGAGTAATTTTTCGAATTCACCCATGTAACAACTTCGTGAATTTTGTTCGTCGAATTTTTCGGGTAATGATCAAAAATGTCCCCTAATACATTAATTATTGTTACGACAAGGTTGCGTGCGTAAAAAGGAGAAATATAAACGGTACACGTTGTAGGTGAAATAGAACCTTATATCCGGGTAAGAAAATCTAATTTAAAGGATTATTTAAACTTGTTCAGTAGTTAATGGAAAGTTTAACATGAAATTGCTGCAGTTTCTTTTAATATTACAGTATAGCTATTTGGCATGCTGTTGTCGTGGTTGTGTCCAAAAATTAGATATAAAATAATAAAACTTTTTCCCAATCACTTTACTAAGTTAAAAATTCTATTTTTCTTTCTCCTAACCTTACCCACCTAAGTTTGTCGGCACAACATATGACTCATGATGCATTAATGAATTTAATGAGATAGCTATCGGCCTGACGTCAATCCTTATTCGGAATAATCACCCAGATCCAGAACAGTTATCTGTGAGTCTCAAATACTTGGCCCGTGTGTAAATCAAGCCCACCATCCACGCCAAAGTGCGCGACCGAGACATAGATAAAGAATAAAAGTGTAACAGACAGCCAATGGAAAAGTTTCTACCAGGGTAGCATGAAGAAAGCAAAGTTATCATCCCCAGAAAAAAATATGATTGAAAATATGATTTGATTTTTCAGTTCAAAGTTAAAATAACAGAAAACATACAACACAGTAGTGTAAAAGATTGCAATAGTCTGGTTAAAATCCATCGGGTTCGAGTCCGAATTTTTAATAATTTTATATAAGCTCGTTACATATTTATAAATGAACTAGCGGACAGGACAGACGTTATCCTGTACACACGACTTAAATTTGACAACTTCGAAATAAAAAAATGATAGTGGACCGAATTGTGAATCTAAACTATTGCGAACTCGACCTGAAGATACACAATAAATTACATTAAAATCGTTCCAGCCGTTGAGTAAGTTCAGTGAAATACACACGTACAGTAGAATTATAATATATATAAAGATAAATTTATAACTA